TTTCAAATCAAAGGTCATATGGTTTGGACTCTGCAAACTTGGCACCTGGACTGAGTGGTTTAGGCCACCCTCTCACACATCCTAAGAGAGTGGAAGAATTTGGCAATTACAGGATCTCTATGGGACTCAAAAAGAGAAAAAAAAAAAAAAAAAACATACTGAAGATGAAAGAAAGGACTTAAAAACAAAGCATTGGGATTCTATCCTTCCGGCGAATGTTCTGGAGGTCAGAGGCACTTGGAAAGCTACAAATAAATGCCAATTTTGAGCCTGGCGCCAGTGGCTCATGCCTGTAATCCTAGCTACTCAGGAAGCAGAGATGAGGAGGATTGCGGTTCAAGGCCAGCCCGGGCAAATGGTCTTTGAGACCCTACCTTGAATAAACCTTTCACAGAAAAGGGCTGGTGGAGTGGCTCAAGGTGAAGGCCCTGGGTTCAAGCCCCAGTACCATCAAAAAAAAAAAAAAAAAAAAAAAGCCGATTTTTCAGACAGGGCACTAACTATACTATTCTCCAAGAAAGGAATTTTTAGAGACTCACAGGAAAAATGGATTAGATTGCTCTCTGGAGAAATTCATAAACATCCCAAGGCAAAAGTCACAGAAACCATTCATTAGTTTTGTTTTTGTTGCTTAGTCAGAGCCCAAATGTGCAGAACTGACAATACCTTTTTTCTATGGCTTAGGAAGTCAGCCTATTACCAGATTTTAGATTTGCAAAGCAAGAGAACTACATCTATGGTTGTGGAAAGGCTTCCTGCGAACAAACCACCCAAGAATTTGTTAGCACCCATAAAATTGTACACTACTTGATTCTCAGATCAAACAAGTTAACTCAAAATCAGCTTAGCTGCAGATTTTAGTGGCAGATCTGATGGTAAGCAGAGGTAAGTAATACATAAAGTAAGACTTTCAACACCATGAATAAAAACAACTAATATTTTTACTTAAACCACATTCTGGTCAGGATTGTGGACCTGCATGTCAGCCTTCAAATGGATTAATTCATTTCAACTTGTTAGCACAATTCTGCAGAGGTGAGCAGGGACTTAGCTTTACAAAAGCAAAAGATTCATACTGCATTGCATCAAAACCCAGAAATGCAGAACAACGCTGAGAAAACTTACTTCTGAATGCTTCCCAAATACTATCTTGCTGCTACTTACCTTTTAACCTGTAAAATTCAGATGAAAGGCATTTAAGTGCAACATATTGTTATTGAGATTCACAATGGGAAAAGAAAAAAACAAAAACAGGAAAAGATTATAATGTGACCCATTTTTATAACCCTTACTTAATTAACTGGTCTGATTTATACAAGGCCTGGATTTATCACCTGTAATCACTAGAAATTTCCAAAATTTTACCTCTCATTTTAGGATATCAAGATAATTTTAAGCATTTCTTCCTTTTTGAAAAAAGTCTAATTTTAGCCAACACTCAAAAACTGCACAAATAAAACAAACACATTTAAAAAAAAGAAAGAAAAAAAGAAAAGAAAGTTCCATTTCATTATTGGGATTGTGGCAGAAGAAATAAGTCAATGGAAGAGAAAACAAATCCAAGTTTACAAATCTGTCAAATTTTATAAATGCTACTTATACCACATTTTTCAGATAATTTTCCAGGATAATCTCTTTAGTTCTTTGGTTCTCAAGAACCAAGCAGCCATCAATAAAGAAAAAAATCAGCAAACACTACATGCAAACACCAGGATGAAGATAAGAAGTTAATATGCTCATGCCTTGAAGAGGAAAAAGGAAGGTGGAAACCGGGGCTGTGGAAATCTTAGAGTAGATATATACTAAGACTTCTGACTGGGATACCAGAAGCCCCAAACAAACCCTGATCAAACTTTGCTTAGCAGAAACGTCATGCAGGCAGGATTTATTCCCCTCTCTTTGGATCATTCAACCTCTCTGACACAAATGTGTCTTCACGGCAAGCCAGGCAAATCCAAAAGGCAACACGTTTTCAGCATGCTGGTCAAATACCTGGGCTCTGCGTTTACGAAACGATGACAACATGATGGAGGAATGTGGAGTCTAAAGAGGGAGGGGGAAGAGCAAGATAACAAGCTTCTATGGGCAAAAAGAATAGAATCACTTCAAAATGAAGAAACCAGATCTGCAAAAATATATGAATACAGGTAAAAATCAAATTTCAGGTAAAATCTAAGTATTCTGTATAGTGTCTAAATCCCAGAGGGATTTAAAATGTAGGAAGAACCAAAGTTCCCAGTTCTTGGCAGTATCATCTTGTCTTGCACTGGCCAAGTCATACCATCTTTTGGGCCTCAATTCCCCCAAGTATATAGAATATACTTTTAAAACTAAACATGTCCTCCACTCATCCACATTCTGATACATTAGTTGAGAATCCTAAACTAGATAATTCCTAAATCCCCCATGAGATCATCAGAATAAGAAAGATGTTAACCTACAGAGAAAGATGCAACTTATGCCTAGTTTGCTAGTCTACTTCCTTTACAAAACACTATTTCCAGTTCAAAACTGGTAGGAGAGGAATTTGCAAGAGAGGGAAGTGAGGTGATGGTTCACTGAACAGCTGTTCTGGTCAACTGGTCCCAAGTGATCAGCCATGTGGTCCTCCTCCGCATTCCTGGAGTCAGCATTTGCACCAGGGCATTGCATTCTTCTGGAAGGCCCAGCTAATGGGCTGCAGCAGATCTGGATGCACAACTAGTAGAGTTATCAACAGCCCATGAAGGACTGGTTACAAAGGCAGGCTGCCCTCAGACCTTCTGACTTCAATACAGGTTCAGGACAGGGAGGTGGTATTTCTGAAACCCATTTATTAGGATCTGCAACAGCCCCACCCTTAGGGATGAGGCAGGGAAGGAAACGTAAAGAAAATTCTAACCCAGGGAACCGAAAGATATACTTAAAACAGCTCTCCCACTTAACCCTGTTTGTCAGATCACTTAACAGGCTTCCAATGCATCCTGCAACATCAGATATCTCCAATTATTCAATTTCTACAAAGCACGCTGCTAAAACCAAGAGCATATCAGACAGTAGCTGGACAAGGTAGCTCTAAAGTACCAGCTACTTGGGAGGCTGAGGAAGGAGGATCACTTAAGCCCAAGAGTTTGAGGCCAGCCTGCAACACCTTGATTTTTAAGGGAAAAATAAAAAGTGAGGGAGGACAGGAGAAAGTATATTAGACAGTAAGTTATTAGGCTGATAGCTTAAGAACTGCCTCATACTTGTCCTGTGTAAGGGCAAATCCTCCTTTCTATCCTCTCCCCCCAGTTCCCTGGATAACAGTTAACACACTTTGAGGGTCCCTTTGAGTAATTACTGGCCCAGTTACTAAAAAAAGCTGATTGTTAATTTCCTGCAGAGGCCTTTACTGCAGCACATTTTTTCCCCACTGCAGCACATTTTTTAAACTTTGACTTCAATGTGACCTTTTAAAATCTAAGACATTAGCTGCAATGAAAGAGACAATGATTGGTTTGAGGACTGGGAACCTTGGCTTAATGGCTTCATACAGCTGACTGTTCTGCTGCTATTCTTAAGATTTTGTTTCCTGGCTGCAAGACACCTCCACCCTTCCATCTTTGATACATTCTGTTTTACTTAAGTCCAATTGCTATGACGACGCAATTTCTCAACACATTACGAAAATACTTCATATGGTCTCTCTTCTATTCCTCCCTGACTGCCATGATGGTTAAGTTTTTCTAAAATATCGTGAAGACAGAACAAAGGACCTAAATGTTTTTGGCTCTATTATTTTTTATATCTATCCATACCTATATCTGATCTCTCAAGGAGCTGAGGCAGGAGGATTTCAAGTTCAAGGCCAGCCTAGGCTAAATAGTGAGTTCCAGGCCAGCCTTAGTTACATAGTGAGATTCTGTCTCAAATAAAAAAAAATAAAAGATCTGACAAGGTTTTGTAGCAGTTCAAGAATCATCACCAGTTTTCAGGGCTATTCATGTCTTTCATTTTAAAAATATTAAACCTTAACTTTAACAAACACTTTATTAAAAAATGTGTATTATTCCAGTACCTGAGACTTTTAAAAGCAATTTTCTTTTTCTTTCTTTTTTTTTATCGTTTTTACATTTACTTACATGTGTATACATTGTTTGTGCTACCTTTACCCCCACCCCAAAAAGCAATTTTATTTAGGAAGCATCTAATCAAAATTGCAGAGACAGCTTTCAAACAAAAGATTGCTCTATCATTCCACACTGGCATGGTTGTAGAATTTTTGACCAGTAATATACGGCCCTCGACTGAAAAAACCCAGTCTCATACACAGGAAAAAAAAGAACTGTAAGCTATCATTTAATTTCGACTTAACACCAAGCCAAGCGCCACCTCTACCTATTATTTATAAGCAGATGACAACTAGACAGTACAGAAATATTTATTATAAGTAAAGGAGATGGCCAATTTCGGACCTTCCTGCGACTACAGAGAGAGCCAAGAACCGCCATATACGATCTAATTAAGATCAAGGAGTCAGGCTCTTCCTCTTTAAGGGATGGTGGGCATTGCTTGAATTGATTCGGGAAAACGGGCTGCACACGTCGTCCCCACCGAGGCAAGGGCCCAGGGGGCGACGTGGGGAACGCTCAGCAGGGAGGGGGATGGCGAGGACGGCGACTAGGAGCCCCCCACCCACCTGCCGCAGCCGGATGGAGCAGGGCGGGGCCGCAGCGGCTGGGGGTGGAGGGCGGGGAGGGACCCAGCGGCCTCTCGCCCCCTCCCCCCATCAATGACATTCCAGCGCCGCGGCGCCCGGGCTCGGCCCCGCGGCTCCCCGCAGCCCACGCACCACAAAGGCGGTGACGGCCGGTTCTCTCTCGACTCCTCGGCCCACGGAAGGAAGGGAACGGCGAGGACCGCCCGACTCACCTGTCCGCGCTCCGGCCCCGCCCCGCCCGGGGGTTGCCCGCTCCCGCCCCGGGGTCAGCCGCCCTGAGCCCCGCTTCCTTCCCGAGCTCGCCCGCGGCCCCTCTCACCGGCTCCTGGGGGTGAGGGGTGTGGGTGCGCCGGGCTGAGAAGTCCTGAGGGACCGATGCGCCGCCGCGGCCTCCGCTCCACACCGTTCGCTCCGCAGCGGGTAGTGGCGAAGACGCGCGCGCCCCGCCTCTTTTATAGGCGGTCCTGCGCGCTCCCGCGGCGGACGGGCGCGAGCGTCAGGGAAGCGCCCGGGCGCGGCGTGAGAGGCGGAGGAGCGCGCCGGCTGAGCGAAGGAGGCGGAGTTCCCGTGGGCTCGTCGCCTGACCGCTGGACGGAAAGAACCGAGTGTGCCCGGAAGGAGCCGAAGCAGCGGTGCGGGGGAAGAGGCGAGCGAGCCGAGGGCGGCGGGAGGATGGGGGTAGAGGGAGCGCGCAAAGGGTGGAGGGCGATGGTGCAGTGAAGCCGCTGCCTCCGCCCTGGCGGCGCACTTCCCTCGCCGCAGCCTGGGTCCTCCAATCCTGCCCCTCCCCGCCCGCCCTGCAGAGAATCTGCGCCGCACCCCTCCGCCCCTGGGAGCCCTTCCAGGACTGCGGCGAAGGGCGGGGCAGAGGCCATCACTGCAGTGTTGCTGGGGATGCTGTGCGTCCCGGCCGGAGGAACGCCCAGTCCCCACGGGTGAGATCACCCGAATGCGCAGGAGGAGCCTGGCGCTGGTGAGGGCTGGAGGTCAAAAAAACGAGGATGGTTTGGGGCTTCGTGTTTGAGGCGGTGGTAAGAAAACAGAACAAATCCTGATCAGAAAAAAATAAAGAGTAATTTAGGCCATAGAGCTGTTTTTTCAAGATTTGGAGAATTAGTAATTTTGTATATTTTTACAGCAAAAGCTTTCTCACCAGTCGCCAGTGGAATAGGGTGCATTAGCCCTATTTCTAAAGACATTTGAAGGTTCCTTTTCTCACAATTAATTGAACTTTCCTGTGTACCAGACACTATACTAAGCATTTCATGGGTTTTGGGGGGGAGTTTTTTCTTGCACTAATTTTACGAAGTGGGTAGTATTTTCCCACTTTATAAATGAGTATCTTAACATAGAGACTAGGTCTCTCACCCCAGACCAGGCAGGAAACAATCAGAAAACTTAGGATTTGAACTCAACCAGACTAGTGTGTTGCAGGTGGATGCTGGGGTTCTGAGAAGAGAAAAATTAGAAGATTCCTTCAATTTTTGTTCTTTACAGTCCTAGCTGTTAAGGGCCTGGCTCTAAACTCTGAAGTTAGAGCCTCCCCTTCCCCCATTTCAGGGACAGCTGGGTGGCTGCCATTGGGAGTAGCACCCAGCTCATTCCTGTGCAGTCAGGCAGACTGGGAGTTCTGCAGCTCAGAAAGGCTTCAGCCTCCTGGTTAACAAGCAGCTCTGCTCTTTAAATAAATACAAAGACGCAGGGCATTGCACCAGAACTTTGGCCAAGGCCCAGCCTGGAGCTTCCTGGTCCTCTGCAGTTTGGCTGCTTCTCCTGGGCTTGGCATCTGCAATCTGGTTTCTAAGCTGCCCTGGCTATAGCCATGATAGAGAACATTTCCCTATTCCCTTTCCATTGGAGTGGAGCGAAAAGAAAAGAAGTGGCCACACCCCAGAGGCAGCTTTACAGAATCTAGAAGAAAAACAGGAGCTGAGAGGCATTTCCTGCAATCTTCTATGCAGAGAAAACAGAGCCTGATAACTCCTCCCTGGTGTGTGCATTTCTGGAAACAGCTGATGGCATCCATGGCTTCTTCAATAGCCAGTGACAGCAAATTTTTTTTATCAGATATTCAGCCCTGGGTACATAATGGCTAATACAATTGTAGCTTTCCAAAATTTCCAGGTCCTGCTCCAGCAAAGAATGGGTCTCAAGGCCAAAGGGTTTTCTTTTCAATCACCCTGGCCCTATAGTGAAATAGTGGCTTTGCTGTTTCTACTAGATACAAAAACAAATTGGAGACCAAAGAGAGCTCTGTTTTGATACAGAAACTAAAATCTTATTTGCTGATCCTTTGTCTGATCTGAAGCATGGCCAAGACACAGTATCTCCAGCCCTCTCAGGCTCCCACTCATTCACCCACCTCATTCTGCATTTGGCACTGGAAATGAGACATTAAAAGCCATTCTTCATGTGTTCTCTTTCTATTGTCTGTCTCTTTCCCTCCTACCAATTTCAGTACATGCTTCACACTCTACTAGGTGTGGAGACAGGGAGAGGATAAAGCAGATAATAACCTTCTTTGTTTTCTAAAAGAATTTCAGGAAAAAAAAAAAAAAAAGCACAGGCTAGTGTGCCAGCTCTGTAACCAATCAGCTCCATGTTCCCTGTTACCTGAGAAGCAGAAGGTAGAACTGAATTCTATACTCCACCTAGTTCCACCAGCCCTCTGCAGGCTGATGCCCTACACTTAGGCATCCAGGTAGCCTCAGTACCTTCTCAAGTTGTTCAAAAGGTCAACTGTTGGGAAACACACTAATTGTAATGTTTTTACATGTCCAGCCATGGAAAGTCACTTGCCCATTTTCCCTGGGAAAGTCTCTCCATCCCCAGTCTTCATCCCCTGCAAAGTTCAAAAGCAAGCACTTACACTATTTTCTCTCCCTATAAAGTAGCTGATTGGGAAAAGTCAGGCTGTCAAGTGGACTGCATCTCTTCCCAGACGAACATTCTGCAGTGTCAGTTGGCAGGCAATGGCATAGATCTTCCAAACACAGTGACTGGATGAACCTTGGCGACGTTATGATAAGTGAAATAAGCCAGATGCAAAAGGACAAACACATAATTCCTACAATTGTCACATTCATAGAGACAAAGTAACTAGTGGTTGCCAGGGGATGGGGAAGAAGAAAATGGGGAGGCATCATTGTTTCATGGGTAGAGTTTTCATCAAGAATGATGAGAACAGCCAGGCACTGGCGACTCACATCTGTAATCCTCGTTACTCAAGGAGTCAGAGATTTGGAAGATCGAAGTTCAAAGCCAGCCCAAATAGATTGTGAGACCCTATCTTGAAAAAAAAACATAACAAAAAAGGGCTGGTGGAGGTGGAGTGGCTCAAGGTGTAGGCCCCAAGTTTAAATCCCAGTGCCACAAAAAAAAAAAAAAAAAAAAGAGAGAACAATGTAAAGCTATTCAGAATTGGCACAATGAATCACCCCTCTACAATGCTTTTTATGGTATTGGAGGTTGAACTTGGAGCCAGATAGTCATCTACCACTTGAGCCACTCCACTAGCCCCTTTCATGTTGGTTGTTTATTTTTGGCAGTACTGGGGTTTGAGTTTGGGGCTTCACATTTGCTAGGCAGGCGCTCTACTATTTGAGCCATGCTTCAAGAATGTTAACAATTATTAAAAATGTCCCATCACTACAGAGGCTGAGGCAAGAGGAGTTTGAGTTTGAGGCTATGTAACCTGTGGTACATAGCGAGACATTAAAAAAAAAAAATTAGTCCAGGCGCTGGTGGCTCACACTCGCTACCTGGGAGGCAGAGATAATTAAGTTTGTGGTTTGAAGCCGGCCTGAGTTTAAGAAACCCTAATCTCGAAAATACCCAACACAAAAAAAGGGCTGCTGGCAGAGTGGCTCAAGTGAGAGAGTGCCTGCCTAGCAAGTGTTGAGGCCCTGAGTTCAAACTTCAATACTGCCAAAAAAAAAAAAATAGAAGTAACCTAGCCACCAATTATGATCCTAAAATTTAACAGATTATATTGGTAATATAGCTCATGTTGACTGACTTGAAAAATATCTGAGATATGACTGTTAGTAGGTAAGAGCATGAGTACTGTGTCCAATTACAGGAGGATTATAGCCATCCATCTGTGGACATATGCAGAGATGGTTGAGAGGATGTTTACAGTGGGTGTCCAGATTTTTGGACTTTCTAATTCTTTTTTTAAAGCTTCTGGCTTCTGGTTACCTGGATCCCATAGTTCCAAGACACTTTTGTGAGTATGCATGTGTTACTGGGGTTTGTGCTCAGGGTTTCATGCATGCTGGGCAGATGCTCTACCACCTGAGCCATGGCTTCAGCCCCTTCAACATGCTTCTTGACCACGGTAACACAAAAGTAAGGAAAGGATTCTGAGAAACACTGGTCCAAGGAAAGGCCTGAAGTTCTGTGGTAAACACTAAAAACTCTTGGAGGGTACAATTTGAATTAGGTAAGGCATGCATCAAAAAGTCCCTCTTCCTTAATCTCTAAACTTTAAGAAATTGAAAACAAATATTTTTCAGTACTGGGGATGGACGCAAGGGCTTCACACATGCTAGGCCAAATACTCTCTGCCACTGAGCTGTACCATAGTCCTATCTCTAAACTTTTTATTATGGAAGAGTTCAAAGATACAGTAAATAGAATAGTACAATGAATGTGACAATTGATGCCATGTGTCAACTTGACTAGGCCATGGAATGCCAAGATTAAACATTATGTGTGAGAGCATCTATGAAGACCGCTCCAGATAAGATTAGCATTTGAATATATGGGTTCAGTAAAATTGCTGTCCAAAATGAGCCGTATAGTCAACCTACCCAGGGCCCAAACAGAACAAAAAAAGACAAAGAAGGACTATGCCACTTTTGCTTCCTGCCTGACTGCTTGAACTTAAACACCAGTTTTCTCCAGCCCCTGGAGCTCACCACTGGCTGGTTCCTAGGCCTTTAGAAGCAGACTGGAACCGTGTTTCCTGGGTCTGCAGCTTGCTGATGGCAGGCCTGAGACTTCCCGGCCTCTGTAATTGCATGAGCCAATTCTTCATAATAAACCTCTTCATAGCTCTATGTCTGTGTAGCCTACTGATTCTGCTTTTCTGGGGAACCCTGAGTAACACAAGGAACCTACATATGCCTATCACTCACCCTCAACAATTACAACAGCCTGTCACTGAAGCTGTGTGTGGTGGCTCACACCTGCGATCCCAGCTACTCAGGAGATAGAGATATGAAGATCTCCAGTTCCAGGCTAGCCTAGCAAAATTAGTGAGACAATATCTCAAAAACAAAGTATCAACAAAAGGGCTGGGGGCATAGATCAAGTAGCTGAACGAAAGCAAAGCCCTGGGTTCAACCCCCAGTACTGAAAACATTCTGCTATTGGTATTTTATCTATTACTCACCTAGTTTACCTTTCTTTGAGGTGGGGGTGCTTGGGATTGAACATCGGGCCTCACACATGGTAAGCATGTACTCTACCACTAACAGATTCCCCAGTCCCTGGTTTACCCTCAACATAGTAGTTCCCAAACCTATTTGACCACTAATTCCCTTTTTAGGACCCTGCAGAATTACAGTGTGGGAAAGCTGCTGTAGATTAAATAAATCTGTCTTCTGTGATCCCATAACTTTTAATTCAATCCATCAAGCAAGTGCTCCAAGAACTAAAATTATATCCTCCAGTGAGTTAAGTTCCTACCTCCATTCACCTTCTCTGTTTTCATGAGGAAGCATTTTGCAAAACATGTTTAGAGTCAACTTTCCCTCCTGCTACAAGTTGGTGGCTTCAAGACAACCATAATTACCAGGGTCCTGTTTTCAGGTTATAGATTTTAGAACTTGATTCTGATGTCTCATCAGAATTGTAAGCACGAAGGGGTTTGTGGGAGGAGAAAGGAGGAAGAGTATCCTTTTTTAATGTATGTATTTTTAAATTTTATTTGAGAGTATCTTTTTAAATTTTGAAATAATTTCAAATTTACAGGGAAGTTGCAAGAGTTAAGAAATCCCATTCTGTTCTACCCAGATTCCTCAATTGGTTAACCTTTGACATTTGCTTTATATATACGTAAACATATAATGTGTAAATACATATGTATGCACATACACATTCCTGTGTACAAATGTATTCAGCTCTTCTGAATAATTTGAAAATAGGTTGCAGTGTCATTCCCATTAACTTCAGTATGTATTTCCTTGTCAAAGTCATGGAATTAATGTTGACAAAATGCCGTTATCTAATACAGACCGTTTTCAAGTTTTGCCAATTATCCCAAAGTCCTTCGTGGCAAAAAATAAACACACAACTACATTTAGTATCAACATCCTGAAAGAGCTAAAAGAAAAAAAAGTTTCTTCAATATATCAATCTATATGCACTGGAATTTGTTATAAACAGAGCCTGGCTGTGTAAAAGAAGATAAGACTTCTTTATGATGGGTGTTTTATAAATGCATCACACCAGCCCAAAGCTCTCCTGTTTCTGGAACCTAATGTCAGGAATTCATTATGGAGGACAGAGAAAGGGAAGAGAATGGCCAGCTGTGATAAGAGCATGTAAGAAGCTGTGTGACTTAAAGAGATCTCTTGGCACTGAGGTAGATGACCAACCCTGATTATGCTCCTGCTGTTGTCACAGGAAGCTTGAAAAGGAGGGAAGAGCTCCCAGCACCTAGTGGGAAATCCCCAGAGCAACTCCACTCTGCTATACAGTGGGATATGTGGCATTTCTATCCTATTGAAATTGTTTCTTTCTCCTTTCCTTCCTTCTCTTTTTGGCAACACTGGGGTCTGAACTCAGGGCTTTGCACTTGTTAGGCATGGGCTCTACTACTTGAGCCACGCCTCCAGCCTTTTTCTGTTTTTTTCTGATAGTGTTCTGTTTTTGCCCAGGGCCACAAAACCATGAACCTCCTACCTACGCCTCCTGCATAGTCGGGATACAATTGTGTGCCACCATGCCTAACTTTTTCTTTGAGATAGGTCGTCTAACTTTTTGCCTGGGCTGGTCTCAAATCATGATCCTCTTGATCTCTGCTGGGATTACAGAGATGAGCCACCTGCCTGGCTTCTATTAGAATGTTCAATGCATCATCAAATTTGCTTAATGATATAGGACGATGATATGACAAAAATGTGGACACTCAGCCTGAGAAATGAGGTCAAGCTAGAGAGGAACAAGCAGACAAGTAAGCACTTGAGCTGAAAAGTGAATGCAGCCCTCAGCATTCTGCTGTCAGGAATCTGATGCTACTACCCATGTAGAGTTCCATCTCTTGGCTGGGATTCATGATCTCTGAGGCGACACTATCAGTGGGTATCAAAAACCTGGCCTCCCTATGCTTTTCTTTCTTGGTTTACCTTGAGAATCATCAGGAATACCAGCATCAAATGACAAACCCGAGACTGCTAACCACATCTAAAGGAAGAATATGAAAATACTGTAAATTACCACTATGGGGTAGTAAAAATTTGCAGTGAAAGAGACTCTAAACTGGGCATGGTGACTGACTCACTCCTATAATCCCACCACTCGGGAAGGTGAGGCAGATCAAAAGTTGGAGGCCAGCTTGGGCTACATGGTGAGACCCCCATCTCAAAACCAAACAAACAAAATAAGTTAAAAGAGACCCTAATATCAACTTGTCCAGTGGATTTTTTCAGTGTTAGAGATTAAAGTCAAGAGTCTCACACATGGCAAGCACACACTGTACTACTGAACTATACCCTAGACCCCAGTGACCTTTCACTCTTTCACATTTCTTTTTTTTTTTTTTTAAAGAGATGAGGGTCTTGCTGAACATGGTGGTACACTGCTGTAATCCCAACACTCAGGAGCCTGAGGCAGGAAGAACTGCAAATTCAAGATCAGACTGGAGTACCTTAAAAAACATAGTAACAATGAAAAAGAGTTGTATGTTGCCTGGGCAACAACAGCCCAACTCCTGGGCTCCATCAATTCTCTTGCCTTAGCCTCTTGAGTAGCTTGGACTAAAGGTGCAAGCCACCATACCTGGTTTCACATTTTATTTGTCTTTTTTTTGGGAGACAAAATCTTACTATGTAGCCCACCAAGGCCTTGATCTTGTGATCCTCCTTGCCTTTGCCTTGGAGTGCTGGGATTACAGGTGTGCACCAACACATTCAGCTTTATTTTTGAAAGGGAAATTTCTCCATTTCTAATCTTACATAAAACCCCATATATGCAGACATAAAGCAAAAATGCAGTGGCAGAGGGGATCCTAGAGCTCTATCAGGGTCCCGCTCAATGCTTGCACAAAACATGAGCAGCATGACAGGTGGGCACTGTTTCACTACTTCATACCATAGATTTTCAGTTATAACAGGCCAATTTTCCAGCAGAGGGTAGAAGTATCTAGAAGGAAATTTGCACAAAGCCTCCATCTGCTGAGTAACCAAGGACTGAGTTCCATCCACTTAACACCCTTCTTCTCCTGAAGTCAGTGCTTCCCAACCTGCCCCCTGGCATGGTATTTGGAAAATGACTCCATTTTAAGGCTTACATAGAAAAAAGTGCAACTGGCAAATGGTTGTGAAGACTCCACTCACTCCAGGCCCTGTCGAGAAGCCCCAAAAGCTAAAGGGGTGGGAATGCCCATCACAGCAGTAGGGAAGTTCTGCCCTGAGGAACTGCTACCAAGCACGATTTGAAACCTACAGCGACCATTCCAATTCTTTTCTTTTGGAGGTGGAGATACTGAGGTTCAGAGCAGTAAATGACCTATCCAGGCCACACAAACCTAAAAGTAAATGAAGTCCAGGTCTCCTGACTCCTCTCGTGTTCACTTCATTGTTTGCATTAACAGACTAGAATACTTTCACATCACTGGGGATCAAAACCAGGGCCTACACATGACAAGCAAGTGATCTACCACAGAGCTCTACCCCAGGCCCTCACATGTCTTGCTAGATAAAATAAGTCAGTTTTTGGTATATAATTCCAAAAAAGACCTTCACGGTGAAGGTCAAGACAACAGAATAAAAGCATATCACTCTATCCTGGACTTCTATACTACTGTGCCCCAAATGACTTAGAGCTCAAGAATGAGCTGAATGAGTTATAGATCAGCGATGGGTTTTTATGAAAAATCAACCTTTATTACTGATTTTTGGCACAGTAGTCAACAATTCATAGAATGGGTTGCTTCAAGCCATTCAAGAACATCAGTGAACACAGCCCTCCACAAAGCATTTAGTAGAGAGGAACAGATATGTGGCCACTGTCTTTGTAGTACACAAGAAAACCATCTTTCCATAGAAAAAGAAATCTCAACCTTTAGCTGAATAGCCAAGCTATATTTTGCAGTGGCTTTAGTCAGGAAAATTAGTCATCAATCATCACTCAGAACATGTAAAATGATTATAAAGCACTTCTTAATTCCTCCTGAACATTCTATTTAACCCAAATCATTGCTCAGCTCATGTACAATCTTACAAGTCACATCTCAGCCAATCTTGTTTTTTCTTTTTTTGTTATTGTTGTTTTTTGAGACAGGGTCTTGCTATGTTTCTGAGGGTGGCCTGGAACTTGCTATGTAGCACAGGCCAGCTTCAAACTCTTCCTGACTCAACCACCCAAGTTCTGGGATTACAGATGTGCACAACTATGCCCAGCTCTCAGCACAACTTAATTTGGGCTGAAAAAAAAAAAATAACACCTGCTCTAGAGCATGCATCCACAAACATTCAGGGGCCAAATTCCAAATTAAGAAGACAAAAAGTGTTCATTTCATAGCCCCATGTTTCCACTCCCAACCCAGACACCCAGCTACTCTGATTCACTCTGGGACTCAGTTCATGCCTACATTACACATATGCTCTGAATTCAGAATTACCTCACAAGCTGAGAAAGCAAAAATCACCGTAACCCAGACTTGCATGTAAGGGATTAGCCTCAACCATTAAGTGATACTTTAAAGGGAATTTAGAGTCTTTTTGTGGGAATTCATGTGAATAGTGGAGTGGGAGTGAAAGTGGTGGGCTTGATTCCGCTCAGAGTGAAATGATTAAGATATCACCAACTTCCTGAAACATACTAGAGACAAAGGAAAAGATAAGAGTGGCAAAGGATGTAACCTCTTTTCATAACTTTTGCAAAAATCAGAAGGGCTGATTCCATTTCTTTATCATGGGGCACCATCAGGAGCTACTGAATCTGCTAAGAGACGGCAAAGATTTTGTGATCCATGAGAGATCTTCTCTACTTCTCTACTAGTCACAAGGTAGAAATATATAAAAACACACTGACAAATTTTCAAATCTAACATGACTTCTCGCAAGTTCAGCTGTCTTCAGTTGCTTTATTACTGCCTCTCTGCAACATAATGGTGATGGTGGATGACACAGTGGTCTCAGGAGCGCCAGAAGGAGGAAGTCAGAAAGCCCTTGGGGACAGGAATCTCCTTGCGTTGTAAACATTTCTGGTCAGGGAAAGATGAAGAACACAGAATAAGTATTTGAGAAAACTACTTCTAACATTTACAGTTGGAAGAAACTGAGGGACAGCAGTTTCAGGTCCTGAGAGGACCTGAAAGTCTGGAGGTAAGCCCGATGGATCTGTGTAAGGCTAGAGCAAATGAAGAGCTATTATTATGCCCAACCCAGCCTTGTCTCCCCACAGCCTGGCCTTATCATTACCATCACTGTTTTCCCAGTTGGGCTCCTGGTGGCTGAAACTCACTGGGCTATCTTGGCAGACCAACTACAGTTGTAAATCATTTGTCAAAATTAACTTTTGGAATTTTTTGGTAGTTGGAAACAGGGGAAGAGTCCAACTTAAAGTGTGTTCTCATAGAGAAAAGTAACCACACCTTCCCCAGACCCAGGACTGAGAAAAGAACCTTGGCCAACATGACAAAAAAGTGACCTGGTGAGAGATTCACTAAGTGTATTTCATTCATCTTTTAGGATAGCTGCCTCACAGGCAGTAGGGAAAATAATATGTAGAAAGAAGAGAAAAACGGCAGCGTTTAGTCCAAAGATCAAGAACAAAAAGCAGAGTTTAGAAAGACTGAGAGGAAAAGACTGTAATCAGTGTCTGCAGGACTAAGACTCGCCAGATACAGGTGCATTCCAGGCCAACAGTTCGAGTTCTGGGATAAGGACACCTTACCTCCAAGAACTGCTTCAGACGTATGAAAGAACCCATCTGTCCCGAGCTTGTGATGGCTTCAATTCTACAGGGAGAGAAAGAAACACATGAATCCCATCTGTGATACATATCTATCTTTTACAGAGATGATGGGTGATCAGCCCTGTTGATCGGGAATGAGGGCTGGATCCAGTGACTCACAGAGGTGTCTTTTAGGTCAAGGATGCTGTTGCTCTTCCAAATGGTCCCAGCCTTCTTTTCAAACAAAGGACAAAAGAGAGGAGAGCACTGTTCCTTTCTAAGGTCTTTATGATCTGGTAAGATCACAAAGGCCTTCCCCCCACTTGAAATGCTAAAGAGTTGAGAGGAAATAGAAGGGTACTTATACCACACCAGAGGCATGCAAACTGGGGGATAAATCAGGTTCTCTGACTGATTTAATGAAAGGACCTGACTCCTTGGTTTAATTCATGATTACATGTAACCACCATCTCAGATTATTCTTTTTTTTGGTGCTAGGGATTGAATCCAGGGCCTCACACATGCTAGACAAGTGCTCTAATATTCCCAGCCCAATGCCAGATATTTTGATTCAAGATCTTCCTAATTTGTGTTTTTGCTTGCCAACAATATTTAAGAGAGACTATCATTAGAATTCAAAAGCATTTACTCCAATATCAAAGGGAAAGACAAGAGCAGAAAGATGGCATTCTTTACATAGGCCTCCTCCCTTTCACAGTGCTCAGGACAGGAACTAAGGCCTTGTATGTACTAGGCAAGTGATCTGCTCCTGAGCTATACTCTAGCTCAGTAGAGGCACTTTCAATCCTAGTGAAAAATAGCCTGCAATAGCACTCAAGATTATCTGATGCCTGGCTCCTGAATATTATCTACTAAATCCTCATGGTCTGCTCAATGAGACCAATACCTGGGGAAGTAGTCCTCTTTGATGAGAAGTATCACTTTCCAGAACTGAACCTGGTACTGTTTCATGAGGGCATTTCCACACACCTGGAGGGAGACAAGTGCTATGAGAGCAGAGAACAAAAATCCATTCACAGAACAGATCTATGAAGCATAATCACTCACCCTTTTGCCTTTCACTCCTTTCAAAAATTTTTAAGCCTGGGCTATAAAGGGAGTTCATACCAGCCTGGGCTACAGAAAAAACAGTTGTTTTGTCTTTTTCTTTTAGTCATAACACTATCAACCTAGCTAACTTGGGAGAGAATGGAAAAATCCATCTTTCTTGGTGTAGGGGGGTAGCGCTCAGCAGTAGAGTGCTTGCCTAGCATGCACAACACTTGGAGTTTCAATCCTTGGCATTAAAAAAGAAAAGATGAGCACCGGTGACTCATGCCTGTAATCCTAGCTACTCAGGAGGCAGAGATCAGGAGGATCTTGGTTTGAAGCCAGTCCGGCAAATAATTCACAAGACCCTATTTCAAAAAACCCTTCACAAAAATAGGGCTGGTGGAGTGACTTAAGGTGTAGGCCCTGAGTTCAAGCCCCAGTACCACAGGAAAAAAAAAAAAAAAGAGAGACTCAGTGAGGCCCAGTGACTTGGTGGCTCACACCTGTAATCCTAGCTTCTTGGGAGGCTAGGATCCTTGGGAGGATTAAGGTTTGAAGCCAGCCTCAGCAAATAGTTCACAAGACCCTACCTTAAAATAACCAAACACAAAACAGGGCTGGCAGAGGCGCAAGTGGTAGAGTGCCTGCCTAGAAAGCTTGAGGTCCTGAGTTCAACCCCAGTACCACACACACAAAAATATACCAAGCAAAAAACTGCTGGCAGCCGGGCATTGGTGACTCATGCCTGTAATTCTAGCTACTCTGGAGGCAGAGATCAGGAGGATGGAGATTCAAAGCCAGCCTAGGAAAATAGTGCATAAGACCCCATCTTGAAAACACCAAACACAAAAAAAAGGCTGGTGGAGTGGCTCAAGTGGTAGAACGCCTGCCTATCAAGTGTGAGGCCCTGAGTTTAAAAAAAAAAAAAAAAATGTATCTCCTTTTCATAGAAACCCTCACCCTACAGTTGTGGCCCCTTAAGGGCAGAACTGTATGGCGCCTCCTAGATGGGGAGACACCTGATCCAAGCTAGCTCTTATTTTCTCTCTGGAAGTAGGATCAGAACAGTGAGATATTGGTCCAACCATACTGGGTGACCATACTGAGACTGAGTGATAGAGCCCAGGATGGCCAGCTCACTATGCATAGAGAATCAGGGAAAGTTACTCTACAGAGCAAGAAAACGACAACCTGCAGGGACAGCAGTTATGAAAGATCATGTGCCAGCCCCAAGACTGTTTTGGTGTCTGGTATTATTCTAGTTCCTAGTTCAAGGCCTCATGAGATTCAATAGCCCAACCTACTCTTGGTTATAAAGTTATTTCTACTTTTTTTGTGTGTGTGTGGTGCCGGGGTTTGAATTCAGAGCCTACACCTTGAACCACTCCACCAGCCCTTTTTTGTGAAGGTTTTTTTTTGAGATAGGGTCTCACTAACTATTTGCCTGGGCTGGCTTCGAACTGTGACCCTCCTGATCTCTGCTTCCTGAGTATCTAGGATAACAGGCGTGAGCCACCGGCGCCTGGCTCTACTTTTTTTTTTTTTTAAAGAGTTATTTCTAAGTCCCTAAAACTAAATCCTCTTTTCACTTATGCTAAGAATGAACCATTTTCTTTTCTTTATAATGAAAAAACATTCCCACAGAGAAGGCAAGTACAATGGTTAGAAAAAGCTAGGTTTGTCTGATGGCTTGGGAAAAAATTTATGACACTGGCCTAATGCTGCTCACCTCCAGGCTCTATTTCCCTTTTGCTTCCCCATTCATGTCACCCAGTGTCCTAAAGCTACCTCCAACCATTGTGATTAACTGAATTACGTACCTCCAAAAAGTCAAACAGGAGGGTGGCTGTCACATCTGACAGAGGTTCCATGTTTAACATCTGTGCCAACCAGCGCCAGCCATGATTTAAGCCGTGAGGGTGAGTCTGGGAGGAAAGAAGCTTTGTCATGATTTGATCTTACTTTATTCAGAGATCTAAATTCTCAGGGTTCTCACTCAGTCATTACCAAGTAGACAAGAGCCCCAGGTCATCTAGCTTTAGCATATGCCTATGGCACTACTGGGAGGTGGGAGAATCTTTAAGAAGTGGGGCCTAGTGGACAAAGTTAGGTTATTGGGGATGTACCCTTGAAGGGGATATTAGGATCCTGGCCCCTTCCTGTCTCTCTCTTTCACTTCCTGGCTGACATAAGGTGAGCAGCTTTGACTACCACATGCTTCTGTCATGATGTACTGCCTCAACAAAGGTTCAAAGCAACAGTACCAAGGCCTGCAACCTCTGAAAGTATAAGCCAAAATAAACATTTCTCCCTGTAAGTCATTTATTTTGAGTATTTTTTTTACAGTAACAGAAAACTAACTAACACAAAGGCCAATATTTGCTGTGGGTGGCATATACTAACATGGACTGAGATCCAATGTTTCCTTATTGACAGTAAACCTTTTCTACCTACCACTTGTTGGTTTCCATATGGCCACCGGAGCTGGATAATGGCAGCATAGAGACGGATCATCCCAGACATGCGTTTTAGAAAGTTGTCCTGCTGTTCCATCTTGGAATCCTTCACTTGGTAGCCAAGCATCCTACATAGGAAGATAAACTCTAATGTGACAAGGTGAAATGAAGGTGACAAATCAGAGAATTCTCTTTATGATTAAAAGTAAAACATATTAAAAAAAAAAGTAAAACATAATATTACTACTACATTTTGTATTATTGATACATTATTACATATTATTACATCTGTAGAATACTTTGTTTACAAGGCATTTATATACATTGTCAAATATATGTTTTACCCTGCAAGGTAAATTCACAGGTAAACTCAGGAGGTAACAGATATCATCACCCCACATAAATAAGGAAATTGATACTTGAGGAGGTTAAATGATTTATGCATTCAATGAAAAGCAGGAATCAATTCTAAGACCACTGAATTCTAGATCTAGTGTTCTTTCCAGTAAAATATATTGATTATTGGTTCCTAAATCCACAAATCCCAAAAGCTGTCCAGTTTGCATGAAAGACATTATATTTCTGACAGAACATTCAAAGTACATAGGAAGAGTTGTACCAAGTGGTAGGGCACCTGCCTAGCCCTGAGTTCAAGCCCTAGTACCATTAAAAAACAAAAAAAAAAAGAGGAGCTGTGAGGAGGAGGAAAAACAAATTCCAATTCTATCTATAGTCTCTTAATTTCCCTAGGGAGAATAACTGAGGAGAAAAACAACTTCACCGCTGATAGTCCTCCAAAGCCATCCCCTCCTTGAAAGCTGGGTAGAAAGGAACAGAGTAAGGACACTTCTTGTGGAGATGAGCAAGAATGAGGTCCCCCACTCTGGGGTGGAGCTCCCAGATCCCTGACGCCACCACAGCAATAGGAAATGCTGCTTCATGGTGAGAGGCCACTTCTTCCTCGCCTTGTTTCTGGGAACACAGAGATGGGCAGAATTTTAAATTAACACCTGAGAAAGGCTTCATGTTGTACACAAGCCTCTTCTTCCCCTACCTCTGGGAACAAGGTTTCTTACCACAAATTTCTCTGCCAGTTTGTACTGGACAAAGTACAACCCTTGTGGGTTAAGTGTGACAGACACAGAGCGCCCACCAGATTGCACAGGCTTTCCAGATAGAAGGCTGTGGATCTTGTCAAAGACCTCCTTCAGCTTTGAGCCTGGGTATGAGAGAGAGGAAGTCAATAAAAAGATACAACTGCATGTCACTCTCCTTTTCAACATGTGATAACAAAGCATCTACAAAAGTGCAGCTGTACAACCTTATAGATGTTCAGAGTCTAAAACCAAAACATTGGTAAAGCAGAAAATGACAACCAAATTCATGCTGTAGTGGATGCAAAAGTACACAGGTCGTGGCACTACTCAAAAGGATTCCCTTATTTGGGAATGACTAATTCTGAAACTGACACAGAAGACAGAGATAAAGAAAAAAGGCATCAAGTAGTGTTTCAGACCTCAGGGCTTTGGTATATATTCCTAGAATCAGTCACATCTTAGGAAGAATCTTCTCAAGCATCTTTCATTTCATGGTGATGTTTCCTCCTCTCGGGGCCTGCCTTCCTCCATCTTCAGAGATATAGGAATGGATTCCTGCTATGGTTTAAATTGGATTTTACATGTTCACCAAAGGTCCACATGGTAAAGACTTGCTCCCCAGCTTGGCACTGTTGGGAGGTGGGAGAAACTTTTAAGAGGTGGGGCTTAGTGGGAGGTTTTCAGTTCATTCTGGGCTTGCCTTTGAAGGGGCCTCTGGGACCCTGATTTCTTCCTCTCTTTTTGACTACCTGGCCATCAGGTGAGCAGTTTTGCCATGCCACAGTACCCCTGCTATGATATGCCAAAACTCACAGGCCAACTGATTATGGGATTGAAACCTCAAAAAAAAACTGTGAGCCAAAATAAACCTTTTCCCTTTATAAGCTGATAATCTTAGGTATTGTTACCATAATGAAAAGCTAACTACCACAGTTCCTAATAGCTGTATTTGTATAAATAAACCACACCAGCTATAGTTAGATTATGGTAGTCAAGCTTAGTGAATCAGCCAACTAAGAGTCAATTCCTTGAAGTGGCTGGTCCTTCAACACTGTCTCACAGGCAGTAGTGGGGCTTTATATCTGCCATGTGGCTCAAAAAAAAAAAAAAAAAACCAAAAACAAACAAAGAAAAATCTGTACATCTGATGGAGATGTACAGAGGAAAGATGAGATAAGAGAAAAACAGAATGTTCCTAGTTCCTGAGACCTAGTTTCCCCATCTCTATTCCTGCTACCATATTCTGTGAAAATACCCTTTTATTCTTAAACACCTTTTTTTCATTACTTAAACAGATCTGAATTAATTTTCATTACTCCAGTACTTGTGATCAAAGTTTAACACAGCAACTCCAGTTGAGAAATACTTTGCAAAGTATCCTAATCACTTCAGAAATGTTACAATAGTCTCAGAAATATCCTCCACAAATACCCTGGTTTCAGAAGGGAACCAAGAATCAAATATTCAAACATCATAGGAACCCCAAGACAAATAATCCCAAAAAGTCAGAGACCCAGATCTTACTGAGATGTTAAAATATGTATATTTCCATACTCAATTCCTGACTCATATTCTTGCCAAGTCATATTCTATTGCTGTATTACTGACAGTTTCAAAGGACTCCATTGGCCAAATCCCCTATTCAGCCCTCTTTTCCGTGCTTCTCCACCCCTATGCCTGACATGGCCTCCCACATCCTCTTGCCCATGTCCTCATTTAAATTCTCCTCCAAATCTAACTGCTCGTGGACCTGGGCCTTTCTTTAAAAGAAAGGAAGGAGATCATTCTTCCTCTCACCCATTCAGTACTTTCTGAGCACTTAATTGCAGAGCATGCCTTGTGTTCTGACCAGACTGGAAGCTATCAACAAGCTTATAGTGATAAGGGAAGTCACAGGGATAAAGCCAATAATTTTTTTTTTTCAGTACTGGAGTTTGAACTCAGGCCTACACCTTGAACAACTCCACCAGCCATTTTTTGTGATGGGCTTTTTCGAGATAGGGTCTTGCGAACTATTTACCAGGGCTGGCTTTTAACCTCAATCCTTTTGAACCTCTGCCTCCTGAATAGCTAGGATTACAGGCATGAGCCACTAGCTCCTGGCTAAGAAATATTTTTTTTTAAAGGCAATATTTAGAAAACATAGCTGGGCACAGTTCTCATGCCTCTAAACCTAGCTACCTGAAAGGTGTAAATTAGGAGGATTGAGGTTTGAGGCCAGCCCAGGCAAAAAATTCCCAAGACCCCATCTCAACCAATGAAAGTTAGGCTTGATGGCACATTCCTGTCATCCCAGCAATGCAGCAATTAGGGTAGGTAGGATGAGGAGAACTGGGGAGTATCAGCAGATATCTAGGAAATACCTACAATTAAGGTCTGAATAGAGACAGACCTGGAAAATAATGCCATGACAGAGGCAGAATTGCCAAGTTTCATAGGGGAGGGAGTATTCCACAGTACCAAATGGAAAGGTGAGGAAGATTAGAAAGTAGGATGAGAAGGTAGAGGATCAAAGAAAATGTATGTTAGATGTGGATGACTCAGGCATGTTGAAAGCCTGTAACAGAGAGCAGTCACAGAAGCCAGCAGAGAAAGGCCATAGTGATGAATGGTCTTAGGGAGACAGAAGAGATGGGAATAAGAGCAGACTTGTAGAAGGGTAGGCTCAGGCAGAAAGGCCTCAGCTCTGAAACAGGAAACTAAACGGTAAATATAGCCAGGAGGTATAGAAGGGGCAGGTCTCTGAGGAGCTCACACTGCATCTCCATTTCCCTGCTGCACTGGAGGCAAGGCTGTGTGCAATAACAGGTGAGAATGAAAGATAAGCTAAGGAGAGCAAGTGAATGTGTGGAGTGGATGTCTAGACCACCTCTACCCCTTTGCTGTTGTTATTAAAGCAAATAGCACTTTAAATTCCACAATGTAATATGTGTTTATTTATACTTTGCCCTGATCTACAAAGAATTTTAGGCAACAAAGTGATGTGTAAGTTTTGTCACATGGCCCCCTGAGGGTAGGAATAGCAATGTTCCTATGCTTTTTTGGTGACAAGTTAATGAGGTACTTGAGGGCAGCTCCACAGTTGTGCAGGCTCCCCCACCATTTGGTGGCCTCCTCATCAACAGCTGTATAAAAAACAAACCTCTGGTTCTAAAGAAGGGTATTTCCCAATTCAGTTCTTACTCTATGTCTGCCTCTAGAGAGAAAAGAAACACATCCTAAAGCTTGGAATTTAGAAAAGCTAATGTTGTAGAACAAATGCAAAGCAAAGACCACAAGTCACATCTTAGGTTCCTTTTTTTTTTTTGGTACTGGAGTTTGAATTCAGGGCCTACACCTTGAGCCATTCCACCAGCCCTTTTTTTTGTGAGGGGTTTTTTGAGATAGTCTCTCTCAAACTATTTGCCATGCTGGATTCAAACTTTGATCCTCCTTATCTCTGCCACCAGAGATAAGTGTGAGCCACCAGTGCCTGGCCTAGGTTCCCATTATGATGTTTGCAAAAATAACTTCAACTTTACAGCTAAGAGTCAGCCCTGTGTGGCTCAGTGGCAGACCACTTGCCTACCATGCTTGAGACCTTGGGTCAAATCCCCATCACTGCTAAAAAAACAAAAACAGGTCTGGAAGAGCGGCTCAAGTGGTAGGTACTTGGCTGGCAAGCACAAGGCCTTGAGTTCAAACACCAGCATTGCCATAAATAAATAAACAAATAAATAAATAAATAAATAAAAATTTAAAAAGCCATCCTTAAATAATTTAGTGTAATTTACTATTAATGCATAGCTTAGGGAGGTGGGGGGGGAGAGGGGGGTGGTGGGCAGTGGGGAGAAATGGCCCAAACAATGTATACACATATGAATAAATAAATAAACAATAAAAAAATGGATAGCTTATTAAAGTCATCAAAAGCTATGTGTTAAGGAGGAAAAAAGGGGAGAAAAATAGGATGCATACAGTTTATAAATATCTGATATAACTACCAACATTTTTTGAACACACTCTTTTTATAGGAACCTTACAGCTAAGTAGATTTGTAGTCTGAAAGAGTAAGACAATGAAGCAGAGTCACATTCTCAATCCCCTGACGCACCTGCAATGGTGGAGATTTGGCTCACTGGGATGGTGGCAGCTTTCTGCAGGTCCATCTTTATTTTTTTGGTCTGCCAGAAGAGAACAGTGAGAAGGCAGATGGAGTTTTGAAGGGTTGAGGAGATGCCTTTAGGACTAGGGAATGTGGTATGCCAGCAACATTCCTTTGGGACTTAAGGTTGTGGGGAACCACCCATAGAATTCTTGCGATCCAGCTATCCCTACCTGACTATCTTTGCTGTTGGTCAGACCCTCAAAGGCCAACACACACTGGGCAGAAGCATCCTGCAGCTGCTGGTACCACTGCATTGTACTGTCTTGTACCTTCACCTGGAGGTCTGAGGAACAAAAGACAGGCTTGAAAAGCAGCTAGTGCTTATCGAACATGTTATATGAACTAAGAATGTTCTACTCACTTTATTATATATTAACTGCTGTAGTGGTCACAATAACATGCTAAGCAGATACTATTTTTTTTTTTAATTTTTTTAGTGGTACTGGAGTTTGAACTCAGGGCCCCATGCTTGCTAGACACACACCCTACAACTTAAGGCATCCACCAGCCCCCTAGACTTTTTAAAATTTACTTTTCCTAGCAGTACTGGGGATTGAACAGCAGATACTATTATTAAGTCCATTTTGTGTATAAACAAACAAGCACAGAAAGGTTAAGTGATTTGCCAAGGTCACATTGCTAGTCAGTAAAAATAGATTCAAACTTATGTGGCTCTAGAGCCCAAATGTTACACTGATTTTCATACATATTAAGTGAACGTATCTGTATGTATTTATTTAAAATACTCAGTTGCAGCAATACTTAGAGTAATACAGCAACTAGAATTACACAGACTTTCTAGTCTTTGAGGAAAGTGTTTGAATGTGAAATCAGGTTCCACATCAACCAAAACTGAGCATAATCATTACGCAAAAGTTTTGATTAATTGCTCCATTCTGTAGCTTAACACATTCTCACTTTTCACCAACTGAAATACACTGAGTTAAAGGACTGTATCCACACCAAAACCCACCTTCATTCTGTGTCCATCCTGGGCCCTGGCTGGGAGCAGGGGACGGTGCATGGGCCCCTGACCCTTGCTGCATCTGTGATTCTTGCAGCTTGACCTGGGCCTCCTCTTCATCCTGTTGCTTCTTGTCCTCACAGGCTCTGGTGATCTCCTGCCCCAAGTTTGTGAGGAGGTCCCTCATTTCTTGAAGGGCTTGCTCAGCCTCAGCTTGGTTTTCTGCTGTGGGGTAGCCACTCTGTCAGAGGGACACAGACAGTGCTAAGTGCCCATTTTCTAGGTACTCCATTGGACCAATGGATTACCTACATTCAGTACACTGACGCTAGCTGAATTCTGTCCACTTTGAGATTTAATGCCAAATCCTAAGCATAAATTTTGTACGTTATCACCAACACTGGCCAGATTAAATTTTTAAGAGTTTGTGACAAAAATGATAGTCTTAGCCAAGAGTGGTGGTACACACCTGTAATCCCAGTATTAAGGAGGCTGAGGCAGGAGAATTATGAGTTCCACTCCAGCATGGGCTACATAGTAAGACCATATCTCAATAAAAAAAACAAAACAAAAAGATAATTTTAATTTGCAGTGTTACAGTAATGATGATTTTGAACTTATTTTCATATTTATTGGAAAAATCTTAGCTTTTTTTTTTTTTCCTGCAGTACTGGGGTTTTGTGGTGGGTATTCGAGATAGGGTCTCTCAAACTATTTGCCCTAGCTGGCTTCGAACTGAGATCCTCCTGATCTTTGCCTCCTAAGTGGTTAGGATTACAGGTGCAAGCCACTGGCACCCAGGTTATTTTAGCTTTTAAAAATTACTTGTCCTGTCCTTTGGCTGTTTTTTTCCTCCCTCCCTTTCTGTGGTCGTCCTTCCCTCCCTCTCTTCATCCCTTCCTTTCTTTCTTTCCTTACTGGAGATTGAACTCAGGGCCTTGTGTTTACTAGGGAAGTGCTCTACTACTTGACCCACATTCCCAGTCCTGCTCACTGTTTATATGATGGGAACAGAAAGTGACAGTGACTTAACTTTTTTCCATAAAATTGCAAAAGCACTCTTCGTATCAAGGACTTTTGTATGCTATAAACATTACATGTTTCCTAATTAAAATGTCTTTAGTTTTTATGAACTTGGGCTGGTTGAATGGCTCAAGCTGTAAAAGTGCCTGTCTAGGAAGTGTGAAGCCCTAAGTGCAAACCCTAGTACCACTAAAAAAAAAAAAAAAAAAATTATGCATTCATATCTATCCTTTTCCTTTATGACGTTTGTTCTTGTTATACTTACCTATGGCCTCTGCATCATAGTATTACTGAAATATTCACCTAATTTTTTTTTCCACTGAACTTAATGATTTCTTTACTTTTTTTGGTGGCATTGGGATTTGAACTCAGGGCCTCACACTTGCTAGGCAGGCACTCTTACTGCTTGAGCCACTCTGACAGCCCTTTTTTGTGATGTGTTTTTCGAGATAGGGTCCCTTGAACTATTTTCCCGGGCTGGCTTTGAAACTAAATCCTCCTGATCGCTTTTTCCAGTGGTATGAGCTACTGGTAGCCAGCATGACTTCTTTCTTTTGATCTCTTTGGTTTTGCATATAAATAACTAAGAACTAAAGAATAAGTTGAAAGTATGTTTTAGCTTTCTATATGAAGAATCTTTGTCCCATTGATTTATTTTATTTTATTCTGTGGTGCTGAGGATTGAATCCAAGGCTAGGCAAGTGCTCTATCACTGAACTACATTGTCAGCTCTTACTCCACTGATTAAAAGTGATACAGTGGGAGTGGGAGGATAGAGGTGACCCAAACAATGTATATACATGTGAGTAAATGTAAAAACAATAAAAAAAAAAAAATCTCCAAAGGCAATCAAAAAAAAGTGATACCAAGCTGGAGTACAACTTAGTGGCAGAGAACCTGATTACGATGTGCAAGGCCTGGGTATGAATATCAGTTCTGCAAAAGCTAATATGCATATACACACAATTGTACCTTTATACAGTCAAAATGTACAGCATAAAAACATTTCTGGCAATGATGGGCTGCATGTACAGCAGTGATCCCATAAGATTATATCATGTGGGCTGGCATGTAGCTCAGTTGTGGAGCACTTTCTCTCATACATGAGGCCCTGGGTTCAATGCCAAGCACGAAAGGATGGAAAAAAAAAAAAAAAGATCAGCTCACATTGACACAAAGGTGAATCACTCCAGGCACTGGTGGCTTACACCTGAAATCCTAGCTACTCGGGAAGGCAGAAACTAGGAGGACTGCGGTTTGAGGCCAGCCCAGGCAAACAGTTTATGAGACCCGATCTCGAAAATATCCAAAAATGGTGAAGTGGCTTAGGTGGCAGAGTACCTGCCTAGCAAACGTGAGTTCAAACCCTGGTAACTCCCCCCCTACAAAAAGCTATGAAAGTTCCTAACATATTTCTCCAAATACATCCATGCTATTAAGTGATAATGATTATACACTGACAATATATTAATCACCTATAAAAATTACATCTTAGCCGGGCACCGGTGGCTCACGCCTATAATTGTAGCTTCTCAGGAGACAGAGATCAGGAGGACTGAGGTTCAAAGCCAGCTGGGCAAATAGTTCACAAGACCCTACCTCAAAAACACCCCTACAAAAAAAGGACTGGCGAAGTGGCTCAAGGGGTAAAAGCACCTGCCTAGCAAACAGGAGGACCTGAGTTTAAACCCCAGTGCTGCCAAAAAAAAAAAAAAAAAGGAAAAAAAAATTTATCTTCTCCTGGTCTTGCTATTTGATTCCACTAATTCTGCTGTCTGTTTCTAGGTGAGAACAAATTGCTTTAACTGTAGTATTAGAAAATGTTTTTAGCTGGGCACCAGTGGCTCATGCCTATAATCACGGCTTCTCAGGAGGAAGAGATCAGAAGGATCTCAATTTGAAGCCAGCCTGGGCAAATAGTACGAGAGACCCTACCTTAAAAAAAAAAAATCACAAAAAAAGGGGCTGGTGAAGTGGCTCAAGTGGAAGCCCTGAGTTCAAGCCCCAGTACTGCCAAAAAAAAAAAAGAAAAAGAAAGAAAATGTTTTTATATACTCAGGTTTGGTGGTGGTGGTGGTACAACCCTGTAAATACAGCATGTTTGAGGTAGCGGCATTACAAGTTTCACGTCAGCCTAAGCTACGCAGTGAGGCTCTGTCTCAACAAACAAACAAAAATGTTTTATATTTGATCATGCAGGTCCTCCATCATTAGTCTTGTTTTCAGATAGTACAACATATTTTTGAACAAATATGATACCTTACTTTATTAAAGATTTTCAATACAATCATTTAAGTCTAATTTAATAAATCAAATGAAGTTTTGGACTTTTATTATTTAAATCATACATTTACTGTTGGTTTATTTCTAAGTATTTTATAATCCATTATTTTTGAAAGGGGGCAGAAGTGATGGCAACATTCTGTAATCCTAGCTTCTGAAAGTTTATAGCAGAAGTATCTTGAGGTCCAGGCCATCCCAGGCCACATAGTAAGACCCTTTCTCCAACAAAAAAAAAAAAATTAGGGCTGGGGGTACGGTTCAAATGGCCGAGTTCAAACCCCAGTACTGCTAAGGGGCGGAAAAAAAAAGTGTCTCAAGTGGTAGAATATCTGCCTAGCAAGTGTGAGGTTCTGAGTTAACCTGAAGTATGCCACCCTCTCAAAAAAAAAAAAAAAAAAAAAAAAGGAAGGTTGTTGAAGAATAACAAAGTATAAGATCCTTCTAAAAATGGCATTGAAAATACACTGTTGGCCAGGTACAGTGGTTCACACCTGTAATCCTAGCTACCTGGTAGGTGGAGGAGATTGGGAAGATCAGAGGCCAGCACAGACAAAAAGTTCACAAGACTCCAGCTTAACCAATAAAAGCGAGGCATGCAGGTGGACATCTGCCATCCCAGCTCCTCTTTATAAAAATCATAAAGAAAATTGTGGTCCAGGTGGGCCCAGGTATAAACTCTGGACCCAATCCAAAAATAATTAAAACAAAAAGGGCTGGGGTTGTGGCTCACATGGTAGAACGCCTGCCTAGCAAGTGCCAAGGCCCTAATTCAAACCCCATCACCACAAAAAAAAAAAAAAAAAAAAAAAAATCTAATAATTCCCAGCTTTTTTCTCTTAGCTTGCTAGGTAGATAATCTAATTGTCATCAAATAATAGTCATTACATTTCCTACTTAAATTTGTAACTTCACATATTTTTTCCTGCCTTGCATTGGCTAAAAATTTTTAACAATGAGCAAAGTAGCAATGTGATATATTATTCCTTTCCTGACTTTAATGGTGTAGCTAAAATGCAGTGTTAAATAGACTAAGAGGACACATACTTTATTATGTTAATGATGAATAAATTTTATTCTTTGTTAATTATGTTTTTTTAAATTTTTCTTGAAATGTGGCATGTTTTTACAATATCTGATGAGATAAACTATAATTTTGATCCCTTATCCTATTAGTGAAATGAATTTCATGAATAGATTTTATAACAAATGCACTAGCTTTACACAATTCTTAGAATAATACTTTTTTTTGTGATATTGGGGTTTGAACTCAGATCCTTGTGCTTGTTAAGCAGGCACTCTACCTCTTGAACTATGTACTCAGACCTTTTTGCTTTGGTTATTTATTCTGGGTTTTTTTTTTTTTTTTTTTTTGGTGGTTCTAGAGACTGAACTCAGGGCCTTGGGATTCTAGGCAGGCCCTACACCACTTGAACCATGCCTCCAACCTTTTTTTGGGGTGGGGCGGGGAGTGTTGGTATTTGATTGCTAGGCAAGCACATGCCCACTGGAGTCATCTGCTAGCCTGCGTTGATTATTTTTGAGATAGGGTCTTGAGTGCATGCCTGGGCCAGCCTGGACCAAGATCCTCCTATTGACAAGCTTCCCACTTGTCTGGGGTGAAAGGCAGCACCACCACACCCAGCTTTTGTTGGTTGAGATGGGTCTTGTGAACTTTTTGTCTGGGCTGGCCTCAACCTTCAATCTTCCCCATCTCCACCTGCCAAGTAGCTAGGATTAGCTCCAGAAGAATACTACTTCTTTAGGTATGGTATATTATTCTAAGGCACTGATAAATTTGATTCCTAATCTTTTCTTTTATAATTTCTGCTCATAAATAAGATTGTATATAAGTAAGGCTGATATGCAAATTTCTAAGTTTGCTACTTTGTCAGAATTTGATTATAAAGGATTACAAAATGAACTAAGAAGTCCTGCATTATTTTCACTGTTCTGTTCTATAAATATGTTTGTTAAATCACCAAGGTCCCTCATTTTGAGATAACTCACCCAACATAGAAAAATAAAGAAAAAACTTCTACTTTTGGGCATCTACTTATTAGTTTATGATTAGTTTTCCCCTCCAAATACTAAGGTATAATGTTACCTAAATAGGATAAGCCTGGTATCAAAATAAAAATACAATCAGTAGAGCATCTACCTATCAAGCGTGTACCCTTGTTCAAATCCTAACCCTATACTGATTTTTAAAAACATGCAATCTTCAATGGAAGGACAGAGACATACAATCCATAAAGTAAATTAAAAAGGTGAACAAAGGTGAAAAATGTTCAATGTCACTATTAATTTAAGTAGAAATTATACAAAAATATTACTGAAGGCAAAAGGATTCAAGAATTTTACAATATCTAATGTCAAATATCTGATGAAAATAGCACTAGACACTATCTGTAAAATATGAGCTAGGAGGGGTGCAGTGGCTTATGTTTGTAATCTTTACTACCTGGGAAGCATAAAATGGGCAGTTAGTGAGACCCCTATATCAGTCAATAAAACATTAGCATGGTGGTATATGCTTATCATCCCAGCTACAGGAAAAGTGTAAAGAGGAAGATTGCTGTCCAGGCCAGCCCAGGCATAAAAGCAAGACCTTATTAAAAAAACATAAACAAAGCAAAGAGGACTGGGGGTGTGGCTCAGGTTATACAGCACCTGCCTAGCAAGTGCAAACCCCAGTACTACAAAAAAGAAAGTGTGAACTAGAAGTTAAGCATGGAGCATACACCTATAATCCTAGCACTTGGGAAGCAAAGATAGGAGGATCTCAACTTCAAGGCCATCCTGGGCTACATAGTGAGATCTTGTCTCAAAAAAAACCCAAAACAGCCAGGTGCTAGTGGCTCATGCCTGCAATCCTAGCTACTCAGGAGGCAGAGATTAGGAGGCTCACAGTTTGAAGCCAGCCTGGGCAAACAGTTCAAGAGACTCTATCTCAGAAAAAAATCTATCACAAAAAAGAGCTGGCAGAGTGGCTCAAGGTATAGGCCCTGAGTTCAAAACCCAGTACCACAAAAAAAAAAAGTCAAAACAAAAATATTGTGAATTGGTACAACTTCTGGATAGGAACCAAGAACCTTAAAATTCTCTGATGAAGCCAGGTGTGCTGGTACATGCCTGTAATCTCTGCACTTATGAGACTAAGCAGAAGGATTGAGTTCAAGGCCAGCTTAGACTACATGGGCCAGATCCTGTCTTAAAAAAAAAAATTAATGAAGTTATTCTAGGAATTTATCTCAAGAAAATAATCAGAAATACTTACATAATGATAGTCTAGTTCTATGCATGGTAGTAAAAATATATAAAATCTTGATTTAGTGGAACTTAGATTCACCCAAGTACTTAGTACCACTGGGGAAAAGGGAATTTTAGAGTACACTGACCTTCAGAATCATAGATGTCACCATCACCATTATACACAAGTCATGCAACACTAAAAACATTTTATAAAAAGTCGTATCTTCATTATCTAGAAGTTTATGTACTTTTACATAATTGACTCATTTTTTTTTGTTGGTGGTGGTGGAACTGGGACTTGAATTCAGGCCTTCTTGCTTTCAAAGCATGCACTGTACTCCTTGAGCAACACCTACAATCCATTTTGTTCTGGTTAATTTGGTGATGGGGGTCTCACAAACTATTTGCCTCAGCTGGCCTCAAACCACAGTCCTCTCTATCTCAGCCTCCCAAGTAGCTAGGATTACAGGAGTGAACCACCAGAGCCCAACGTGACTCATGATTTTGATACAAGTATATACTTTGCTTTTTTCCTTTGCTACATTCAAAACATTTCTCATATTTTTTACAATCTTAATAATCATTTTGAATGGGGCATAATATTTCCCTTAGGTAGTATATACACTCAACATCAGATCCTCAGAATTAAAGTTGAGGCTATTACCACAAAAAAGAAAATAGAAGATATCAGCCATCTTTAACATTAACCAAGAAGACTGACTTTTAGCCCCAAGGCCTAATCTGAATTGACTTATCTCTCTCATCTAATTCAATAAAAAGAGGTAAAATTTTGTATCAGCAATCTTCAAACTTAAGTGTTTGTCCTCCAAAGGGTTTTTAAGGGCAGGTAGACACTTAGTTTGAGGGTCACCAATTTCTGAATCTTCAATTCACACCTATATTCTTTCCTCAAGTCCATCTGTTAGTGAAGGATGCAGTGAAGATGTCTTGATAGTTAATTTTCTGACTTTTTCATAATAGTTTTACCTTTCTCAATTTGCAAAAAGAAAGGCAGGCATTTCATTCATTGAGGATCTTAAAATGATGCATTATTCTGGAATGTAAAAACCTCAGGGAACCTTTTGTCAGTTCTTTTATCAATTTAAAATATTGAGCTGTATGAGAAAGTATGTCACAAGTCACATGCTTTGCAGATAATTGCTTTCAACTAAGTGTGACCTCAATGCCGCTAAGTGAGTTAATAAATTGGAAGTAGTTTATTGATATAAATTCCTTGTAGACCTATCTACTTATTAATGTGAAAACATTTTTCAGAATTTATAAAAATGAAAAATTAAGAAAAAAATATATATATAAAATGATGAAGCCCTGAGTTCAAACCCCAGCTTAATTAATTAATTAATGTTGAATTTAAATGTTCAATATTTTATTGTTTTCTTCAATAAATTTCAGTGTGATTATATGTTGCAAATATCCAATATAACCTGTCATCAAATATTTATGGAATGTTTATGGAATAAATATATACATATATATATAATATTATGGAACATATAAATGTTGAGACAATACTTGCACCTGTTAAACTTTTTTTTTGGAGGGGAGTGGAATGAGGGACTTGGATATGAACTTAGGGCTCTATCACTCACAAAACAGATGTTCTATCACTTGAGCCACACCTCCAGGCCCAAAATATCTTTAATGAAGGTTAGGGGAATGGCTCAAGAGGTAGAGCACGTATTTAGCAAATGCAAGGCCCTGACTTCAAACTCTACTACTGCCAAAAATAAAACAAAATTAAAACAAAAGATAATTACAATGTGAGGCTGGGTATGATGGCTCACACCTATAATCCCAGTTACTTGGGAGGCAGAGATTGGGAGCTTGAGCCCAGCTCAAACAAAAACATTAGCAAAATCCCATCTCAACAAAAAGCTGGCTATGGTGCTGTACACCTGTCATTCCAATTACACAGAAGCCATAAGGATTAAAGTCCAGGCCTACTAGGGCAAAAACTTGAGACTTTATCTGAAAAAAAACTAAAGCAAAAAGATCTAGGGGCATCACTCAAGTGGTAGAGTGCTTGCCACTGAGTTCAAACCCTAGTACAGCCAAACAAAACCCCAAAACAAATAAAACCCACAATGTTAACTAAAAAATGCAAAATGCACTTCTGTAAAGTTTTCATTTTTACCATGAGCACAGCAAGTATTCAATACAGATTATTAATTAAGAGATTTTGCAATCAGAAGAAACATATTTTTTAAGACTTTTTCTTTTTTTGGCATTACTGGGGTTTGAACTGAGTGAGGCTTACACGCTTGCTACACAGGTGCTCTACCACTTGAGCCACTCTGCCAGCCCCAAAACAAATACTTTTTAACCTAAGATAGGAAATTCTTGATCTATATGAGTCCAGTCTGGGATTAGGTTAACACACACACATACACATATTCTATCTGAAAAGAAGCACAAGAAAATGTTACCCGTGGTTAACGCTTGGTAAGGAGATGACCTGTAATGATTTTTAGTATTTCCTTCAATAGACAGGCACTACTTTTAAATCAGAAAACATTTTGCCTTTAAGAGTCTCCACTTCTGATAGAAAGCAGAGTCACTCTGCAGTCTCTCACCTCTGAAGTGGCACGAATGATCCCAGAGATGAGGCTGCACAGCTGGTTACCCCGGGTCCGGAAGGTAGCAAGGTCGACCACCAGCAGGTCCTTGTGCTGGTCAGAGGCATCCAGCTGCTGGCTGAGCTGTAGCACCTCCTCCTGCAGGGTGTAGAGTCTCTGCAGGCGGACCTGACCTTCCTCTTTCCGCAGCCGCTCCTGCTCTGCCTGCTTCATGCGCTGCTGCTCTGCCTCCCGAAGCTTCAGATTGAGAATCTACAGAAAGGACATGTAAAGTTGTTCCTGAGGGGGCTTTTAACTTTCCACATTGCTCAAGTCCTAGGTGAGCTACACACTTTTACAGATGGACTCAGAGCAGGAAGAAGACTTCCCAAGGCCCTCTGATGGTTAATCTTGCTTGTCAACTTGACTGGATTGAGAAGCACCTAGAATAGTAAAGCATACCTCTTGGGGTATCTGTGAGGGTGTTTCCAGAAAGGATTATCTAAGGGAGAAGACCTACCCTGAATATGGCATCATACCATAGGCTGGGAGCCCAGATGAATCAAAGGGAGAAAAGAAGAAAGCTAGCTAGCATAGGCATTCCCTCTCTCTTTGCTTCTTGGCTGTCATGATGTGAACTGCTCTGCTCTGCCACATTCTCCCTGCCCTGATGAACCGAAACCTTTGACACTGTGAGACAAAAATCAATCTGTCTTCGTAAGTTGTTCTTTGGGTATTTGGTCATAGTGATAAAAAAGTAACACAGCCAGTCATGATCATTATGGGTCAGGTTCATCAGGATAACTGCTGGAACCTGACCCTCAGCAGACAACAGCACACTCACACTAATTCTCCCAGGCACTGACCTTGGCTCTGTGGCGATGCTCAGCTTTTAACTTCTCCTGGTGGCCCAGGGCTTCTCTGGTGCTGAATGAAAATGGCAGAGAGAAGAGTCAGGGATGTGCTTCCTAAGACTTTCCCTCCACACAATCCTGCCTTATTGTGTTCCATTAGTCACCTGCCTGAGAGGTTGGTCATTCTTCAGATTATAAACTTCTCTGTCTATTTCATAAAGGGACTCAAAACTTCCCAAGGGGAAAGCATTCCTGCTGACCATACAGACCTTACCATCATAATTCAGGGAGACTCACCTCTTCTCCATCACTTCCCGTAAGTCTTGGAATTCCTTATGTTGTTTCAGTTCCTTCCGCTCATCAAACCGCTTCAGCTGCTCTGATGCCATCTCTGAGAAGGCTCGAATCCTTCTTTTCCTGCTCCTCCTGCCACTGCCTCAGGCCCTCCTGAAAAGAAATGGCACCTTCTCTTGGAGTGCCAATACCACCTTGCTTATTTTCCCCTGGGCCAGCCTCCCTCAGTCCTGAACACTTCAGAGACAGTCCAGGCCTGGAATCATCTACTCATTTATCAGGAGCCCTTTTCCTTTGGGTGGATCTTTAAACTCTGTTGTTCTGGAAAGCTCTTCCAGTTTGCATCATGGTGTTTTGTTTTGGTGGGGCTGGGTTTTGTACTCAGGGCTTCATCCTTGCAAAGTCAGTGCTCTACTGCTTGAGGCATACCTTTAGTCCATTTTGCTCTGGTTATTTCAAAGGTAGGTCAAGAGTTATTTGCCCAGGCTGGCCTTGAACTAAGATCCACCTGATCTCAGGATTACAGGTGCGTATCACCAGCACCTGACCTGTTTTTTGTTTTTTTTCAGACAGGGTTTTGTTGCGTAGCTCCAGCTGGCTTTGAACTCTTGATCCTCCTGTCTCCATCTCCCAAGTGCTGTGATTATAGGTGTGTACCACCTATAATCTTGCCTGGCAAGACATTATGTTATTCTAAGGACTCACAGTGTAGCTCAGTAGTTGACCACTTACTAGCATGTGTGAGGCCCTGAATTCAGTCCCCAGTACCACAAAAAAATTTAAAAAAGAAAGACAAATATTTTAAAACTTATTTTAAGTTTCCAGCATAAGAAGGCAAATTGAACAAAGCATATTTACTCCTTTGGGACTATGTTAAATGAGTTGGGAAGAAAAACAGAGCATGAGAGAGAGAATACCACCAGGAAAAACTTTCTATATACTTCTAAAACACAGAAACTCAGTAGAGGAAAAATGAACGATACAGCAGAACTAAGCAAACCCCAGAATACACACATACAAATGCGTATAAACAGTCTCTGCCTCCAAGGAACAGAGAAACTTAGGACTGGAAATGCAGGATCAGATATGAGATAGGCCTCACACAGCTGAAAATAGGAGGGATGAGCAGAATGTATGCAGACAAAATAGTCAACTCTTGCCTCCACTCTCCAGTCAATGGATCAAAACAGCTCAGAACTAGGCATTTGTGTATAATGTATATCTGGGAATTCTGTGACACTCCTCCCGTCTACCTCTGTACTTCAAATCGAGCAGGCTTTATGATTACCTTGGTGAAGAGAATGTGGAACTCCCCACCAAGACTGAGTTAAAAAGGCCATGCAGGTTTGCCTGTTTTTCTTAGGATGCTTACTTTTGAAACCTGACCACTATGCTGTGAGGAAGCCCAGCTACATGGACAGGATAAGTTAACTAACAGCTAACCTCAATTGTCAGACAAGTAAGCATTTGCTATGACACCAGCTCCAGTCACCGCAACCACAGGAAGGTCCAAATGAGAACCTCCTAGCTGGGTCCAGTCAATCCCCAGAAATATAATACTTGTGAATATTAGTTATTTGAAGCCACAGCTTATGGTAATTACACAGTAATGCATACTCCTAGCCAAAAAATGGAGAGTTCTTCTTTAAAAGAAAATTAGAAATTAAGAAAAAAGAGAACAGAAAGAAAAAGCGAAAGAATAAACTGTCAAAAAAAATTGGGTCAGCTAGTATGTGAGTTGATATTCCAGAACCTTTAGGAAGCCTCAAAGCATAAAATATTGCTCCTGACTATTCACCTTGAACCCTTGGTCCAATAACTGGCAAATATTTCTTCTTTAGATATCAGGAATCTTTATATCATAAGAGACATTGAGGCTGGAGGTATAGCTCAAGGGGTAGAATGTCTGCCTAGCAACCACAAGGTCCTGAGTTCAATACCCAGCACCACAAAACAAAAACAAATAAGATACTAAGATGAAGAAATGGAAAAATAATGTAGAAGAAAAAAATATATATATCAAAGAACAAAAGTGAGTCTAAAAAAGAACTCTAGAGCTGGCCGCCGAAACCTATAATCTTAGCTAGTCAGGAGACAGAGATCAAGAGGATTGCAGTTCAAAGTCAGCCAGGGCAAATAATTTGCGAGACTATTTCGAAAAAACCCAACATAAAACAGGGCTGGCAAGTGGCTCAAGTGGTAGAGCACCTGCTTAGCAAGCCTAGCAAGCGTGAGGCCCTGAGTTCAAACTGAAGTACTGCCAAAAACAAAAAAACAAAACTCCAGTATGATATGAAATGAGAATAAAATGCTCTGTAAAAGGAACAAGTGGAAAATAAGGAAAAGCTCTCAATCAGGAGGCTGAGGCAGGAGGACCATGGAGCCCAGGAGGTTGAGGCCAGCCTATGCAACACAGTGAAACCTCATCTTAAAATAAATAAGGGAATAAATGAAAAATAAATAAGACAAAGCTCATGAAAATTAAACATATAATTTTAAAAATACAGACATAGGGCTAGGACAATAGTTCAGTGGTAAAGTACTTGACTAACATAAACAAAGCCCTGGGTTTGATTTTTAGCAGCACAATAATAATAACAACAACAAATAATACATACATATGTGTGTGTTAACAATTAGAGAATAAAGTAAGAAAATCTTCTAGAAAACAAAACAGGAAAATAAAAAAAGATAAAAGATATGGAGGATTAATCCAGGAAACCAATTATCTGACTAGTAAAAGCTCTAGAAACAATAAAAAGAAATGGAGGGCTGGGGGAATAACTCAGCAGCAGCACACATGCTTAGCATACACAAGCCCTGGGTTCAATTCCCAGCACCTCCCTCCCCACCCCCCACAAACACACTCACAAAAATGCAAAAATGGAAACAAAAACTAATCAAGAGGGAAATAATTTCCAAAGATAAAGGACATAAATTTTCAGCTTCAAACAATTCACATACCCAGAAGTTGGCTATTTCTTACCACCTTCACTGCTCACCCAGATTCTAACAGTTTTCTAACTACAGTTTTACTGCTCATCCCCCTCTGTCTCTCCTCACCAGCATACAGGATTTAGGAAGGCATGGCTGTCTTATCTAGATCTTGAACAGCATCTAGCACATAGGTGCTCAATGAGTATTTGCTGATTCAATGTTTAAGTGAATGAGGGACGATGCCAGGAGATTTTCACTTTGCTCTATAGTCTGGGGAAGGGGATTTACAAAAAAAGTCTATGATCTGAACACTTTTACAAAATCATGCATTTTTTAAAAAATATATTTTTTTGGTGGTGCTAGGGTTTAAACTCAGGGCCCTCATGCTTGCCTACCACAGCCCCATTTTTTTAACATGAAAAGTCAAATTTAATTTAAAAAATTCTATTAGGACTCGGGGCATACATAGCTCAAGCGGTAATAGAGCACTTGTCTAACAAGCGCAAGGCCCTGAATTCAATCCCCAGAAATCCTTCCCGTCACCCCAAAAAATACCTTAATTGACTTTCTTTTATTTTTTTTTTCAGTTATAGAATTAGGCAATACTTAATTCTGTAAAATAAAAGAACTATTCCCAAAAGTCAAAAAAATTAATTAAAATAGTGCTTTTGTTTGTTTGTTTCCCAGAGGCTGTTAAGGTCCCATTGTCATAGTATAACCTTATCTGACCAGCCTGGACCATCTCCAAATTTTTGAAGAAGTAAATGAAAGCCAGAAAAACCTAAGTAATTTTCCCAAAGATATATGTAAAATAGAAGAGTCAGGATGTAAAACCAGATCACATCAGAGTGCTCACTCTTGACCTCTATATTATTCTACCTCCCCAAACGAGTTCCTAATGAGTATGACACCATGATTAGCATATAGTGAGCATTCCGAGACCTGGGGAACTGCAGGGTCAAGCCTGTCTTGCTTCACAGGTTCACTTACAGTTCCTTTCATTCTATGAACCAATTCATACATTCGGATGCAGCCTTCTACTCTGACCCCACGGGAACACTGAAGCGCCATAGGTTCTGTGTGCTGGGACTCATGTTTGCCCTACATAGACAAAAGACATAAAAAGAATTAAGCTTTTAACATGGCAAAGTTTGTGCTATCTCTTCTAGGAAAAGATTACATCCTGTGTTAGCTTTCCATCGCTATGACAAAACACCTAGGAAATCAGATTTATTTTGGCTCATGAGTTCAGAGGTTTCCATCTGGTCACTTGGCTTCGTAGGTTCTGGGCTGTGGTGAGGAAGAACCCAAATATGGGGAACATGTGGTGGAGCAAAGCTACTCAACTCATGGTCACCAGGAAGCAGAGACAGAGAAAGGGGCTGGGGACAAAACTACCAAGCCAGGTATCGGTGGCTCACACCTGTAATCCTAGCTATTCAGGAAGCAGAGATGAGGAAGATTGCGGTTCAAAGCCAGACAGGGCAATAGCTCAAAAGATCCTATTTCAAAAAAACACATCACGAAAAAGGGCTGGTGGAGTGGCTCAAGGTTTAGGACCTGAGTTCAAACCATAGTACCACAAAAAAAGGCACCTAAGATATACAACAGACAGGTATAGTAGTGTACCCCTGTAATTCCAGCACTCAGGAGGCTGAGGTGGGAGGATTAAAATTTCAGGGCCAGCCTGAGCTACATAGAGAGACCCTTGTCCCTCCTTCTCACCCCCTCCCCGCACAAAAAGAAAAGAAAGAAGGAAATAAAACTAAAAATGATGTAACAATAAACAAATTAAAAATTAGAGCCATATGCTGGTGGCTCATGCTTATAACCCTAGCTACTCAGGAGGCAGATATGAGCAGATTAGTGGTTTAAAGCCAGCCTGGGCAAACAGTTTGAGAAAATACCTAGCACACACACACAAAAAAAGGGCTGGCAGAAAAAGATTTAACTTGTACTGGGGCTTAAACTCAGGGCCTCACACTTGCTAGGCAGGCACTCTATCACTTGAGTCACTCTGCCAGCCCTATCTTGTGTTGGGTTTTTTGAGATAAGAGCTCACTTTTGTTGCCCAGGCTGCCCTCAAACTGCAATCATCTTGATCTCTGCCTCCTGAGTAACTAGGATTACAGGCATGAGCCACGAGTGCCTGGCACAATTTAACACTTTTAAATGGGAGAAAGAAACCAAGGCAGGGACAAACTAGAGACAGTAAGAGGGTAAAAACTAATACAGAACCAATGTAAGGTGTGAAAATTTAATTTTCAAGCAATTATAAGTGTTCATGAGAAAAAGACAATCTGCTCATGAAATTAATTACTGTTCTTGGTACAAAGAATAGAGGAATTCTTCCCTCTGAATTGTCATAAAGAGAACACTGAGTGATATAGTAAATATTTTCTCTACAAAGAGCTGCAATAAGAAACAATCATTACTTTCCCCAGGGTAAGGTCACTGTCATATGACTATATCAAACACTTCAATTTTGTAGTCATTATGTCTCTTGTCTTAAGTAAATTAAACCTTACCTTGGTTCCATCTGGTGTTGTAGGGGATGCTGATGAGAAGGCAGAGCTTCTGACAGGAGATATGGGAACAAGCAAGGGTTGGTCTGTGGCTGAAGTAGATTCAGAAGATGGTGACGTCTCAGAGGGAGAGGGGTTCTCTTGTGCTTGCCGATGGGTTAGGACATTATCTACCACCCATCCAGAGTAAGAAGACAGCTTGGGAAGAGACATACATTCTTCCAAAACATCCTAGAAAGAGGAAGGTTGAGCACAGTTTGCACATTCGCTGATCTAAGCATAATCCACTATATGCCTCCTTTTTATTTTTTTAGTACTGAGGTTTGAACTCAGGGTGTTGCATTCTACCACTTGAGCCACACCCCCAACATCACTATATGTCTTCCTGAAAGTCTCAGAAGGCCCAAATAAATAAATCAATTGAAGACTCAAAGTAACTATGTTAATAGTCTCAAAGTCTCAAAGTAACTAGTTAATAGATAAAAAGTACAGTGGTGTATGAGACCCCAGGTTCGTTCCCCGGCATCTCCACCAAAAAAAAAAAAAAAAAAAAGTACAGTGGTTTCTTTTTTTCTTTTTTGGCAGTTCTAGAATTTGAACACAGGGCCTCATACTTGTCAGGCTCTACCACTTTAGCCACTCCACCAGCCTGACAGAGATTTCTTGATAGTGACCCTGACTACTATCCTAAGAAAATCAGACTAAATAATTCTAACTGCGAAAAAAGGAACAATGTGCAGACTATCATTAAAGGAAATTTAAAAGCAACCTAAAACACTGGGACAGAATAGAACATGTGAAGAATTCTGAAGTAAGCAGAATCAGTGGAATAATGCCCCTTTTAAAATACTGATTGAGCCAGGCAACAGTGGCTCACTCCTGTAATCTTAGCTACTCAAGAGGCAGAGATCAGGAGGACAGTGGACCAAAGCCAGCCCAGGCAAATAGTTCTCAAGACCCTATCTCAAAAAAACTCAGCACATCGCGCTCTCCCCTAAAATAAAAAAAAAAAAAAAAAAAAAAACTCAGCACAAAAAAAAAGGGCTGGCAGAGTGGCTCAAGGTGTATGCCTTGAGTTCAAACCCCAGTTCTGCAAAAATAAATAAATACTGATTGAGAGCTGGGGAGAGAACAGCCATGATAGAACACATGATTTGTATGCACAAAGTTCTGCATATAAATCCCAGGAATGTACAGAGAATGCTGTGCTCACTTCAGAAGCACATACACTAAAACTGGAATGATACAGAGAATAATACGGCCTCTGTGCAAGGATGACATGCAAATTTGTGAAGTGTTCCATATTTTTAAAAAACTTGATTGTGGGGCTGGAGGTGTGGCTCAAGCAGTAGAGCACCTGCCTAGTAAGCATGAGGCCCTGAGACCAAACCCCAGAACCACAAAAAACAAAACAAAAAAATTGATTGTGAATCTTCTATATAAGCAGCATACTTAAGATTCAGGTTTTCGTCAGGTGCCTGTGGCTCACACTGTAATCCTAGCTACTCAGGAGGCAGAGATTAGGAGGATTGTGGTTCCAAGCCAGCCCAGACAAATAGTTTAAGGGACCCCATCTCAAAAAATCCCCTTCATGGGGGAGAAATGACCCAAACATTGTATGCACATATGAATAAAAGAAAAAAAAAAAGCAAAATCCTTCACAAAAAAGGGTTGGTGGAGTGGCTCAAGGTGTAGGACCTGAGTTCAAATCCCAGTACGGCAAAAAAAGAGGTTAGTAGGTTTGTTTTTCACAGAGGCATTCTATGTCCTAAAATTCAAAAATTACTTGCTGTCTATTCTAGGAGTGAGGAAATAAGTATATTGTGGATATAGGAGCTAGGTTCTGTCAACAGAGTGAACTATATGGCTTTGAATAAATTGGCAGTATTATTATGAATTCATGTTTTTTAACATATATATATATTTATATATATATATGCATGTATATATCCTCAGTAGTAATTTTTGTTTTGTTTTGTTTTTTTTGCAGTACTGAGGTTTAAACTCAAACCTACACCTTGAGCCACTCCACCAGCCCTTTTCTGTGAAGGGTTTTTTCAAGATAGAGTCTCTCAAACTATATGCAGGGGCTGGCTTCAAACTGAGATCCTCCTAATCTCTGCCTCCTGAGTAGTTTAGACACCAGTGCCTGGCTCCCCAGTAGTAATTATATATCTAGTGGCAGATCTTAGTTTCTAAATATAATTTTGACTGAAGAAAACCAGAGATTATTGCACTTAAGGCAGGTTCCAGAGCTGGGTCTGGAAAAATACTGAAGAATGCATCCTCCATGCCCTCTTCCTTTGGCATGGAGGATGCAGCAGATAGTGGCTGAGGGAAAGTAAGAAAGTTGGTAGCTAGGATCAGGGAGTGTATGAAGGAGTCTGTCAAAGGAACAACCAGAGAGGTTAGAAGACTGTTACAAATGAGCAAAATAAGTAAACTGATTGGGCAAACAGCAAGAATAACCAGAGCCAAATTTGTCACTGCTGCATAACATTCTTACAAAATGGATGGGGGAAGGCTTGAAAGAACCCTAAGGTACTGAATTAGAGGTGGAAGTTATCAATATGAACTTACAGTTTTATAACATATATGTGCACACAAATAGAGAAACAGTGACAGAAAATATATAGAAGGGTATGTGCATATGTTCATATATACATGTTTCCTAGGTCTTTCCGCTCAGAAGTCCCAGAAGGAATGGTTACCAAGCAACAGTGAACACACTGAGCTCCCAGATCTTGGTTTGTATCCTCACCTTCAAAAAACCAAGCTCTTCTGGGTACCAGTGGCTCATGCCTCTCTACTTGGGAGGCAGAGATCAGGAGGATTGAGGTTCAAAGCCAGCCAGGGTGAATGGTTTGCAAGACCCTATCTCGAAAATACACAACACAAAAAAGGGTTTGTGGAGTGGCTCAAGTTGTAGAGTGCCTGCCTAACAAGCACGAGGCCCTGAGTTCAAACCCCAGTTACCACCCAAAAAAAAAAAAAGGGAAGGTCTTTGGAGAAACAGCTGATTTCAGAGTTGGGACAAGAAGAGTACAAACTGCAAATGGGACACTTTGTTATGCCAAAAAGAAAAGAAATATCAATGCAGAATGGAAGCATGTCAAGGAGTCACAGGAACTGACTTTACAAAGTTCCCAAGAACCAAATCTGAGACATTTAAAATGAAAAAGGTAAATAAGGGTTGGGGATGTAGCTCAGTGGTAGGGCACATGCCTAGCAATCATAAGGCCCTGGGTTTGATGGAAGGAAGGAAGGTAGGAAGGAAGGAATTACTATTCATTGGATAAAGTAGGAACCTATGAGTCCACAGTGATATAAATAACTAGAGTGCTGGGAACCGGCGACTCACACCTGTAATCCTAGCTACTCAGGAGGCAGAGATCAAGAGGATCCTGGTTCAAAACAAGCCCCGGGCAAATAGTTTGTGAGACCCTATCTCAAAAAACAAAAATCACATGGGGGCAGGGGGGAGAAATGACCCAAGCATTGTATGCACATATAAATAATAAAACAATAAAAAAATAAATAAATAAAAAATAAAAATAAAGGTAAGAAAACATTAAAAAAAAAGTTGAAAAAAAATCACAAACAAGGGCTGGTAGAGTGACTCCAGGTGTAGGTCCTGAGTTCAAATCCCAGTACAAAAAAAAAAAAAGAAAAGAAATTCAGAGCAAAATGAACTAGAGCTGTGGCTCAAGTGGTGGAGTGCCTGCTTTGCAAGCACAAAGCCCTGAGTTAAACTCCATTCCACGCCCAATTAAAAAAAAAAAAAAAAAAAAAAGACAGAGAAAAGAAAGCTCTTCCTTCCAGTGGCTCTTCCTAACAAACGCAGAAGGAATGATGGACATAAAGAAACATCAATAGGGGTTAGGAATGTGGCTCAAGTGGTAGAGTGCCTCCCTAGCAAGCATGTGACCCTGAGTTCAAGCCCCAGTACTGCCACAAACATAAGAAAAGAAACATCATTTGGCATAACAGAGGTGACTGATTCAGGCAGAAAATATTTTATGAATGCTCAGGTTGGAGGATAGAGATATGATAACAAAAAGATGTATCAGTGTAATCTCTGGAATATCCTCCCCATGAAAACACTAATCAACTACAAAGGGGAAAATGAGGTTGAAAGACTTGGGATATGACCAGGTGATCAAAGTTAGACACACACACACACACTTAGCATCACCACAGTTGGCTTGGTTGATACCTGTATCTCCTCACGATTTACAGAGAACACAGTACCAGCACAACTTGGGCTGGGGGTGTGGCTCAGGTGGCTAGGTGCCTGCCTGGAAAGTGGAAGGCCCTGAGTTCAAACACAACGCCATTTTTAAAAAATGTAGTAATTCACAACCTGGCCAAGCATTCTTGTGTGTGCCTGAAATCCCAGCTACTCAGGAGGCAGAGGTCAAGAGGATCACAGTGTGAGGCCAGCTCAGGCAAAGTTATTGAGACCCATATCAACCAACAAGTCAGGCATGGTGATGTGCACCCGTAATTCCAGCTAGGCAGGAGGCCATAGGCAGAAGGATCACTGTCCTGGGCCGGCCCCAGTAAAAGACAGGGGACCCTACCTGAAAAATAACTAAAGCAAAAAAAAGGTCTGGGTGCATGTTCAGAAAGTAGAGCACCTACCTAGCCAAAAAAAGAAAAGAATGATGTACAACTTGAGTCTGGTGGTTTGGAAACATCACACAAAACCATGAAGGTAAGGGCCACATTCTTTTGAGACTGTCAAAGACAGCAAATGAAGCGGAATATTTTTAGAATTGTTTCGCAGGAAAACATCCCATCTGTAGCTAGATTAGCTGGCAATAGCGCAGCACAGGGCTTTGCAAATACTCTGGACAGTGACCACGCCCCCAGTAGCCTAACAGGTCCGCCCCAAGTCATCTAAACCAGCGTCTCACTGGCAGCAGTGAGTTAGGTTGTGTTAATCGCTCGCCGCTAAATCTGCAGCAGCTGGCACATGACATACACTGTAAATTAACAAGCTCCGAGGGGCCAGGGTGGCTGACAACAGAGGCTCCTGACTGGCTGGGGTGGCAGTGAAGCCTCTGAAGGGAACCTCATGAACAGATGAAGTAGGCTGGAGCAGGCAGAGACGCCAGGACTGAGACATGCACACACAGACGAGTCCAGAGATCAATGCGTGCAGTTAGAACGCACAGGTCCCCCGCGCAGGGCGTGCCGAGGGACAGGGAAGAGCAGGGTGCCGTCGCGAGGGGCCAAGAGGACGTATTCTCTCCGGAGCCACTGCTCACCTCGCCCCGCAGCAGCCAATCGCGGTGGTAGCAGAGGCGACCTTTGTTGGAACTGCGCAGCGCCTGTAGGGTCTTCCAGCAGCGACCCTCAGACGGCATGACCCCTTCTGCTGCTGCTTCTCTCACAGGCACCACTGGTGACAACACACGGCCTGGAACCAGCCGCCCGGAAAGGGTGCCGGCTTCCGCTTCCGGGGCGCGCACGCAGCGCAGCCCCACCCCTAACGGTTGCCAGTCCCGCTTCCGGCAGCGCGTCGCCCGCCGAGGAGCATGCGTAGAGATCGGCTGCGGAGGCAGAGGGTAAGAAGTCCCGGATGCAGAAGGTTGAGCCTGTTACCTAGGTTGTAGAGAATTCTTATACCCGTCGCGTGGAGGTATAAGGGAGGTGGCCTAAGCGGAAGACTGGCGGCTCCCCAAAACTAAACGTGGTTGACACTTCTCACAGACTTGTAACAGAGAAAGGAAACATGTCCACATCAAGGCTTGTGCATCAGTGTCCTACTAGCGTTGGTCACAACGTGCTCGCAGTCCACGTACACCAGTTGGTGAATGGGAAATTATGCCCTATCCACACAATGAATTATTCTGGCAAAAAAAAAGTACTGCTACATTCTAAAACTTAAAAGCTTGAAAGCATTTTGCAGATCCGTAGAGACGAGGGCGAGCGGGGTTATGGGGTTTCTATTTTGGGGGGATGATGGAAATTACTAATACTAATGAATGCGGCACCGCTTAAGCGAATATACTGAAAATAGTTGAACTATGTATTTTAAAAGGACCAATTTTAACAGTATGTGAATTCTCAGAATACGAGTCACAATTGCCCAGAGATGGCTCCAACTGGGTCCCCCGGCTTTTTTTTTTTTTTTTTCTTTAATCTGGGAATGCAAAGAGGAATAATTAATCTTCAATTCTCTTTTTAAAAAAGATCAGATGAGCTGCTGGTATAAATATTGGCAGAATCCCTAGACCTTTTGACCCTTCTACTGCTTGTTTATCATTTCATGGCATCTGGGGTTTGAACTCAGGGGTTCTCTCTGGAGTATGAGCAATATATAAACATTTCTCATTTTCTGATTTTTTTCTTTTTTTACAAACTCCCTGAATTTTTTTTCTTTTTTCAGGGCTGGGGGCTGAACTCAGGGCCTTTGTACTTGCACTTGCAAAGAGCAGGTACTCTTACCACTTGAACCATTCCACCAGGTTTTTTTTGTGGTGGTTAATTTTTGAGATAGGATCTCACTTTATGCTCTATCTGGCCTGGATTGTGATCCTCCTATTTACCATTCCTGCATAGCTGGGATGACAGGTCCAACCACCTATTGGTTGAGGCTGTGGGGAGATCAACTTTTTTGCTAGGGTTGGCCTTGAACCACAGTCCTCCCAATCTCTGCCTTCCCAGTAGCTAGGATTATAGACGTAAGTCATCCGTGCCCATCTTCCCTATGCTTTTTCTAATAAAATATCTTATAAAGATACAAATATATCCAGGTGCCAGTGGCTCATACTTGTAATCTTAGCTACTCAGGAGGCAGAGATGAGGAGGATCGAAGTTTGAAGCCAGCCCGGGCAAATAGTTCGTGAGACCCTATCTCCAAAAAACCCATCACAAAAAAGCGCTGGAGGAGTGTAGGCCCTGAGTTCAAGCCCCAGTACCAAAAAAAAAAAAAAAAAAGATAAATAGAACATTGCTGGGAGAGTCTCAGGAATGGACTCCAAGAGAGGTGCTCCCATCACCAGTTACACAGCTTGACCCTGTACTGCATGGTGAAAATTACGAGTTATAGATATATATGAACATGTTGGTGTAAGTTTATAAACTGTCCTTTCTTAAAGTCTTTTTCAAGTCCATTTACATGAAGGGTATGAAAATGGGCTTGGTTCTGTGGCATGGTAACTGCTAAGTTTAAATTTTGGTGGCACAGGGGCTTGATGTTGGGGCCTCACACTTGCTAGGCAGGTGCTCTACCACTTGAGCAACTCGGCCAGCCCTTCGAGATAGGGTATTTTCGAGATAGGGTCTGGCTTTTTTTTTTTTTGTGCTACTGGTGCTTGAACTCGGGGCCGCCTTCAGCCACTACACCAGCCCTTTTTTTGTGTGTTAGGTATTTTCAAGATAGGTTCTTGGAACTATCTGAATAGCTAGGATTACAGGTGTGACCCACCAGCGCCTGGCCACTGTTCTTTTAAGTACAGAAAAATGTGAACAAAAATGGCCCACAATCTTATCATTGAGAAATCAATTAATATTTAAAAAATAACATGAGTACACCCCATCTCCTTCCTAACAGGTAAAGTGATCTGCCCATGCCTCACAAAGCGTGCTTCCTCCAGACATCTTGTGTATTATAAAGTGAAAGCACCCAGAGAAAGAACCAACCTGGGTAAAAATGAAGTGAAAAACCTGATGGTTCATGTACCAAGTACTTTGAAAGTATCTACTACATCTCTCTCATGCAGCATTTTACTGAATCATTTTTACAAGAGGGATAAGTAAAGAAAATCAACCAAAGGAGCCTTAGAAAACTAATTATAAAAACTTTTTGTAAAACCACACAAATATTTCAAGAATAAATGCATTCTAGAGATACAAAAAATAATAAAAACCAATGAGATTGGGGTTATACTTGTAAGGCCAGGTGGATATGAGCCTCTATGTGAGTCTTGCTTGGGGGTAAGTAGCCTCAAAGAAACTCAGGCATGGGTTTCTACTGGCACTGGGGAAATACCACATTCTACCCTACCCATGAAGTCAGAAAAAAAGCCAAAATGTTCACAGCCTAGAAGGGGCTCTGGCTGGCTTAAGTCAAAGAAAACCCAAGAGATCCCTAAAAAAATTAGAGCTGAAAGGGACTGGAGGAAAAAGTCCAGTCCAAATCCAAATGTTCTCAGGACAGGAATTACTGTATCAGCAAAATCAGAGCGAGTTAAACTCTGGTACCCTAAGGTAGTAAATTTAAGGCCTGTTAAGTTCATTAACAAACTCCACCAGGCAACTCTTTCAGGGAGGAGAGAAACGAGTGCTTTCTACTTCATCTCCTCCTGCTCTAGGGATTTTTCTAGAGTCAGCAGCTAAGGTCAGGACCCTGAACATTGTTCATCACTGGAAGACAGGAAAACCAACAGGCTTTCCAGCTATGGTTTAGCAACCCCTTAGTTTCCCTGGCAATAGGCAGGGCTCCCAGCCCTAGAAAGGTGGCCTCAGGCAGGGGGAGATCGGGACCGGATGGGAGAGCTGGTCAGGTAGGAGGTATAGGGGCCATCTCCAAACACATTGGCATAAGAGGACTTGAGGAACTGGACATAGTTCTGCATGCTGCGGTTGGTGCTCTCTGACTGCTCCAGGCGGTCTTTCAGGTCTTGCAGTCTGCTCTGGTAGCGGCGATCCGCCTAAGAGGAGAAGCAGGACATGGCTGAACACATGAGACACCAGGACTTGCTTAGAGGGTGCCAGGGGCTGGGGGGAAGTAAGGGAAGTGACTGCTAATAGGTAGAGGTTACTTTTTGGTTTTTTTGGTCAGAACTGAGGTTTGAATTCGGGTCTTCGAGCTTACAAAGCAAGCACTCTACGGTTTGAACCACACCTCCAGCTCACTTTATTTTGGAGATGGGGTCTCATAAACTATTAACCTGGGCTGGCCTCAAACTGCAATCCTCCAATCTCAGCCTCCTAAGTAACTAGGATTACAGGCATGAGCCACCAGTACCCAGCTTGGGGATTTTGTTTTGGCAGTCTGGGGCTTGAACTCACAGCCTCTAGCTTGCTATACTAGTGCTCTTACCACCATAGCCCCTTTTTATTTTTTAAGAGACTGGGTCTCACTGTTTGAGACTGGCCTCTAACTCCTGGGCTTATGTGACTCTCTTGCCTCAGAATCTCTAGTGGCTGGGGTTCCAGGCTCGTGTCACTACACCGGCTTGGGGACTTTTTTTTTTTTAATTTCTACCCTTGACTGGTGGTAACCACACAATTATGTGAATATACTAAAAATTATTGAATCGTACAATTTGATTGAATTTTATGGGATATAAATAACATCTTCTAAAACTATTTTTAAAAAGGGATCTATCTAGGTTCCTTACAAGATAGGTGACTAGGTAATACTAAAACTGTGCCAGATTCACAAAGACACATCAGAACACTTTGTCCTACAGTCCTAAGGAAGCTCAAATCTCAGTGCGCTGCATTCTCTTCTGGCCCTGCCTACCAGCCCAACTTACATCATCACGGCTGCGCCGGAGCTGGCCAACTTCAGTTTTAGTCCTGCTCAGCTGGGTCTCAAGGTCCAGGATTTTATTCTGGGCTGCTCGTTCCTTGGTGAGCGCCTGCTCCTTGGTTTGCTCCACCTGTACAGAAGGCACAAAAGTGGAACTGGCTGACCTAGCAAGGGAACACCTAGCAGAGACATATGGCCCCTCCCACTACCCAGTCACAGAAAATACTTCCACATCAATGTGGAAAGTGTTCCTTGGAGCCTCAGGGCAGGAGATAACTATGGGGACTTCTTCAATCCAGCTTCTCCTGCCCCTTCCCAGTGCCACATGAGTCATCACCTAAAATGTGGTAAAACCTGAGTGCCAAAGGGGGCAGAAAGTGAATGAGAAATCATATATAAACAGCTATGTCCTCTACAATACATAATCATTTGATTCTCAACAAATTCAGGAGGCAGGTACTATTATATGCCTATCATTCAGATGGGGGAATAGGCTCAGGAAGGTTAGGGGATTTGCCCAAGGTCACAGAGTTTGCATCAAGACTGACCTGCCTCCTGGCATCTTCAATGGCACTCTCCAGCTGCCTCGCCAGGGACCCACATTCCCGGGTTTTCTCCTCCAGCCGCAGCTGGGCCTGGTGGATTGCCTCCTCCCTTTTGGCAATCACCTGTAGGAACTCGACATTCTGGGCACTGGTCGCCTCCAACTTCCTAGGTAAAAGCACTCAGTCAGACTTTGCACTAACCCACCTAGCTTGCTCCACTCCACCAGGGGGCTGCTGCCACCCTGGACTGGGGATCACATCATGGCCAAGAATCTCCAAGGAGCCACAGGAAGAAACCATATAAATGTGCAGATCAGCAGGGCAGCCACAGCACTGGGCAGCTGGAGTAGATGGTCAGAGTTCAGTGTGGAAAGGGAAAGAGCAAGTGTAACTGAGCATGCGCTGTGCTGTGTGCACATCATCACATGAAGTACAGCAACCTGCAGTTCCCAAAGGGCTAGCCATTATCATCCCCACTCTAAAGATGAAGGAACGGTGCCCAAGAGAGCAGAGGTCATTGTCCTGAAGTTAGCACAGCAAGACCTCTGTCACCAAAACCCATGCCTTCCACTTCTGTTGTTCACTGCTGCCCCCCTCCCTCCTCAGCAAAGGGCTGGACCACCCAGCATCTCATGTGACAGAGATGGCGCAGCTGTGGCCATTTGAATGTATGTATACTTTCCCAACTGCTCTTCTAGAATGCCTTCCAATTTAAGGAGTATGGCAAGTCCCGCTGTAGTTAGCAGCATTTTCCAGGCCAGCAGGGCAGAGCAGATGTGGAGCACAGAAGGCCCTACCTGGTTCCAACCTCCCTGCAGGCCACACTAGCCTCCTGGGGACACTTAGGGCTCAAGAACCTCAGACCTTCAACTCTGAAACTCACAGGAGCCAGGGCCCAAGGAAGATAGTTGTGGGTAAGTCAGAGCTTTAGTGGGTACCAGCTATCTGACCTTAAGTAAGTCACAACCTCTCCCCAAACTCAGTTTCCTCATTATTTAATCCTGGGATAATACCAGCTAACAAATACTAGGCAATATTGAGCATTTCTCTACACCAAGTAATTGGCTAAGCCCTTATGAGAATCCTCTTGCAGAACACTTGCAGTAACACCACCAGCTAGATTAGTACTCTACCTTGACCCTTTCTCAAGATGAAGAAACTGAGGCTCAAAGGAGTTAAAGGCTTTGCTCAAGGTCACAATGCAATTAAGTGGTAGAGCTGGGACCCAAGGCCAGAACTGACTCCACAGGTATATGCTTCACCTCTGACTTCCTCCAGCTGTCAGTAAGTAACAGAGAGAACGGAGATCTGGGAGATCATGGAAACACGGGCAGGAGGAATGGGAAGAACACCACTGTCGTGTACTTGCTACTCCACTCAAACTGGGCCCTGCTGGTTTGCTTGGCCCAAGCGTGCCATTGAGATAGTAATGCCTTAGGGTCACTGACCTTGCAGACAATTAAGGCATGTCCCTTCAGGCTAAGACCCCCTTCTTCTCTCACGCAAAGCTTACCACTGAAATGGAAGCAGCAGTTCCTCTGAGGTCTGCCTAGCACCTTCCAGGGCCTTGAGTCCCTTAAACACTTCGGCACACTAAGCACAAAGCAGCTAAGTGGCTGAAAGTCTCAGGTCCTAGGAAGAGGACAGAGATGGGACCAAGTGCCTCTAACCTCTCCAGTTCATCCACCTTCAGACTCAGCTGTTTATTTTCCTTCTGGGAAGCCTGATGTTTCTCTCTCGCCATCTCCAGCTTGTCCCCCTGATGTTCGATCTAAAATGACAGGAACACACACTCGTTTATGAAGGAATTTCCATACAGAAAAATCACGGAATACCCCTTTTCTCCCTGGCATCTACACCCAGGCAAGTGGCATGCTGTCCTCAACAGGTATCCAATCCTAACGCACAGGCTGCAAGAGAGAGAGCAGGGATGAGCAGGTCCCGTTCCAAAAACTTTTCCACACTGGGAGAAAACATGTTGGATGCCGAAGAACCTCAACCATGATGTTTTCTTGATCAGGAGGCACCTCTTGGCGGACCAGCAGGGATCGGAAGGAAGCAGATGGTAGCCCGTACATCAGACCAATGAGTTTTACCAATTACATTGTTGGTACCATTGGTTTTCATCCTATCCTTCAGTGCAATGGGACAAATACAGGCAAGGCAACAGGATAGCTCTTGATTCCTTTAAGCCGGCAAGTGTGAGAAGTTACCCAGAGGGCTGCTTTATGCAGGAGCTTCAGGTACCAGGGTTCTGAAGGCCCTGAGAACATTCAGTGGGGACAGGGGAAGGTGGAGAGGACATGGGCGTGGGAACCACACAGAGCTTGCTGGGTTCCAATCCCCAGTAATACCTAGTGTAGCTCTGTGACATTAAGGCATCACTTGTTCCCTCCAGGCATTGGGCTGTTTGTTATTGAGGAAATAGTAGCTCACCAAATCTCTAGAGGAATGAAGTGAGAAAATGTTGAGATGAGGTGTTCAAAACATGGTAGCTACTTTTATGATTTTTTCCAAGGAAAAATGTTGAGAGAGGGGAAGGACCCTGCACAAGGTCACACTGCAAATGATGTCTTGGACACCACTGGCGTAGACATGGTTCCAAGGGGCTGCTTGCTTCTGTCTCTCAGGACAGAATCTCAGGCAATGGATCTGCGAAGAGTAAGGAGAGGCAGTTAAAGCTAGAGAAAAATGGAACAAAGGAAAAGCCATGGCCAGGTGTCTGCTGGGGTCTCAGGATCTGTGGCTGTGGGGTGGAGGATAGCAATGAAGCATTTGGGGTGGAGGCAGGCAAAGCATGGAGTTCTGGGCTAAGACAACAGCAGGAGGGCCCCGGAGTTCCAAGACAGTAACGACTCCTATAGCTACAATCATTTTGTGCGAACACAAGGCATTTGGCACACCAGACTTTTATTTCACAGCACTGATGATAGCTCACTCCTTTCAGAAAGCGGCAGCCAAGAAAAAGGAAGTGGTCCTCCCTTGGGGGGCGTGCAGCTCATCTTGGTAAGCGGGCCCCTGCTCGGGCCAGGTCGTGGGACCCCTTCTGCCAGTCCCTTACCCGGCTGCGCAGGTCTGATATGATGGCTGTGAGGTCAATGTTCTTCCTCTCGTAGCCCTGCAGCTGATCTTGGCACTCAGCCAGCTTAGCCTCCGTGATCTTGAGGATGTCAGGAAGCTGCTGCAGGTCAGCCAGCTGGCACTGGAACTGCCGACGGGCCTGGAGCAGGAAGAAAAGCCCACTGATGGCAAGGACCCTGCTGCCGACAGGGCCAGGCAGAGCCCTTTGGAGTTACTGCAGGGCTGTCCCCCAGGCCCCAGTAAAGGATCCCAGAAACCCACAGGCAGCAGTATGCTTGGGTCTGTCTTGCCACTTGAGGTTACCATTTAATTATCAAGTAATAATGGAGACCATGCAGCAAACACTAGCACCCAGGCATCATGCAAAGGGCAGTCTGCAGTCATTTATTTCAGACATTGTATGAAGGTACTATTGTTCTCATATGAAGACACTGAGGTCCAAGGGGCAAAATATGTCACTCAGTCAAAAACTGCAATGGCCAGGATTAAGGGCTAGTCTAATTTCAAAGCCCTGAGGAAGATAGCCACAGCTATCAGAAGGAAATAAGAACTATCCAGCCCTGGTCCATGCTTGTGCTTAAGAAGGAGACTGAGGACTGGAGATGGGCAATGAGCTATCCAAAGTTAAGAAACTAGTGGCTGAGTCGACTCAACCTGCCTCCAAAGTTACCATTACAGTGATCCCTCTGCCCCGGTTAACCAGGCATTCCTAGAATAATAAGGCTCTTTGGAAAGGGGGTGGGAGGCGTATATTTTGAATGGTACAAAAATATGGAGAACACACAGAATGCCAAAGATCCAGCATACTGCGATCTGAATCCAGTTGGAGGCTCCAGGCAGGAGGGTTTTTTGTTTTATTTTGTTTTTGCTTGGGGGGTAAGGAGGGTGAGGGAAGAGGAAAAAGAAAACTGAAAACCAGGAAGGGAAAAATTAAAGAAAATTAAAGACAGTATGGTGGTGCATGCCTGTAATCCCAACTATAAGGGAAGTGGATACTGAGAGGATCACAATTTAAGATCAGCCCAGGCAAAAAGTTAGCAAAAAACCCATATCTCAACAAATATGATATGGTGGTACAAGTCTATAATCCTAGTTATGGAGGTGGTGTAGGTCACAGGATTGTGGTCCAAAGCCCAGCCCCAGGCAAAAATGTCAGACCATATCTGAAAAATAACTAAAGCAAAAATGGGCTAGGGGCATGGCTCAAGTGGTAAATAGAGCACCTGCCTAGCAAGCTTGAAGCCCCAATTTCAAACCTCAATACCACCACAAAAAACCATGAGGGAAGGGAGGGGAGAGGGGTCAGGGGACAAGACAGGGTAGACCAGCCCACCATGGGAAAGTCAGTTACTCTTGAAGTCCAAATCAAGCAGGGGCAAGAGCACACAGTGGGGACAAACCCACAAATTAGGCACTGGAATTGAGAAGGGAAAAAAGCAAGGAAGGGACGTAGTACCGCCTCAATCTCTTTGTTCATCTCATCTTTAAGGATCTTGTTCTCTTTGTCACAGCGTTCTAGCTGGGCGGCCACTTCATCAGCCTCCAATCTGGTCTTCATCACCTAGGAACCAAAACCACATGAGTTGTCTTGGGCAGAGCCAAGTATTGGTGAAGACCACTTCCACTCCTACTTCACCCCTTCCTGAGAGGCCTGGTGGTGACCCCTAACCTGACAGGGGTCAGGCCACCGGACTAGCCTACCTGGCTCTTATAGTTGTCAATCATCCCCTCGTAGTTCTTCACCGACGCCTTCAGCTGCTGGACCTCTAGGTGGGCCTGGTTGAGCTTGTCCTCCATCGGGGCGAAGCTAGCCTAGAAGGGGCAGCTCATGAGCAACCAACAGGAAGTATGCAGATCACGTGGCCTCCCAGAAACCAGCAAAGGAAAGGACCCCCTTACTCTAATCCACACTGCAGTTTTCCCTCAGAAAGGCTCCAGAGAAAGACTCCTAATGTGATCAACTCAACTGATGAGAGATGCAAATAAGTGACCTTTCTTATTCCAAAAGCAAGATACAATCATTAGAAGGGCTGGGGATGTAGCTCAGAGGTAGAGTGCTTGCCTAGCATGTGCAAGGCCCTGGGTTCCATCCCCAACTCTGAAAAAAATTAAAAACCAAGACATACCAATCATAAAGCTTAAGCCTAAGACAGAGAACTGTATCTATCCATACAGGCACACACAGACACATAGTTCTGTAGCTATATAACTTTTTTCGGCAATGGGATAATACTGTACTTACTGCTTTGCAACTGTTTTTTTGGTTTTTTTGAGACGGGGCTTGCTATGTAGCCCAGGCTGGCCTCAAATTCTTAATCTTCCTGCCATGAGAGGCTGACCCCTCAAGAGCTGGGACTGTAGGTATGTACCACCATGCCCAGCACAACATTCATGTTGTGAAATCCTTCAAGTCACTCATCTTCTCCTCTACCCAAATGCTCACCTTCAATAGATCACTATACCTCATTGCAATGCAAAAAATAAGTAACTTGAAAAAAAAAAAAAAAAAGATAAAGCTGTAAAAACAGACCTAAAAAGATGTTCATATGGTTTAAAAAAAAAAAATGCAAGGAATGCTTGCCTAATCAGGCATAACCACCTGGGTTCAATCCCTGGCATCACAGAGGAAAATAAAAAAGCTTCAGAATAATGAAGGACGATGGATGTGTTACTATGGGGGGGGGGAAGAATCCACATTCATTGTTAACGAGACCTTCACTTCTGTATCACACGTCTGAAGTGGTTTTTATCTACTTTTGTGGTGCTAGGGATGGAACCCAGAGCCTAGCACATGCGAAGCTCACGTTCTGTGTTCTACACTAAGCTACGCCATTCGCTTCTTCTACAATGGCTAACCTTTTTCACTGTGAGCATACCTGACTTTGTAAATATGCTCCCTAATAAAATACACGTCTACAGACATCATTTTGAGTGGTTATAGTGTATTATACTACACAGATATAACAGGCTACCATTAATCCCTAATTGTTAAGATTTGGAAGATATTTTTAATTTATCCAACAACCGCAATACAACAAATAAGATTCTAATACACTCCCATCAAAGTGGCTAAAATCAGAGAAACTGACAATACGAAGTGTTGCTGAGGAGACAGGGCAACTACTCTCATGTACAACTGGTGGAACATTAAGTGTGTGCCACTACTCTGCCGTTTCGTAACATCCACTGCTATAGCTGAACCTGTGCACACCACACAAAATACTTCAAAGTATATACCCAATCAAGTGCACCAATATGTGCACCAAAAGATGCTCACAGAAACACTGTAGAACAACCCAAATGTCCAGTAAAATGGGCAAGTGTAGTGTATTCCTATAATGTCACACCCTACAGCACTAAGGAGGAATAAACTACACACAACAAGGAGGGCTCACAAATACATGCTGAGTAAAGCCACACTTTACTCAGAGTAAAGAGTAAAGAGTCCAAAATGTAGAACTGGAGTGCCTCAAGCTGTGGAGCGCCTGCCTAGCCAGCTTGAAGCCCTGAGTTCAAACCCCAGTACTCCCAAAAAGAAAAAAAAATAGTACAAAAAGTGTAGAAATCTATCTCTGGGGACAGAAGTCAGGATAGCAGTTACCTTTGCATGGGGGAGGTGAGTTACCAGGAGAGGTCACCAAGGTGCTGGTGAAGTTCAATCAGAGAAAGCAATAAGCCATGTTCACTTTATAGAAATTCTAGGATTTATATGCTTTTCTATGTTACACTTTCTTTTTTTGTTTTGGTGGTACTGGGGGGTTTGAACTTAAGGCCTCACTAGGCAGCCACTACCAGCCCTACAGTTTCTTAAAATCAATCTTACTTAACAAGGAAAAATAAAATCAGAAAAAAATAAATAAACCTAGCCAGGCACTGGTGGCTCATGTCTATAATTCTAGTTACTCAAGAGGCAGAGATCAGGAGGATCACGGTTTGAAGCCAGCCCAAAGCAAATAGTTCATGAAACCCTATCTCAAAAAAACCCAATACAAAACAGGGCTGGTGGAATGGCTCAAGTGGTTGAGTGCCTGCCCAGCAATCCTAGCAAATGTGAGGCCCTGAGTTCAAGCCACTCAGTACTGGAAAAAAAAAAAAAAACACAATCAAAGCTATCTCTGAAATGTCACCTCTGGGCCCAGCATGATGAGAGAGTATATCATGAGAGGCCAAGAGCTGGGGCTCCAGTCAGACTCAGGTTCAAATCCCAACTCCAACACTTCCTAGGGCAAAATCCTGGTAAGAAATTTGATTCCCTCTAAGCCAGTTTCCTTATTATTTTTTTTCTCAGTGCTGAGGAATCAAACCCAGGGCTTCACACACAGTAGGCAAGTGCTCTACTACTGATCTACATTCCAAGCCCAATTTTCTTATTCTTGTCTTAAAAGATAATCATCACACCACATGTGAAGAGGCCCAGCATTTCCCCAAGAGAGCCAAGGTTAACTTCAAAGTCAGTTCTGTTTTGTGGGCACAGGCTGAATTCATCATTTCACATGCATTACCACATTCTCACCAGTCCCTCCTTTTTTCCCCACTCAGAGAATTTGCAGCAATAATCAATGAACGGTCTCACCCAGTCCCCACAGCTAGTAAGAGGCAGAGTCAGAACCCAGTGAGAAGGACCCAGGCCTGCCCGCCCTTGGCCTTGCTGTTCTCCACCCAAGTGCCCTCTCCAGGCCAGCAGACCTTCAGCCTCTCGTTCTCGAGCTTGAATGCGGAATACTCGGCTGTCTGCCGGTGCAGTCTTTCCACCAAGCTGTCCCGGTCTTCCCGCATCTTCTCCTCCAAGGTTTGTTGCTGGTTTACAAGATCTGTCACCCGGCTAGAAGGATGCAAAGGGACAGCAGACAGAATCAGTTTCACAGTTCTGAGGAGCCCAGGCCTTTGTGGGGAGTAGGGCCAAATGTCCCTCTCCAGAACACTTCCACTTCCTGGCAAACTGCCTGCCTGCTCCCCAGTCTCCATACCAAGCAGCAGCTTTCCCACACCTGCTTCCATCTCCAGGTGAAATCCTTTAAGATGCATTACCTATCTCCCATGTTCCCGTGTCACCCCCCTCTAAGAAGCCATCTATAGTTCAATGAGTCATTAAGATTTAAGTGTGTCCATTCTGGTCCTCCCACGAGGCCAGGCCACTCTCTGAAGTCAAGGACACAGTCCTTCTCTGGCACTCCCAGTTCTCTCAACCCATCAGGTCTTGGTGTTAGGACAGATTCCTCTGGAATCTTTCTCTGAAGTCCCAGTCTGGTGGTCAGGCACACTGGGCTTTTAACCCCCACAGCAAGGGCAGGTGCCCCAGCTGGCTTATTCTTGTGTATAAGCACCCAGCGGGCACAGGCAAGAACTGCAATTCAATGACTGTGTGTGGGAAGAGGCCCAAGTGATGGCAAAGAAGCCAACTGGGGAGCTGGCTGTGCCATCCAACCTTCTCCCTCAGTCTCTCAGCAGGATTACCATCTGCCAGAGACCAGAGACTGTGGCTGCGTTACAGTCCTGAGGCTCACAGATGCTTAACCTATCTCGACCTCAAGCCATAAAACCTTCATCCAACCTCCTCTTTCAGGATTTTTTATTTTTACTGTTTTAACTATTATTAATTTTATCTGTGCTACTGGAATGGAGCCCAGAGCCTCTCGAATACTAATCAAGTACTCTGCCACTGAGCTACATCCTCCGCTGCACTCTCAGAATTGTTCCCTTAAGAGTCTACCCAATCAACAAATACTTATTGAGGACTGACTAGGCCCAAGCATATATCATTTTACCTGGCAAACTTCTCCTCACCCTTAAAAACCCAGTTCAGCCAGGCTCTGGCTCATACTTGTAATCCTAGCTATTTGGGCCGAAATCAGGAGGATCAAGGTTCCAGCCCAGCCTGGGCAAATATTTCAGGAGACCCGCCCCCCCATCTCCAAAATAACCAGAACAAAATGGAATAGAGGTATGGCTCCGTGAGCACCTGCTTTGCAAGTGCTACACTTAGTTCAAACCCCAGTCCCACCAAAAAACAAACAAACAAAAAAAAACCACCTAGTTCAGCCCCTCCCCAGGACATCTCTTCCCCAACCCATCTCATTTGTTCTGTGGTACAGATATCCTTTCATCTTAATGATCTGTTTTCGCCCACTAGAAGAAGAGTACTTGGAGGACAGCACCCAATACTCAGTAGGCTGTCAGCAACACACCAAGTTGAATACAGAAAGACATTTCCTTAGGGAAGGCTTTCCTGACCTGGGAGACTATATTAGTCCAAGTCTCTTACAGCCCCAATTTTTTCTACTGCAGCACAAGGCAGGGAACGCATTTGCCTTACTGTTGGAGAGGCACACAGCTGGTATATGGGAGAACCTCCACGTATTTCAGAAGGAAGGAACAAATGAATATGGCTGACCATGAGAATGACCAGGTAGTCACTGCTGAACAGTTCACCAGTGGCAAGAAAGGTGTCAGTTCAGTCACCTCCAAACTGGAGGCCACTGTTACTTCTACTGCCCTGCCATACCTGCTGATGGGTGAGCACTGCCTAACAGCTGCTGTCACTGGGCATACAACAGAGCACACAAGAACCACCACCTGTGCCATGCCCCCAAAACAGGAACATATCATGTGCTGTGCTGTAGAGTAGGGCCAGGCTCATGCCTCCCCAACAGAAAAAGCACGTCCCCTGAAAGGTGCCTGCCAGTGGAATAGAAGCCACAGGGATGGAACTGGAGCCTGGACCAGTTCCAAGCAGAGCCCAGCTCAGGGCTGCCTGCATCTCAGTCCAGTGCAACCTCAAACAGGAAAGACCATAGCAGACTGGTGAGCCTTGAGACCTTAGGGCTCCAAGCTCCTTCCACCTGACCCTCAAGTCCTTTGATCAGCCTTCTCTCAAGACTAAAGCAGAAAAGGAAAAAAAAAAAAAAAAAAAAAAGACTGAAGCAAAGACATACTCATTTAGGACAATAATTTCCAGCTCGAGGTCTCCTTTGTCTTTCACAACCTGGTTGTAACGGCTCCTCCATGATTCCAGAGTGGATAAAGCTTCAGCAACATAAAGATCCTGGAAGACAGGACAGCCTGGTGTCAGTAACTGTGGGGCTGGGACACTTAGCTGACCCTGACCCCAATATCTGGCCTCACCCTGTAGCACCTCCCAAGGTGGGGACAAAGAGCACAGGGACAAAGTGAAGTGAGAGCCCAGCTGCCACTGCCAACCTCCCAGCCTCACATGCATCCTGAGCACTCTCCCCACTTCTAGATCATTCACCCTTTCCACAACCAGCATCGCTCCATGCAACCACTCCTTCCCTCTGGTCTATCTATCCCACCATCAAGCCTTCCTTGGCAAGGCCAGAGGCTAGGCCCCAGGCCTACTACCTTGTCGGCAAGTTGCACGTGCAGCTGCTCGGCGTACTCCTCGCTCTTCTCGGCTCGCTCCTTCTGGGCTCGGATGGCCTTCTTCAAGGTCTCTTTGTCTCGGTCTCCCTTCTGCTTCAGTTCCTTCAGCTGTTCCATGATGGCCTCGACTTCCGCTTTGTGCTGGTTCCCACTGCGCTCCAGGTTCTGAGAGAGGGGTGGAGGGAGGTAGAATGAGAGAAAGAGGACAGAAAGGCAGGAGGAGGTAAAGCGGAAGGAGGAGGAAGAGGAAGAAAAGAGCACAAGTGGAGAGAGAGAGAGAGAGAGAGAGACAGAGAGAGACAGAGAGAGAGAGAGAGAGAGAACAGGTCATCAGCTTTATGAAGGCTTCAAGTTCCCCTGAGGTGGACTAGAGCCTTGGTCCCCACATGTTCTCATAATACTTCCTGGATGAGTCAGACCACTGGAAATTTTTTGTACTCCTTCTCTGAACTACTGGCCAAGTGGTCAGATATCCCCAAGTCACTCAGAGCTGTCATTACAGAGAACTCTATGAGACTACTGTCTTCCTTCAGGTAGGTGAATTGAGGGCCTAAGGCACTTAGTGACAGGTCCTGAGGCATGGCGCCCAACCTTGTCACTGCTGGGAAGAGGGCACCCAAACCCTCCAGGCTCTCTGTTCACTGCACTTGCCATTATCCTAGAACCACTCAGGTGTACAAGGACTTTGGCAGCAGCTCTCCCAGAAAGCTCTGGGGCACACTGTCTAGTATGATCCCCCGGACTAGACCACTGCCTTCAGATGGCCAGAGCCTGCCTCCTCCTTTCCCACTTGGAGGCCAGCAGGTACCTTGATTTGCATGCACAGGCGACTGTTCTCAGCCTCTTTGCACCGAAGCTGTGCCTGTAGATGTCCACGCATGGACTCCATGGACTTCGAAAGCTCAGATGCTGTCTTTGCTTGAGCCTAAGGAAAGACAGAGAAAGTGATAGACCAAGGTGGCTTCTATAACCATGCTACCCTGTGTGCATCCAATCTTCCTTAATCTTGGAAGCTAAGAAGGGTTGGGTCTAGTTAGCACTAGATGGGAGAAGATGATAAGGAGCCAGTACTGGGCCAACTACAGCATACCCACTGGGCTCTATTGGCTCATCAAAAGGTGCAAGTGCCGGGCACGGTACCTTCTCGCATTGTATCTCCTGGAGGAGCTCTTCCACCTCCTTGTCCTTGTCTTGCAGCAGTAACAGCAGGCGCTGAGAGAAAATATACACTGTCATGTGCCTCCTGGGATGGGCAGAGGCCCAGCCCAGGAAGGAGAGAGAAGTGTGAGTTCCTGGCCAATGGGCCCTGAGGACCTACCTGACACACAAACTCACTGGCTCATGTCACAGAGACCCAAGTAGGAAGCACCTAACATGTATTTTAAATTTTTTTAAACAATTAACGTTTTGCAGTTAAAAAACAAAGTAATGCTAACAGTGGAAAACACTGAAAAACACAATGATTTAAAGAATCCCCATAACCCTCCTCCCCAGAGAGAACCACTATTCAAACACAGTGAAAATCATGAGTATTTAGTTCCATAACCTACAATCCCACAATTACTGTAATGTCCTTAATTTAAACATTATCATCATTATTGTTGAACCTCCACATTCCTTCCACATTTACACTGGAAATACTGTGCATTTTCCACAGTAGTGTTTGGTCAGGCAGCAAGGCCAAGGGCCATGCCTTATGAACCTTGGCCTTTGCCCTTTTTCCTTTCTTAGAGACTTATAAGCGCATTAAAACATCAAAGGCTCTCAAAAGTCTTGGGATTAAGAAGCCTGTTAACTTTAGTTCAGGCTAGTCACTAGTTTCCCAAATTTGTTTTGCCATTTTGTTTCTTACACCCATTTCTTAACACCATGAGGAACTTGAAGTCCCATGGAATATGCTGCCTTGGGAGAGAATCTTATAATTGCAATTGTTGAGTCAAAAGGTATGTACTTTTTGATGGCTTGGAATCCATAATACAAATACAAATAAATACAAATACAAGTTTAACAGAGCCTAAAGATTTATAAACCTATCATCCTTATTACCATCCCTCATGTCCAGTTTTGTGGCTCAGCTCTCAAGTGATCAAATGGACATGCCTAGGAGAGCAGGCAAAGCAAGGGATGTCAGCCTATTTTAAGGATTGTGACCACCCACAGAAATGCCAGAGCAAGTGCTCCAGCCCTGGGGCATCCCTTCAGCACATCACTCTGAGCCCAGCCCTCTGGCTGTCTGTACCCACTAGAGCCAACAAGAGGTGCTGTGGTTACCGCTTTCTCTGAGTCCGCCTCTGCCAGCCGTTTCAGTAATGCACCTTGTTGCTCCATTAGTCTTTCGGAATCCTTCAGGAAGATGAGGGAGAGCCAAATCATAAAACGAGAAACCCAAATCCTACTACCTCAATTATTTTCCTTTTCCAAAAACTACATTCCTAACTTTAGAAGTTACATATGAAGTCTCATTATGAATTCCTGATTATGAAATAATGTCCATACCTCACCCACTGTTAACAGTTTAACGAAGGTTGTTCCCATCCATTTCCTGTGCATTAACATTTACCCCCACCTGGAGAAATATTACCTCTTTTTACGATGAGAAGGGACTAATATGGAATTTTACATAAATGATATTATACTGAATTTTATTGCAACTTGATTTTTTAAAGACAGCTTTATTGAGATATAAACTTGGACGCCATGCAAGTTATCCATTTAAACATACAGCACAGTTAATAAGAATACTGCATCATATACGTGAAATTTGCTCAGAGCTCATGTAATCCCATCACACAAAAAAGGTGACTAACGTTCTTTTTCTGAAAAAGAAAAAGTTCACTAAGGTGATCAATTGTTTTTTTCAGTATGGGGTTTGAAGTCAGGGCAACCAATACTTGCTAAGGGGCTGCTCTACTGCTTGAACCACACATCAGCTAAGGTTATCAGTGTTAATTAGCTTGACTGTGATAATCATTTCACAATGTCCATATCAAATCATCTCACTGAACACTTTAAATATATACAATTACTATTTGCCTCAACACAACTAAAAGAGCAAATTAAACAAATGTACAATTCAATGACTTACGGTATATCACATTATTAAAACTTTTAATAAAAAACCATATAACATATAAATATATAAAATAATATAAATATAATATATAACAGTACATATAAAATATAAACATATTGTAACATATAAATATGAAATATATATCATATAAAACTTGCCATTTTAATGATTTTTTTTGGAGAGACTGGGGTTTGAACTCAGGGCTTCAGGCTTACAAAGCAGGCACTTAAAAAAAAAAGAACAGGCACTTTACAGCTTGAGACAGTCCTCCATTTTGCTCTGGTTATTTGGAGATGGGATCTCTCGAACTATTTGCCTGAACTGGACTCCCTATCTCAGTCTCCCAAGTAGATAGGATTATAGGCGTGAGCCCCTGGCACCCGCTCAAAGCTTTTGAGCCATTTTTAAGTGTACAACATTAAATGCAGTGAAGATTAGAGATAGGTTAGAGTGTACTAAATAGGCATTTAGTACACTGCAAACAGTACACAACCAGGCTGGGCATGGTGGTGTAATCCTATAGGCCCAGCTACTCAGGAGGTAGAGGTAATAGAATTATGCACTAAGGCTAGTTCCAGGAAAATCACAGGGCCCTACATAAAAAATAAACTAAAGCCAGGCACAAGTGGCTCATGCCTGTAAAATCCTAGCTACTTGGAGACAGATATCAGGAGACTTATAGGTCAAGGCCAACTCAGACAAAAAATGAGGCCCTATTTCAAAAATACTCAACATACCAGGCACTGGTAGTTCACTCCTATAATCCTAGCTACTTAGGAGGCAGAGAATAGGAGGATCACAGGTCAAAGCAGCCCAGGCAAATAGTTCATGAGACCCTATCTCAAAAATATGCAGCCCAAAAATGAGCTGGTGGAGTGGCTCAAGTGGTAGAGCACCTGCCTAGCAAACATAAGACCTTGAATTCAAACTCCAGTAACCCCAATAAATAAGTAAATAAACTCAAACCTAAAAGGGATAGAGGTGTGGCTCAGGTAGTACAGTGCTTGCCTAGAAGGCATGAGGTGTATGAGGTGCTAAGTTCAAACTCCTGTACAACCAAAAAAAAAGTGCTCAACCATCACCACTATCTAGTTCCACTTTTTTTTTCATCCCAAGAAGACCCTGTGCCCAAATAAGCACCTGGACTTCTCCCTTTCCCCAGCCCCTGCTAACCATGAACCTGGTTTTTGTCTCTAACCTATCTCTAATCTTCACTGCATTTTTAACTTCTCCCCAAAGAAGGAGAAGGATTCTCCCAGGATTTGCAATGCAAACACTATGGCAATGGGCACTGCTAGACATGTACAGAAGTGTCTCTCTAGGGATGATACAAAGACAAGGGCTGGAAGCAGGGTTAGAAGGCCTATCATTTCTGATTGAAATGCTCCACAAAACACCTGCACATGGGTTGGTGGAGTGAATCAAGTTAAAAAAACAACAAAAACAAAAACAAAATACTCACTGACTCACAAGGCCACAGCAGGACATAAGAGTACTGGCTTTCCCACATTCACCAGGCCTAGGCAGCCAAGGCCTTTGCCAAGAGCACACCTTCTTTAACCTTTATTTGTCTAATTACCATGGAAGCTCAGCATCTTCTCAGATGCTTCTTAGTCTGTTAGCCATTTAGGTTCCTCTGCCTTTACTGCTTGCTCTCCCCAAGCCCATTTCCTCACTGGGCTATATTTCTGTGCCTATCCTGATTCTCTTCCCTGGCTCCTGAGCAAAGCATCCCTTGAAGGAATACAGCCTGAAAACTCAAAGCCTTAAGCCTTGAAGACAAAAATGATGTCATACAAATACTGTTGAATGAACACAACAAACCCAGAAGAAAACATATACAACAATACCATTCATGTAAATTTTTAAAACATGCTAAATAACACAGTTGTTTATGGGGGATACATATATAAATAAATAAAAACTATCGAATTGAAGATATAGGTTCTCTCTAAAGGAGAGAAAGGTAAAATTATTTCGAAAGGAGATTTCAGGGTTTGATAATGTGGACAAGGTTTTGCATTGAAATCTAGGATTTTGAAGGCACCAGTATAACACTTTTTATTATTTTTTTATATTAATTTTTTTCCATTTTTAAGACAGAGTCTTACTATGTAGTTTAAGCTGGCCTCAAACTCCTAATCCTCCTGCCTCAGACCCCTGAGTGCTAGGGTTACGGTGTTTACCACCATGCCCAGCTATACATTAATGTTTTAAAAATAAGAATAGTTAAGGGCATGGCTCAAATGGTAGCGTGCCTGCTTAGCAAGCGTGAGGCCCTGAGTTCAAACCAAAGAACTGCCAAAAAGGAAGAAAAAAAGAAAATAACCAGAAGAAAATGGACTGGATGCATAGCTCAAGTGGTAGAGCACTTGCTTTGCAACCATGAAGCCTGAGTTCAAACCCCAGACCCATTTAAAAAAAAAAAATCATTTCAGACTGGGTGTGGTGGCACACACCTACAATCCCAGCTACCCAGGATGGAGGCAAGAGGATTGTGAACTTGAGGCCAGCCTGGGCAAAGTTAGCAAGACCTTATCTCAAAAGCAAAATATAAACAAAAGGGTTGAGGGCATGGTTCAAGTGGTAGAGCACTAACCCAGCATATGCAAGGCCCTGAGTTCAATCCCTAGTGCTTGCTACAAAGGGGGAAAAAAAAGAAAAAAAAAAAAATGACATTTCACCTCAAATTTTAAGACCTAGCCATCCTTTGAACCCAAACTGTTGATACCATCAAGTCTTTCAAAAATGTCCACTGGGCTGGGGACCATAGCTCAGTTGTGGAGCCTAATATACATGAAATCCTGGTCAAGATATAGAATCAAACTAAAGGTCCATCACAGAGAAATAGATAAGAAAAATGTATACACGTACCCAGATGGATTCATTAAAAAAAAAAAAGGAGGGATGGGGATGTAGCTCAAGGGATAAGAGCACATACCTAGCAAGTACAAGGCCCTGAGTTCAAATCCCAGTATGGCCAAAAAAAAAAGGAAATGTGGGGCAGGGCATGGTGATCCATGCCTGTAATCCCAGCTATTCCAGAGGTAGAGATCAAAAGTATTGAGGTTTAAGGCCAGGCGCTCACGTCTCAAGCCTATAATCCTAGTTACTCAGGAGGCAGAGATCAGGAGAATGGTAGTTCAAAACCAGCCCAGGCAAATAATTCATGAGACCCTATCTTGAAAATACCCAACACAAAACAGGCCTGGTAGAATAGTTCAAGTGGGTAGAGTGTTTGCCTAGGAAGCCTGAGGCCCTCAGTTCAAACCCCAGTACTACCAAAGAAAAAGAAGTACAGAAGTTTGAGGCCAGCCCAAGGGAAAAAGTTAGCGAGACCATATCTCAACAAAAAAGCTGGGCTAGAAGGTACTCAACTATGGTCCCAGTTACACAATTAGGCACAGGTAGGAGAATCACAGTCTCAGAGCAGCCCTGAGCAAAAAATGAAACCCTATCTGAAAAATAATTGAAGCAAAAAAGGGCTGAGTGTGGGTCAAGTGATAGAAAAGGCCCTGAGTTCAAATCTCAGTATGGCCAAAAAGAGAAAAAGGAAATTCTGTCATTTCATCATCATATCCATGAAGCAACATGGATCAATCTGTGAAATAAGCCAGGCACAAGGAGACACACACTGCATCTCACTTACATCTGGAATCTAAAAAAGTCAAACGTAGCCCTAAGGAACATGGCTCAAGTGGTAGAGTGCCTGCCAACCCCTAGTACTACCAAAAAAAATAAAATAAAATAAAAAAATGTTGCCCAGGAGCTCTTGTCCTATTCCTATAAAAGTCAAATTCATAGGAGCAGAGAGTAAAAGGAATGCAGACTACAGGCCGGGGCACTAGGGAGATGATGTGCAAAGGACACAAAGCTTTACTTAGAATGGCATGGCATGGTGGTGCATGCCTGTAATTCCACCACTTCCAGGCTTAGGCAGGAGGATGCTTAGTTCTAGACAGCCCGGGCTAAGTAGTGAGTTCCAGTCCCTATCTTATTTAAAAAAAAAAAAAAAAAAAAAAAAAGGCTGGCTACTGGAGAGGTAGAGATCTATAATGATTAAACATAGGCAAACTGATTAAGAGACTCCATCACAGTGTGGTGGCACACACTGTCATCCCAGCTATCCAAGGAAGCACAAAGAGGAAGATCAGAATCCAGGCCAGCTAGGCATAAAGCAATTCCCTATCTCAAAAATAACTAAAGCAAAAAGGGCTGTCAGAGTAGCTCAAGTAGTAGAGCGCCTGCCTAGCAAGTGAAGGCCCTAAGTTCAACCCTCCAGTAATACAAAAAAAAAAAAACCAAACAAAAAACAAAAATGAAGTACATGGTAACTCTACGTAAAATCAATTCATCATATACTAGAAAACTGCTAAGCAGATTTTAAGTGTTCTTACCACAAAGTAAAGTATGTAAGCAACGCAAATATTAATTAGCTGGTTTTATTTATTTATTTATCTATTTAATGATTTTTGCAGTACTGGGGCTTGAACTCAGAGCCTTCACCTTGAGCCACTCCAACTGTCCTAGTTTTGTGAAGGGTTTTTCGAGATAGGAGCTTGCAAACTCAAGCTTGCCCAGCTTGCCCAGGCTGGCTTTGAACCGCGATCCTTCTGATCTCTGCTTCCTGAGTAGCTAGGATTACAGGTGTGAGCCACTGGCACCTGGCTAGCTGCATCTATAATTCCACAATGTTTATCTATTTGAAAATATACTACACTTGTCAACTGAACAAATGAAATGGCAACAGGGTGCTGGTGGTTCACGCCTGTAATCCTAGCTACTTGGGAGGTAGAGATGAGAAGGATCACAGTTCCAGCCCAGCCCAGGCAAAAAAAATTTTTGAGACCCACCTCAATGGAAAAAAGCTGAGCATGGAAGAACACAACTGTCATTCCAGCAATGGTAAGAAGCCTAAAACAGGAAGATGGCAGTCCAGGCCACCCTGGACAAAAAAATCTCCAAAATAATCAGAGCAAAAAGTGCTGGAGGCATGGCTCCATAGAAAGCACAAAACTGTGAGTTCTAACCCCAGTACTGTCCCCCTACCCACCCCACCCTCTGCCAAAAAAAATCAAATGGCTAAGGATATCTTGGTGGTAGAGCATTTGCCTAGAATATATAAGGCTCTAGGTTCAATCCTCACCACTGCAAAAAAATACATAAAAAAAAAGAGACAGTAAATTAAAAAAAGAAATATTTGGTAACATAAATGTTTCAAAGAACATCTTATATTGTATGCGGCTAGGATTGAACCTAGGGCTTTGTTCACACTAGGCAAAGTCTCTGCCACTGAGCTATACTCTCAGCCCTTTTTAAAATCTCTGGCTTCAGAGAGTATCTATTTTTGTATGTGTGATACTGGGGTTTGAACTCAGGACATCACACTTGCAAAGTAGGCTCTCACAAAGCAGGCATTCTATCACTTAAGTCACACCTCCAGTCCACTTTACTCTGGTTATTTTTGGAGACAGGGTTCAAGAACTATTTGCCTGGGCTGACTTCCAACTCTGATCCTTCCAGTCTCAGCCTCTCAAGTATCTAGAATTAGAGGCATAAGCCACTGGAGCCTGGCTCCAGAGAGTTATCTTCAAGAAAACAAAGTGAGGCCTGGTGAAGTGGCTCAAGTAGTGCTTAGCAAGCAAGAAGCCCTAAGTTCAAAAAAAAAAAAAAGAAAGAAAACAAAGTGATACCACTCAATTTGTGGTCACCAGCCATTACTCATTCTTCCACCTAACAAAAAACACAGGTCTGAGCTGGGAATAGTAGCATACAACTGTAATCCTAGCACTCAGGAGACTGAGGCAAGGAAGTATTAGAGTTTGAGGTCAGCCTAAGCCATAGAGAAGACTCTGTCTCACAATGCAGAAAGGAAAAAAAGCCTGCAGGTCTGGTATACTCTCCTCTGCCCTGTGAACCCCGGGATGGGCTAAAGTACTCTGACTCCCCACTGCCCTTCCACTCACTTCCAAGACCCTTCCCCTGCAACCCAGCTGGGTTTCAACAACAGCCACAGGGAAAAAGCACTTAAGTGAGTTACTTCATGAGATCTCTCCCTGGCCCTCTAGGTCAGATCCTGACAGAATCTTCATTTCATAGATGGAGAGCAGGCAGTGTGGAGGCGTGTGGCAGAGGCCACAGCCAGAGCTGCAACTCTTCAGCAGGCCAGACACTCACCTCTTTGCAGTGCTGTTCCCTCAGCAGGTCTCGGAGGGTGCGGTTGGTCTCCTCAAATGTGCTCAGCTTCTGCAGGAGAAGTTCCTTCTGCCTCGTTAGGGTGTTGATGTCCGTGCAGGTCATTTGTTTCTCCTGGAGAACAAGCATGTCTTACACAGGGCAAGTGAAAAGGGAAGAGGCAGGCTTTGTGGGTTCTCAAGGCACTGATGCCAATAAGTCCAGGCAAGAGGTACTGAGCCAACAGGGTCAAGAGCAGACTTCCTAGAAGTGGGCCTAAAGGGTGGGCCAGGGCTGAGTCTACTGAAGGCAAGAGGTAGAGAAAGGGATGAGAGAGCTCCAGCTCCATGTGGGTGAGTGCAGTGAGGGCAAGCTTCCTGGAAGAGGCAAGGAGCCATTCTCAAAGGCTGATACTTGCAGGAATTAACCACATGCCTTACCTCACTGTGATCCCAGACGACCCATGATGAGATGATCTCAGATGCCCTGGCCACCAGAGGTCATCTTTGAGGGTCAGAACCCAGGAAGTGAGAGTGGGGGGGGGGGGACTGCAAAGTTAAGTGTGCCCTCCCCCAGCCTGGAGATGTCATAAAGTCAGCTGATGACTGTGTAAAGCCCCACCCCCCCACCCCACCCAGTCCCAAGGCTCCACCTACAGTTTTCAGCTTCCCGATGGTATCCTTCAAGGCCATGACTTGCTTGGCAGCAGCAGCCCCATCCATTTCAGCCTCCACCAACTTGGACATGAGGCACTCCTTCTCCTGCTGGAGGTGTTTCTTCTGAAGCCTGGGGCCAGAAAGATAGGGCTCTGTGAGCCTCAAAGGCCCTGCCCGCCCAGAGCTCTAAGGCCCGCCTCACAATGCTCTACAAGACTCCCTCCTGCCAGGGAACAATGGGGGAAAGTGAGGGGGAGGTCCTTCTGACCCCAGAGGCCTAAGAACAAGGGCCACCAGTCAAATCTGCCTGGGTACCAGAACACAGCCTCCACACTAGGGAACGTCATACCATCTGCTTGTCTCAGCTACCATCATCATCACTGCCATAGCCTCCTAACCACCCTCTTCAGATCTGTTCTTGAGCCCTCCCACCCCCCTCTCCACAAGAGAGCCAAGCCTGGTCAAACCATTGCCCTAATTTAAAAACTCTTCCATGATGCTCAACTGCCTCAAAGTGCTCCTAAACAGAGGCTGGGGTGCAGCTCAGTGATACAGCATTTGCCTAGCTTGCCTAGGTTCCACTCCTACCCCTGCAGAAAAAGGAAAAAAAAGAGAAAAAGAAAAACTCCCAAATACCTCAGTGGCAGATGCGCACTAAACCCCTGCTGTCTCTTTGGCATCCTTTGTCCTCAGGTACCCCTTGCCCTCAGGTGCTGGCTCCGGTCTGCTTTCCACTGCCCAGGGGCAAATGCCACCCACCCTGGGGTCTTCCTAGGAGACATTCTCACCATCTAGCTTTCTGCCGACTCCCATCTGCCTAACTTCCTACAGACCTACTCCTCAACATCACTTTTCAGAGGAGTTCATGACTCCTCATGCCCATGGGTCCTTTTCCTTCACAGTGTGGATCACAGAACAGTTGGTGACTTGCTGTGATATTGTGCTGAACAAGCTCCTGCACGGGCACAGCCCCAAGCCACGACCTCCCTCTATGCTTTCTTTTCACTCCCAGGGCCCTGTGCCTGGCAGGATGGAGCCAGTCCCTCTGGCAGGCTGGGTGCCTCACACAGTGAAGTCTTTCTCCTCCTTGATGCGCTCGATGTTGTGCCTAAGCACTGTGTTCTCATGCTCTGTCTCGGCCAGCTCATGGGCCACCTCCTCCAGCTCCTCCTTCCGTTCCTCCAGGAACCTTTTGGCCATCTGGCGCTCGCCCTTCTGCATCTTGACCTGTGCAGGGGCACGGGGGCAGGGCCACTGAGGGGAGAAGCTTCTTCAATGTCGAATGGCTAGGCCCAATATTTTGGACCAAAATAAGGACCCTGTGACTTGAGAGTGAAGGATGGGGGCCCTATTCAGAGTTCTTGTGGGACTTAACAGGCACAGTCCCAGTAAATCCTCACAAACACTGACTCTCCAGGAAGATACTACTTCTTTCCTCATTTTGTAGCTGAGGGAACTTAATACAGAGAGGCTGAGTGGCTTGCTACTTGGGGATGGATGCAACCATGGTTCAGTTGGCATACCACAGGAAATACGTCACATAAAGGCCCTGGCACCTCATGCTATGGGGATTGGAGGGCCTGTTGCCAGGCAGTCAGAACTAGGTTCTCTGGGAGGATCTTGGGACCTCACATACAGGGTGGAGGATTAAAGACCTAGGGCACATTAGCAGTCCAGATCTAGATTTTAAGGCCAGCTAGACCAACTTCGTGTTTGAGGACTTTGGACTGGTTCTATTTCCAGTTTCATTCCCATTATCCCTCCCCACACGGGGCAGCTCCACTAGCAAGGACATCCTTCCTTTGTCTCTCTGGGGCTTTGTTTTTGTGTTTTTAACTTTTGCATAAAACAGAAAACCTGCCAGGTGTGGTGGCTCCTGGCTATAATTCCAGCACTCAGGAGGACAGTTTGGGGTTAGTGTGGGCGACATAGGAAGACTCTGACTTGAAAAAAAAAAAAAAGAAAGCTGGGCAAGGTATTGCACACCCATAATCCCAGTTACTCTAGAGGTGGAAGATCACAGTCTAAGAACTGCTCTGAGCAAAACTCAAGACCCTATCTGAAAAAATAACTAAAGAGAGGGCTGGGAGTGTGGCTCAAGTGGTAGAGTACCCACCTAGCAAGTGTGAGACCTTGAGTTCAAACACTAGAATTGGAAAAAAAAAAAAAAAAAAAAGCCTAGGCTTCAGTTTCTCAGTCACTTCATCTATATTTACTGTTGGAAATGTCAAATCATGCCATCCACATAGAGCAACAGGCAAGTGCTCAGCAGACAGGGCCCTTCTAATGTCCCCAAGCTGCCCCAGCTACCTCCCCAGGTGGAGACCTCTGATATCCCAGTCTTGCTGAGGGGGACAGCATGCCCACAGAGAATCTGCCTGAGGGACCTGTCCACCAGAAACATGCCTGGGTTCTCCCACATATCCTCCTTACTAGCTATCCCAGCTGCCTCTCTCACCTCAGACTTGAGACAACCAACCGCATTCATTAGACTGTCAATCTTCTTATCATAACGGTTCATCTTACAGTGACCAGAGTCATCATCTTCTGTAGAGAGGTCACTTAACCGCATCACGGAGACCAGCTTTTCTGAAGATGGTGGTGTTATCTCCAGACAATGAGGTGGATTCTGATGTGGAGGAAAGAGAAGACACAAGAGCTCAGCAGAACTTCCACTGCACTCAGGTGTCCACTGGAGGCTTGCTGACTGCTGTGGTATAGCAAAAGCATCCATCCCCCAACTCCAGGGATCCTGCCTAGGAGGACCACCACTCCAGACCCTCTTGAAGGAATATAACCTACCCACATCTAACGAATGCTTGGGAAGAATTTCCAACATTGAAAGAAAAAGCTTGGGTTGGAATGTTAAGTTTTAACAAAGAGAGCCAAATGCAGTGGAATACATTTGTACTCCCAGCTACCTGAGAGGAATGCTTGAGCCCAGAAGTTTGAGACCAGCCCAGGCAACATAAGCAAGACCCCCTCTCAAAGGAAGAAGAAAAAAAGAAATATATGCAGAAATATATACACTTTTTAAAATATACCAAAAACAGCGTAATGATGCACACCTGTAATCCCAGCACTCAGAGGCTAAAGATGATCTAGAGATCAAGGACAAGACTACACTTTCAGGGATAATTTCTATGGTTCAAGGCCAGCCTAGCCTCCAAAAAAAAAAGTAAATAAATTTTTAAAAATTTAAAATTCACCAGGCGCTAGTGGCTCACACCTATAATCCTAGCAACTCAAGAAGCAGAGATCAGGAGAATCATGGTTCAAAGCCAGCCAGGGCTAGAGGAGTGGCTCAAGGGGAATGCCCAGAGTTCAAGCCCCAGTACCGCAAAAAAAAAAAAAAAAACAAAAAAAAACACATCAGTACAAAAAATTTTTTAAAAGCACATGTGTACCTCAGAAAAGTTTATGTGAAGTTCTACTGAGACTTTCCTTTTAAGACTAAAGATATAATATGGGGGCAGTTTTTTCCATGTCTCTTTGATATACTTAATTTGACCTCTCAATTCTATAAGTTTATTCTGATGCACTAATGTTTTTTCTTAGTAGTGTATTATAATTGTACAGGGGGGAAAATGTGACATTTACAAAAGTGCTTACATATATCTTAGATTCACCCTCCTGATGCACTAACATCATTTCTCATGCTGTGCAGTTCTTTGTTTCTTGTAAGCTGATGTGGCTACCCTTCTATGCCAACTTCCAGGGGAAGATGATTGCCATCAGGGATAAAAAGAAGTATTAGCCAGATTTATTGGCTCATGCCTGTAATCCTAGCTATTTAAAAGGCAGAGATTGCAAAGATCAAGGTCTAGGTGGGCCCAGGCATAAATGTATTTGAAAAATATCTAAAGCAAAAAGGCTGGGGGCATGCTCCATTGGTAGAGCATCTGGGTCTAGCAAATGTAAGGACCAGAATTCAAACCCCCATACAACCACTAAAAAAATAAATAAAAAGAAGTGTTTGATAATGATGTAACTGTTACATAAAACAAGCAGAGCCCATGGAGTACAATTAAGAAAGGGCAGGTGTTCTTCTTCTCTGCAATTCTATTTCTGGGGATTTATTAAGAATACTAAGGGCTGGCCAGGCGCAGGTGACTCACACCTGTAATCCTAGCTACTCAGGAGGCAGAGATCAGGAGGATCACAATTCCAAGCCAGCCAGAGCAAACAGTTCCACAAGACCCTGTCTCAAAAAACCCTGTCACAAAAAAGGGCTGGTGGAGTGGCTCAAGGTGAAGGTCCTGAATTCAAACCTGTATCACACACACACACACAAAAAAAAAAACTAAGGGGCTGGAGGTGTGGCTCAAGTGGTAGAGCACTTGTTTTGCAAGTATGAAACCCTGAGTTCAAATCTCAGTCCCACTTTTAAAAAAAGGGTCATCATAGTGAGACCCCCTACCTCAAAAAAAGAAAGAAAAATCAAAACTACACTTATAGCTCCACCTACTCATAAGGCTGAGGAAAGAGGATCACTTAAACCCAGGGGTTTAAGGCCAGCCTCGGCAACACAGCGGTACCTCATCTCATCTAAAAAAAAAAAAAGTACAATGCAAATATAGTAAAAAAAATGTTACACAGGGCTGGGGTCCCCAGCACCACAAAAAGTTATACAAAAAAGAGTGTTATGCAATCAAAAGTAAAATATGACATCATTGTTGCTAAAGCTAAAAGAGTCTATTCCCAAGTGAAAAAAAAAAAAATCAGAAAAATCAGAAAGTACTTGTTTTTTTTTTTGGGTGGGGGGTGTCCTGGAGTTTGAACTCAGGGCCCCAGCTTGCTAGGCAGGTGATCTGCCACTTGAACCACTCTGCAAGTCCTTTTTTTGGGTGGTTGGGTATTTTTCAAGATAAGAGTCTCACAAACTATTTGCCTAGGCTGGCTTCAAACCTCGATCCTCCTAATCTCTGCCTCCTGAGTAGTTAGATTTACAGGCATGAGTCTGGAAAAATATTTAGATAGCATATTTAGAAAGGGGATAGCTCAGTGGTGAAGAGTTTGCCAAGCATGTGCAATGCACCTTAGGTTCTATCCCCAGCACCACAAAAAAAAAACAAAATAAAAACACAATGGACTGGGGGTATAGCTCAGAGATAGAGTGCTTGCCTAGCATTCACAAGGTCTTGGTTCAATCTTCAGAACAAGAAACAAACAAACAAACAAAAAAACTGGTTTTAAATGAACCTGGGCAGTGATGAAGGGTGGTTACTTTTAGAGGTGAGATAGAGAGACAGTGATAGGAATAGGCCAGAGGGAAGCAGAGGATGGTTACACAGGTACATTCAAGTTGTAAGGTTTCATCAACAATACTTTTTATTTTTTTTCAGGAGGGGAGGGGGTAGGATCTGGGATTTGAACTCAGGGTTGAGGTTGCAAAGCAGATGCTCTACCTTTAGAGTCACACCTCCAATCATTTTGCTCTAGTTATGTTGGAGATAGGGGTTTTGTGAACTGTTTGTCCAGGCTGGTCTTGAACCTTGATCCTCCCCCATCTTAGCCTGCCAAGTAGTTAGGATTACAGAAGTGAGCCACTGGGGCCTGGCAGCAATATACTTTTTTTTTTTTTTTCTTTGTGGTACTGGGGTTTGAACTCAAGGCTTCATGCTAGCAATACCGTTCTGATATGCATATACTCTGTACTTTTCAACAACAATAACAAAAATATTTTGGTGGTGTTCGGGTTTGAACTTAGGGTCTCCCAGTTGCTTGGGAGGGGCTCTACCACTTGACCCATGCCACCAGCCCCTAAACAAAAAAAAAATTTATGTTTTAACAGTAGCTACACTTGAATAGTAAAATTATAGGTAATTGCTTATTTTTTCCTGTATCTTTAAATTTCCATAATAAAAATAGATCACTTTTAATACTTGAGAAAAGAAAAAAACGGTCATCATCTTTCTCCCAAAGACAATCATATATGAAAGGAATTTAAACAAAAACAAATCAGGGCTGGAGGCATGGCTCAAGAGGTACAGCATATGCTTACCATGAGCAGGGATCTGGGTTCAATCCCTAGCACCAACATACAACAAAAATCAAACAAGAATCCCACATGCACAAAGCAGCTTCTAGTCTCTATTTCCAGCTCCATCTCAAACTTCTACTTCCTGGGGCCATTCTCCTTTTCTCCATAATGGAAAGGATGAGGTTAGGGCTTCCCAGGAACAGAGGCATCCACAGGAAAGTAGAAAGTGACAGACCCAAGATGGAAAGCAAGAAAGACACCTATTATTTGAGCTACTGAGAAAGCAGCAGAAGCGTGAAGCCCTGAGTTCAAATCCCAGTCCCACCAAAAAAAAAAAAAAAAAAAAAAAAGACTGAACCTTTAACATAGATCAGGTATGATTATTTTAAAGTATTCCAAAAGCCTTTACTTGATGAGACTTTTCTTTTGGTGGTACTGGAGTTTGAACTCAGAGTCTTGTACTAAGCAGGCATTCTATCAACCTGAGCCACACATCCATCTCTGTTCAAAACATGGTCAAAAGCCTTTCAGCCATGGGCTGGTAGAACAGCTCAAATGGTAGAGCATGAGGCCCTAAGTCAAACCCCAGTACCATCAAAAGTAAATAAATAAAATTTTTAAAAAGCCTTTCAGGCTAGGTGCCAAATCTCAGCTGCTCAAGAGGCAGAGATCAGGAAGATCATGGTTCAAAGCCAGCCAGGGCAAATAGTTGAAGAGACCCTATCTTAAAAAAAAAAAAAAAAAAATCACAAAAAAGGGCTAGTGGAGTGGCTCAAGGTGTAGGCCTTGAATTCAAACCCCAGTACTGCGAGAAAAAAAAAAAAAAGCCTTTCAGCCTTCTGTTATTGTTGAGTTTTTACACTGCAATTGATTAGAAAGTATAATGCAATTTGCTGTTGAATAAGGGGGTGGGGTAGAAAGGATAAGAGAGAATAGAGGGGGCTAATTTGATTTAAAGTACAATATATTTATGTGTGAAATACCACAGCAAAGCCCCTCTGAACAATGAATATATTTTAAAAAAATGAAGGACAGAAATGTAAAACAGGTCCTGTTCAGAGGCAGGTACTAGTGGAAGGTGGGAGGATGAACGGAGAGGTTAAAGAAAGATGAATATGGTGGATATACTTTATATACTTGTATGAAAATATAACACTGAAACTTGTTGAAATTGCTTTAAGAAGGCAGGGAATGAGGAAGAATGATGGGGTGAATCTAACCTTGGTACATTGTAAGCACATATGAAAATATCACAATGAAACCCCTGTATAACTAATATATACTAATAAAAATGCCTAAAAAGCTGGACGCCAGTGGTTCACACCAGTAATCCTAGCTACTCAGAAGGCAGAGAGCAGAAGGATCACAGTTTGAAGTCAGCCTTGGGCAAACGGTTCACGAGACCCTACCTTGAAAAAACCTCTCACAAAAAAGGGCAGGAAGAGTGGCTCAAGGTGTAGGCCCTGAGTTCAAACCCCAGTACCACAAAAAAGAAAAAAAAAGAAGAAAAAGCCAGTGTAGTGGCTCACATCTTTAATCCTAGCTATTTGAGAAGCTGAGAATAGGAGGATCAAGGTTCAAAGCCAGCCCAGGCAAACAGTTCAAGAGACCAAATCTCCAAAATAATCAAGCAAACTGGACTGGGAGTGTGGTTCAAGCAGTAGTGTCTGCTTTGCAGTAGTGAAGCCCTGAGTTCAAACTCTAGTCCAAAAAAAAAAAGTTTAAAAAAACAAAGAAAGCAATCATAACAATGCACATCTGCCTGGTTTACAGCTGTAACCCCAGTGTCCAGCAGTGCTTGGTACAACCTTCAAGAAATGTATGTTGTATGAATACTGCATGGATGACAGACAGACAGGTGGGTGGGTGGACAGATGGATGCAACAGTAAATAGGTAGGTGGGTCAACAGACAAGCAAAACATATTGAGGTGTGGCTAAAAATAAGACAACAGTTCTCTTGGCAACACTGAAGCAATACTCCTCAGCATATTGTTCCACAGTGGCATTGCTGACATCTATGGGTCACTCTTATGGTCTGTATGGAAATGCTTTTTATTTTTTTGGTGACACTGGGGTTTGAACTCAGGGCCTCACACTTGCTAGGCAGGTGCTCTTACCACTTGAGCCACTCTGCCAACCCTGTAGGGCAATGCTTTCTTGAATACATATATGCTGGTGTACGTATATGTCTTTATGCTTCAGATATGTGGGGAAATACACCTGGCTCCTCACATGCAAAGCAGAGGCTGAGGGTTTGATCTCTAAGATGAAACACCACAAGTCATAACTCTAGCTCTACTACTTTCTTTATGTGACTCCAGGCAAATCAGTTCTGAGCGTTGGTTTTATCTCTACACTGGGAGAGCAGGTCCTACCACATAGCAGTGTTGTAAGGAGTCAAGAAGAGCAACATACTTTCAGGGTCTAGAAAGGCACTGGGTAAATGGGGCCTATTAGGATGTCTCCAACAACTACAGCCAACCCTGGATCATACCGAGTTTGAGGCCTGCTAGAATCTGACCAGTCCAAGAAGAAAGCCTGAACAAGAATGAGCCTACCTCCCACTTGCATCCCACATGGCGGACAGGTGATTTTCCAGGGGGCATCCAAGGTACCTTGGTTTTCACCCGGACACTCCGCCGCACATTCACGGTGTCCCCTTTCATGCCGCGCTTATGAGATTTCTGTGGAAAGGGACAAACCCAGGGTCATTTCCAGGCGTAGCTGGCCATAGTATCACTCTGGTGATATCCACTTCCAAGTCTGCAAGGGCACTTCTTTTGACTAAGATTACTGCTGCCACTGCTGGATAATAAACGCCTACCTTCTAACCAGGAAAGTGACCTCCAGAAGAGTATGTGTCTCCCAAACCTTTGAAGTCAGAAGCACGAGGAGGCTGGGCCGGGAGGTATGGCCCTGATCCACAGCTGTTACCTCGCCCCACTGGCATGCTCCTACCTGGCTGTTGGCGGCTGATGGTTTCGGGAGTTTTTTTATGTGGACATGGACAGGAGTGTTCTCATCCACGTGAACATGTAAAGGGGGAGTTGAAGAGCGGTCCTTCATGGTTCACTTCGGGCAGGCAGGGGAGGGCAACACAAAAAAGGCTGATCTGTGGATGAGTAAACTGGGCATAAAAACAGAGCTCAGAGCCTCTAGGGATTACTGAAAGCCTAGCCACCAAGCGAGCAGGACAGCTACCATCTACAGGCATGCAGGCAGGCCCCAAGGCAGGAGTATCATCCAGCAGGTTCCCACAGATATTCTAGTAAAGGCCACCAGGAAGACCCAGTCCATTCAAGACAGGGGTCAGCAAGACTCATGGGCTCAACAAGAGAACCCAAATGTAGGCCTCAGGGTCCTCAAAGCTGAATCTCCATCCATGCCTGCTGGAATGCATAGCTCCTTCTTGGACTTAGTGTAGCTCAGCTGGAAAGCAGGGGGATCTTTCTCAAGTGGCCATGCAGATTAGCATGAGAAACACAAAATGGTTAGGGTGCCAGATAAATCAGACAGCAGGCAGGCAAAAGTCTGTGGAAATAGAAGGGTGATGGGAATGCCACGATGGGAACGTTGTACAGATTTTAAAGAAATCATGAGCTATGTACCCCTTGCCCATCACATCTCCCATCACCTCCCCTCAATCTTTTTAAAAATTCGTCTTTTTTCTTTTCTTTTCCTTCTTCAAAAATTTATTCTAGGGCTGGGGATATAGCTCAGCCCTAGAATGCATGCATGCATGAGGCCCTGAGTTCAATCCCCAGTACCACAAAACAAAACAAAACAAAATTTATTCTAAAGATTTGGGGATTTTCCTGGAAGGATGATGTTAAGACAACCTCCTTCACCTGGCAGCTTTACCACATGCCTCACATGCCTGAGGCCCTGAGTTCAATCCTCAGTACCACAAAAAAAAAAAAAAAAACAGAAAAAAATTTATTTTAAAGATTTGGGGATTTTCATGGAAGGATGATGTTAAGACAACCTCCTCCACCTGGCAGCTTTATCACAGGCAAAAAAATAATTAGTAGTCACCAGGACATGCATAAAAGCACCGTGCAGAGCACCTGAGCCACCATAGTGCAGGCAGCTCCTAGCTAAGGTGTGCGGAAGCATTTCTGGTGGGGTCACAGACCAGAAAGGGCTGCTCTGCATGCATGTCACCTACCGTCACAGTTACACTGGGTGCGCCACAAGGTGTTCTCAAGACCTTTTTCTGCGTGAGACTCGTTACTCCATTCTTCCCACACGATGGAAACCTGTACCCGGGCACAAGAACCAGATTATAAGCAGAAAACTCAGGTTCTTCTAATTCTTAGGTCTCTGGAGAATATACACTACATGGAGTGGCTAACATGGAGTGGGTAACAGTCAGGAGAACCAACTTGGAATTCCTTGGCTACCTGTTGATGAGCACCTGGCACGCATGGTGTGCCCAGCCGAAGGATGGAAACAGGATGAAAGCCATTTTACACAGTTGGCCTTTTGACCTGCCATTGCATCACACGTATTGTGACCTTTTGCTAAAAAGCCTACCTATTATCCTGTCAAGTGACAAAAAGCAGGCAGCACACAAGAAGCAGCCAAGGTACTAGTCTGGACAAGGGTGAATTCCCAGGAAAGTGCCTGGAGCAGAGGTATCTCTGCTAAGTGAATGACTAACATACAGTCATTTATGGCAGAACCGCTCAAGTGGTAGAGCACCTGCTGAAGCAAGCACCAGGCCCTGAATCCAATCTCCAGTACCGCCATTCAGCTCAGGAACAAAATCACTGAGTCAAACTCATAAAATGAAGGCTCAAATATGCACCTACGAGCATGAAAAAGTACCTACCTGCCAAAATATTTCACTAAAATACCCTAAAAGAACCTAAGTAAGTTTTAAGACCATGAGCAATTCATCTTGTTTTATAGCCCCATCATTAATTTGCAGATAGCAACGTTTAATGTGTTCCAAAATTGGCAGTCTACCCGAGAACTCCAGATGGGAGAGGAATGACCACTCAATCCATCCTCCTGTTTCCTGACAGCACCAAAATATCAACTTGCTCTCCCCATAAATTCTTGGGGGGAAATAATGCAACATAATAATCAAGCACTTTCATATGCATTTTGCTGCATATGTATCATGCCTTGATTCAAAAAAAGAAAAAAAGAGGACTGGAGGTATGGCTCAAATGGTAGAGCACCTGAGTTCAAACCCCAGTCCCACACACACAAAGTTATTTATCAAACCCTAATAGTCATTCAGTCGAGAATAACAAAGCTGGGAACTTAGGTATTTCCCTCTTTTCACTTAAACCTGTTCACTTACAGCCAATTGCTTGTGGAAAGGTCAAATTACCCAGATCACCGCACCTTACTAACTACACATCATCAGCATTTATTTACACCCAGCCTCCTTTCAGAAAAAAGGCCCAGAGCTTAGAACTCCATTAAGACAACAAGAGTACCCTGCTTGCTATCAGGAAGCTGTGGCACCTGGGGAGGGAAGGAGAGAGAAAGAGACAGAGCTAGGGTGGTGTGTGTGCATTTCTTTCCTCCCTTTTAAAGTGATTTGAAAATATTTCGGTCCAGACTTTCAGTACACAGAACAGGAAAACTGACAAGAGAAACTGACAAGCAAGCCTGACCTGCGGATACCTGACCACCTTTCCCGGCCCTACTGCAAAGGCGCCCCCCACATTGGCAGTACCTGGGGGAGCCGCCTGAGGATGAGGCAGACATGGCTAGGCATCAAAGCCGCAAAGGTGGGCAATTGGGTCAGCAGGCTCTGCTCAGGGGGACCCAGAGGGGCTTGTCAATGAGAATCTCAGGGGCCCGGCATCAACGTCCTCTCTGAGGGGAGGAGGGTGGAAGCTTTGGGGGTAGCAGTTGGATGAAAACTTGGGAGGCGCTCCTCTACTGTCCAAGTCGCACAGCAACTGTCCTGCCAAAGTGGGAGGGAGACAGGAGAGGCTGAGCGACCTGCGGGGCGCCTGGAGGGCTGCCGGTAGGCAGGTTGGGGGGTGCGGCAGGAGCTCCCCTTTCGGGGGAAAGTCGGGAGGATGGGTAGGTGGCTACCAAGGGGAAAACCTGCGGGCTGGCTGGCGTGCGTAGAGGGCGGGTGAGAACCGCTAGGCCCCAAGTGGACCCCCAAGGGGCCGGAACCCGCGCAGGGAGCTGGACTGATATTCGGGGCGGGGCCGGGGCAACTGTCTCCTAGGAGAAGGGGCGTTCCCGGTGGAACAGATAGCAGGGAGCGCCAATAGCGTCTGCAGGGGGAGGGGCGAAGGCTGCGGGGAACCGGGGGCGCTCCGCGGCTACGGGTCTCCGGGACCGTAGGTCGGGGGCGGGGGGTGGAGAGGAGCAGAGACAGCGCTCCCGGGCCCAGCAGGGGCCGGTGGGGCATAAAACACGAGTCACAGAGGGCGAGACGCCGGGCTGTGCTGGCAGCGGGCTGCCCGGTGAGGCCCCTGGGCGGCCGGGAGCCAGGGCTGGGGACGCGCGACCCACTAGGAGGGCGCCGAGGCCCGACGGAGGAAGCGGCGGACGCGGCGATGCCCGTCGGCGGGCAAGAGGGTGAGGGGCGGCCTCTGTCGAGGGGAGAAAGGACGGCCACCCACCAGCGGGCCGCAGGAAACAGGTTTCTGCCCATAGAGAGAAGGGCGAAGCCTGCCCGAGGGCAGAGAGGAGGCGCAGAGCCCTGGCGACGGCCGGGAGAAGAGGGAGGCGGCCGGCCCGCCCGTTAGCCGGAGGAGAAGCAGCCCCGCGCCGGGGGGCGGGGCCGGGTCAGATTCTGACAGGAGGGGACGAGCGCGCCGGAAGCCTGGACGCGGCGCGACCCGGAGGGGTCCCTCGGCACCCACCGGACGACCCCACCAGGCCGGCCGAGCCGGGAGCGGGGCGACCTCGCCGCGGGGCACCCGGAGCACCCTGGGTCCCACCTGCCGGCGGTCTCTCACCAGGAGCGACACGGCTGCGCCCAGAAACGCCTCCTTAAGAAGTCGTTGAAGTCGGAGGCCAGGGTCGTGCCATGGAGACGCCGCGGCGGATGCAGTCCGGCTCCCGCGGCGGCTCCTCCCCGCTTCCGCCTCCTTTTCCGACACCCAGTCGGCAGCTCGCCCATTGGCCAGTTCAAACCCCCCCCGGAGCCTCTCGGGTTTCGCCATTTAGGCCCAGCCCCTGGCGTCACAGAGATGCCCCGCCCCGCCGGACGCCCCGCTCACTTCCGGGCCGCGCGTCCCGTCGCCAGGGAGACGAGCGACGCCTTCAGCTGGCCTGCCTGGTCTTGTCCCGCCGTTCAAAGACTGGCTTCCCTTCCGCCATTTTTGCCCCGGTTTGGGTCCTCCTGATTCCCAGAACTCAGCGGGGAATCAAAGCTCCAACGCGCTCCCCCTGATACACAATAGGAATCTAGGCCCAGTGAGGGGTCGGGACAAGAGAGTGGCCGGGGCTGCACTATGTTCCTGGAAACCCAGGCCTGTACCTAGTCACACTTAATGCAGAAATGGAGTCACCTGGTGCACACTACCCGGATTCTGGCCCCCTCGCACATTGCCCCTGCCTTTGCCCAAACAGGAGGAAGGGTTGGCACTCCCTTCCTCCCTCGCCGCTCTCTGTACAGACCTACACTGTTGAGGTTCTCGCTGGGCCGCCATCTTCTCGACTATGCTTCCTCGTCAGCCAATCATGCGGGGCTGTCACGTGGCTCACGGTGCCGCCCTGGGTTCTGGGAGACTTTAACCACCTCTGGGCGGACCAGACCTCAGTTCCTTGACACCCTAACCTTCATCGGAAATCTTGAATTCCAGCCTCTTGCTCTACTGAAGAGAACCCACTTTTCTGTCTTCACTCTCTCAGTTTACCGTACAATATTTGTTCTTCAATGCTACGGAGCATTGTTCGTTTTTTCCATGTTGAATAATTGATGAGTCCCCAATCCCTCTTGTGACCCAGCCATCAGAGGTTCTGTAAAGATCAAATCCAAAAGTCAGAGCTGGAAACACGGCTTAAGGGATAGATCATCTGACGAGCAAGCGCGAAGCCTTGAGTTCAAACTCCAGTATGGCAAAAAAAAAAAAAAAAAAAAAATTGCACTGTTCATCCCTAGACCCCTCCTGACATTTGCTTTTCCAAACCTTTGCCTCTTTCCTCATTCCAATTTCAGCTATCTTTTTTCATAGAGAAAAAGTCATCTAATGGAACTCCCTCAATCTTCTCTCCACTCTCAACTTTAACTTTCCCCCACATTTAAGTCCCTGCTTCAGGGGTAAAGGTATCAGTGCTTCTTGCTCTCTAGGAAAATCTTCCAGGTTCAAGGCCAAACACCTCTGGAAAATGTCCCTTTGCTGCCCTCAGGGCAGAATTATTTCTCAGCTCTTCTGCATTCACTGAACTAGTATTTATTAAGTCTGTACTGCATGCCATGCTCAGTGCAAGTGTGTGGCTTTTATGGTGGAAGATCTGAGAATGGACAGAATTACAAGATCACACTCCCCACCCCCAAAACACACACACACTGGGTGAGAGGAAGGAGGAAGATGATAAGCTCCTTAGAAGCTAGGAACAGGGAGGTGTACAGGGTAGCACTGGGAGATACAGGCAGGAGAACTGGGAGGTGGCTACTAGCCTGGGCTACATAGTAAGAACCTGTCTCAAAGCAAACAAAAAACTGCTACCACACCTTGGAGGTGTGTGAGCATGGAAAAGCTGTGAGCTGTCAGGGTTGATGGGCAGGGGTCAGAGTGTGCCTAGGCCAGCCCTGCTTCTATCAGTGGTTATCAACCCAGAATCACAAGACTCTATTAACCAGTGGCTCACATCTATAATCCTAGCTACCTAGGAGGCAGAGAGCAGGAGGATCACAATTTGAAGCCGGTTTGAGCAAATAGTTTGTAAGACCCTATCTCAAAAATACACAACACAAAATAGGGCTGATAGAGTAGCTGCCTGCCTAGCAAGCCCAGCAAGTGTGAGGCCCAGAGTTCAAATCCCAGTACTGTTTAAAAAAAAAAAAAAAGATTACCGGGACAGATTCCCAATATGTCTGCTTCAATGAGTCTAAGATGTAGCCAGAAAATTTGCATTCCTAACAAAGTCCCAGGTGATGCTGAGGTTTCTGAACATTGCTTGCAAATTACCCAATCCTCTCATGTCTGCATCCCCCATCTCCCCAGGCTCAGTGAGTCTCCAGTTGATCATGATCTGCCTGATCATTATCTCAGGGTTCCTTGTTGTGTGTGTGTGTGTGTGTGTGTGTGTGTGTGTCCTGACTCCTGTTACTGAAGACCTGTTATTCCTGGAATCAAGGGTCACCACAAGAAAGACTGGCTCAGAGCAACAGAGGCGGAGGCAAAACCGAGGCAGAGATGTCAAGCTTGTATTTTACTTCCAGTTCCCATGGGCACTGCAGCCTCAAGTGGTGAGTCAGTCCACTTTTTAGCAAAAGCAGACTCTAAGTCCTTGTTATAATTCCACTATCCTTCACATGTACAAAGAATTCTTACAAATAAGTAAAGAAAAAAACAAACAGACCCAAAAGAAAATGAGCCAAATAAATCAAAAGATAATTCACACAAAAGAAAATTTAAAAAGCCAGACATCTGGGCTATGTTGTGAGCCTGAGCTCTGCCTCCTTTGCCTCTTCCTCCTTCTTTTCCTCCGTTTTTCTTATCTCAGGCATGCTAGGCACATGTTCTACCATTGCTCTAGACCTGGATTCCCTAGTCACTTTTTTCTAAAGGTCAAATAACCAATAGTGAGAAACAAGCAGTCTTGAATATTGCTGCTAGCTTTAAAACTTGATATAACCTTTTAACAGAACAATTGGTCATTATATATCAAAAGTCGTAACGTTCACATCTGGGAATATATTTTAAAGACCTAATTGGGTTAGGTAGTTTAAGAGCCCTAAAGAAAATTCTTACAATTTTTGTATATGTTCAAGTTTGTCCTCATTCATTTATTCATTCAGCAAATATATATTGAATGCTAAAAAAAAAAAAACCTAATTGGAGGCTGAGGGTGTAGCTCAAGTGACAGATCACCTGCCTAGCATGTGTGAAGCCCTGAGTTCAAATCCCTGTACCACCAAAAGATTGCTGAAAAAGATAATTCATGATTATGGGTAGGTGGGACAGGTGTTTGAATCCAGTGAGTCACACAAAGCAGACACTCTACCGCTTGAGCCATACCTCCAGTCCATTTTGCTCTGGTTATTTTTGGAGATGGGGTTTCACAAACTATTTCCCTGGGCTGCCCTTAAACACAATCCTCCTGATGTCAGATTCCCAAGTAGTTAGGATTACAGGCGTGAGCCACCGGCACCTTGATCCTGACTACTGATTGGAAAATAGGTTATATCTGCACATGGTGGTACATGCCAGTAACCCCACTATTTGAGAGGCTGAGGCTGGAGGATTACAAGTCCAAGGCCAGCCTGCACCATATAAGGAGACTCATCTCAAAATTTAAAGATTAAAAGAAAAAAAATCAAAGAAACAGAAAATTCCATGTAACCCTCTTTATGTGTTTGGGCCTAGAAATGAGGAACAGACACAGATGTAAATACATAGAGTATAAATTTGGAGCTGGCACCAGTCACTCACGCCTGTAATCCTAGCTACTTAGGAGGCAGAGATCAGGAGGATCGTGGTTTGAAGCAAGCCCAGGAAAATAGTTCAAGAGACCCTATCTCAAAAAATACCCAACTGAGATAAGGGCTGGTGGAGTGGTTCAAGTGGTAGAGTGCGTGCCTAGTAAATGAGCAGCCTGAGTTCAAACCTCAGTACTGCAAAAAAAAAAAAAAAGGAAATTCACCATCTCCACTCCAGACCTACTGAATGAGAAGGTCTGGAGGTTGCCAGGAGTCCCTGTTTTAAGGTCTTCAGGGGAGCCAGAGGACTGCTCTTTCAGATCATCTTCTAGGGATGTTGGACAGTAAATCTACTCATGCCCCTAATAGTTTCAGAGTGGGAAACTGAGGCTCTGGAAGGAGAAGGACCTGGCACAAAGTCACACATAATTAAGTGACAAAGGTGAAACACAAAACAAAAAGCTCCTAGTTGTCTTGGTTTGATGCCTGTAATCACAGCTACTCAGAAGGCAGAGATCAGGAGGATCAGAGGTTCGAAGCCAGCCTGGGCAAATAGTTAAGAGATCCTATCTTGAAAAAAACCCATCACAAAAAAGAGTTTGTGGAGTGGCTTACATAGCAGAGTGCCTGCCAAGCAAGCGGAGCCCTGAGTTTAAACCCCAGTATCACAAAAAAAAGAAAATATGTGCTTTGACAAATCATTGTGTAGCGACAGCCCCCTTGACTGTGAAGGTGCTGGCCACAGCTTTGGCAGTTACCAGGTGGGAGACTTGTTTGAGATCTGGTACAGTTCACAGTCAGACATGGCAGGACCCCTCTTTTCTAGGCTGAACCTCCTTGCTTTTTGAATGACTAATGAATCCCTTTGTTCTGCAGCCAGTTCTTCATGCCTCTTGGTAGCTCTTGGGCCACTGCTATTGAAGGGTTTCTTTCCTTCCATATATTGAAGAGCAGACCCTAGTCTTGTTTATCATTTCTTGCACTTTAAAGTGAAATCGGAGCTGGGTGCCAGTGGCTCATGCCTGTAATCCTAGATACTTAGTTGGCAGAGATCAGGAAGATCACAGTTCGAAGCCAGCCCAGGCAAATAGCTTGAGAAAAACCACCTATCTTGAAAAACTCTATCTTGAAAAAAACCACCACAAAAAAAGGGCTGGTAGAGTGGTGCAAGGTATAGGCCCTGAGTTCAAGCCCCAGTACCGGAAATTAAAAAAAAAAAGCTACACTTAGGCATATTGTATTCAATGTTCAGAAAAATCAAAGATGAATTTAAAAAAAAACTCTTAAGGGGTTGGGGTGTAGCTCTGGCCCAGAAATTTTTTTTTTGGCAGTATTGGGATTTGAACTCAGGCCCTCACACTTGCTAGGCAGGGTCTCTCGAACCATTTGTCCAGGACTGGACAACCAAGGTCCTCCCTCCCAGATCCTGAGTGGCTAGGATTAGAGGTGTGAGTCACATACACTGGGCTTGAATATTAAACTTTTTAGAGTAAAGACAATGGTAAGGACTGGAGGCATGGCTCAAGTGGTAGAGTACCCACCTTGCAATCATGAAGCCCTGAGTTCAAACTCCAGTGCTGCCAAAAATAAATAAATAAAGATGATAACTACATTTGAATTATAGACTCAAGATTCATGTGCAATTCGTGGTGCCACCTTATTTAGATTTCTTTGTCCAGGTCAGAGCCTCAAATTTTTTTGGGGGGGCAGGTAAAAGAATTCAACATTTTTCTATAATGAAAGTATTTTCCTCCAAAATGTGCCTTCAACCTTTATGCAGTGTATCTTACTGAGGAAAGAAAATAAGCTGCCCTCTTATTTCTCTTCACTGTACATATACATTGTCAAGTAATATTCCCAAGATCACACAGCTCCAAAGAGGTGTCAGGACTCCAACCACAGGGGCCCCAAACCAGAATCCCTGTTCTTCCTTCTGGTAACTAGTCAGTGACAGTGGGAACAAACTCTAAAATCAGACTAATGAGCTCAGAATGATCAGCAGCTCAGGGTCACCTTAGCAAAGGAGCAGATCCTCATACTTGGGCAGATAGAGAGCCAGACACACTCACAATTTTTATTCTATTTTATTCTGTTTTTTTGTGTTAGTTATTTTTGAGGTACAGTCTCTCAAGCTATTTGCTCAGGCTGGCTTTGAACCTCTATCCTCCTTTTCTCTGCTTCCTGAGTAGCTAAGATCATAGACCTGAGCCACTGGCTCCTGGTTCTATTCTAATTTTTGAGGCAGAGTCTCACTATGTAGCCCAGGCTGGCCTGGAAGTCCAGATCCTCCTGCCTCAGCCTCCTGAGTGCTAGGATTTCAAGCACATCTTTAATATTGACTTTATGAGAGGGTTTTACTTGTTATTTAAGACATCAGGGGGGAAAAAAAGACATCAGGGGGCTGACTCAAGTGGTAAGAGCGCCTGCCTAGCAAGTGTGAGACCCTGAGTTCAATTCCTGGTACTACACACACACACACACACACACACACACACACACACATGCATGCACACACAAAGACATCAAGGAGCATATTTTTAGCAAAACCACTACCTAAATGGGTCTTAAAAGATTTTTAGGGGCTGGGTGCTGGTGGGTCACACCTTTAATCCTTGCTACTTGGGAGGCTGAGATCAGGAGGATCACAGTTTGACTCCAGCCCAGGCAAATAGTTCACCAGACCCCGTCTCCAAAATAACCAGAACAAAATGGACTGAAGGTGTGGCTCAAGCAGTAGAGCACCTGCTTTGTAAGAATGAAGCCCTGAGTTCAATTCTCAGTCCCACCAATAATTAAAAAGGAAATTGCAAGTGGTTTGGCAACTTCTCCCCCCACCCTCCATACTGGGGTTTGAATGCAAGGCCTGCACCTTGAGCCATTCCACCAACCCTTTTTGGTGATTTTTTTTTTTTTCTGAGATAGGTCTTGCAAACTATTTGCTGGGGCTGGCTTTGAGCCACAATCCTCCTGATCTCTGCCTCCTGAGTAGCTAGAATTACAGGTGTGAGCCGCCAGCACCCAGCTAATTTCTTATGAAATTACACTTACCTCTTGGCACAACTGTTTCTCCCCTAAGAAATGAAAGCTTCCATCCACATAAACACCTGTGCCCAAATATTTACAGGAACTTTATTCATAATAGCCCAAAACTGGAAACCATCCAAATGTAATGATCAATGGGGAAATAAACTGTGGTCAAGCCATACAAGGGACTGCCACTTAGCCAAGACAAGAAATGAAATCCTGGAACACACAAAGGTAATCTCTATGCATCATGCTGGATAAAAGCAGACTTGAAAGGCCACCTTCTGCATGGTCCCATCCATATGCCAGTTTGGGAAAGGTGGTATCAGAGGGGCAGAAATTCGATTGGCGATTCACAGAGGCTGTGGCAGGAGGAGAATCGACTGCACACTGTGCAGGGGACATTGCTGGGGAGATGTACATATTCCAGATGTAGGCGGTCCATATCTTCACTGGGGTGGTAATGGTGTGACTGCACATTTGTCAAAGTGAAGGTAAATGATGCTTTATTTCAATGTTGGTGCGTAAAGGGCTGAGCTTCAGTGCACCCACGGAGTAGCCTCTGAAGGGAGTATGCACAAGACACAATATGATTTGGGGCAGTTCCTTAAGCTGACAGATCCTTGTAATCACTTGGGGTAGTTAGAGTCACCTACGGCTGACTGAATCAGAACCTCCAGAGGGCTGAAAGGACAGGAGTCTGCACTTGAATTGGCATCCCAGGTAACCAGTGGTGGAAGGTGGAATTTGGGGGTAGAACTTCTGGGCCAGGATAAAAAAGATTCCAAACTGCTATCTCCTGCCCAGACTGGTCCCTGAATCCCAGATCTCAAATTTAGAGGCCTCAAACTAGAGGCCCTAGGTTCAATCCCTATTACTACAAAGAAAAAAAAAAAGAAAGAAAGAAAAAGCCCTGTTAGATCATGCCTCTCCTCTGCCAGGATGATCATATGAAAATATGTCATCCCTCTGCCCTCAACTCTTTAGCAGCCAAAATGGTCATAGAGGCTCTCCCTCTTCTGGCCAACCTTCACTACACTATCTCCAGGCTTTGACTCCTCTGTTTCCACTGTGTTCCAGCCTCACTGGCCTCCTTGATGTCTTTCAAGCCTGTCAGTCCTGCTCCTGCCCCAGGACCTTTGCAAATGCTGTTCTTTCAGTCTGTTATGCCTTTGGCTTGTCCCCGCTACCTCTTTTGAGTCTTTGTTTGGATGTTAGTTTCTCAGATCTTACATACTATCTCCTCTTTCCTCTGTAGCACTTAAAACCCTCTAATAGTTATTTCCTTATTTTTGTCTGTCTCCCTCACTAGAATGTCAGTTCCCTGAGGTCAGTGATGTTGTTATGTTTTGTTGTGGTTTTGCAGGACTGGGCATCAAACCAGAGCCTTGTGCATGCTAGGTAAGGGTTCTACCACTGAGTTATGTCCCCAGCCCATTTCTTACAGTTTTATTCACTGCTGTATTCCCAGTGCTCTATCCAAGGTGGGGCTCAATCAATGTTCACTGAATGAAGGAGGGGGACAGCTGAAGTGACTTGTCCAAGGTCATAGCCATTCAGAATTAATGGCTTTCATTCTTAGAAGGAACAAAGCACCACACCACCAACTCTGGTTCCAAGACCTTTTCACACTCATGCCAGGTCCTGGACCTCAACCCCAGGACAGAGCCCAGGGACAGCTCAACCTCAAGAGGCACCTGTGTGGCTCTGTCAGGAACAGGGTACTCACCAAGTGGGGCTGTCATGGAATAAAGCGGGAAAGGGGCTCCTCTGAAAAAGGAGAAGCCAGGGTCCTACCTGATAAAGGCAGCCATGGTCAAGGCAAAGAGCCATCTCCCTTCTGCCCCTCCAGCCACCCAAGGGCAGGCATCCTACAGCTGCTGGGCCTAGGAGCCTGGCCCTGCATGGCAGAGGAGGGAAGGTTGCGTTTTCTGATCAGAAGAGCAAAAGAACAGGGAGCTGCTGTTGGTGCTGCCACAGTGCAGGGAGCAGACTCCATAGGCGCCATGCTCCCTTCCAGGTTGTCTGCCACAAACCAGCAGAGGGAGCCTTGGTCCACAAGATCCATGCTCTGCCATTTGGTACCCTCTGGTGATGCCACTGGGTTAGGGCCAGAGAAGATCCCTAGGTCTTCCTCAGCCTCCTCCCAGAAACTGGGGTTCCATCACACAAGTGGGGGAGTGGATTGTGTGGGGTGGGATGGGGTGGGGTGGGGGGAGGATAGCATCAACAGCTCTGGACATGGCTTGATCCTAACCTGACAAGAAAGGCCAGCCTCACCAGGACAACACTCACTACCCAGCTACTTATACCCACCCAGTCCATGGGATTTCTCTTCCCATCCTCAGTCTACAAAGAGTACATAAAGGCCCAAAAGGGGAAGCACCAGCAGGAAGTGATGGTGGGTGCCTGACTCCTCCACCTGCTGTCCCTCCAGCTGCTCATCCCTAGATCAGGAAGGCGTCCCACCAAGGCCAAGTGACACGCAAATAGGTTCAGGCATGAGTGAAAAGCATACAGTGCAAATGTAGAGGGCTTTTATTGAAGGCCTACTGTGTGCTGGGCACCAGGTCTGCAGGGGGCACTTCCATGCCCCTGGACTTCCCACTGCCCAGAGAAGAGGGAGGGACAGATGTCCAGCCAAGGAGAGGCCTGAGGTGGAGGTAGACGGGGGCAGAGGGACCCAGTGCTGAGTCCTCAAAGAGGGTGGGCAGGCTCCAGGGATCTGTCCAGCTTGAAACTGGAGGGTGAGAGTCACCCCTTCACTCCACTCAGGCTTTTTTTTTTTTTTGGCAGTGTTAGGGTTTGAACTTACGGCCTTGGGTGCTCCACCACTCGAGCTTGTCCCCCAGCCCCTACCTGGGCTCTTAATAAGGCTCAAAGTGTCAGAAGCCTTTGAGTCCTGCTTTTTCCATGTGACCTTTCATGGGCTCCATCTCAAATGGTTTTCCCAAAGTGGGACGATTCCAGAGGACAGAGTGGCAAACAGGTGTCTGCTAGCTCCGTGGCTTCTAGTGGTTCCTGCTAGCAGTCTCCAGCTCTGCTCTTGGCTCTCCCACTTGGACCTGGTAGACAAGGCCGGGGAGAGGGCAGGGAGAGAGAAACAGAAAAAATTATAGTCACAACACCAACAGATATGGAGAGACAAAGCCAGACACAGGCAGAGAAAAGATAGAAAGACACAAAGCCAAAGCCAGAGTCAGAGAGAAGCCGGCTGAGAAGGTGGGAACATAGCCAGACACAGTCTCACCCTAGTAGGGGAGAGGAAGCCTAGACCACAGGGCTATGGCCTCTTCCTGGCCCTGGCCTTACCTACAGCTCATCCCGGTGGTGGGGATGGAGGCCGTGCCCACTGCTGCCAGCCAGATCCAGGCTGGGGCCACGCAGGGTCTTTTGAGAGCCAGTCCAGCTGATGAGGCGGCCACTGTCATCGTCCCAGGAGGACGATGTCTCTGTGTCACTAAGCCACTCAGCATCCCCTGCATAGTGGGTGGGAGCAGCAAGCAAGGGCCGGACAGAAAAGGCCTGAAGGTCCCTTGGCCAGAAGTGAGCCTTGTACTGCTCGCTGTGAAACAGGGTAACAGCTCAGGTGGGTGGCTGTGGCCCCTCTTCCCAGAACCCACATCAGTCTTTCTCTGTCCTCCTCACGAGTCCTCACAGTGACCTGAGAAGTGGGACTTCTAGTATCCCCATTTTCCAGATGAGGAAACCGAGGCTCGGAATAGGGAGGTCACTTGGTTAAAACCTACATGGGCAGCACAGCTTTCACACCTAGCTGGATCTGACCCCTGGGCTGCTCTTGAGTGATCTAGAACAAGTGACTGGGCCTCGCTAGTCTCCATCTCCCTAACTCCCCAGAAAGGGGACTTACTGAGGGTACCCCTGTCTGGCTGACCCTACCCCGCCCCTCCCAAGTCTCACTTGGGGTGCTGGTCAAACATGATAGGCAGGAACTCGTCCACAGGCAGCATGCGATGAAGAGGCTGGGAGGCCAGTAGCTTTTGGGCACCTGCCAGGCTCAAGGCATATGCCAGCGTCCAGTAGGAGTATCCAGCCACCACAAGGCCTGGTAGCCCCTCCACGGTCACCTCTTCCTCAGGGTTCACCTGCTTCCGGCCAAGGTAGCTACAAGTGACGCCAAGGGCCCCAGGACTCACTGTAAGTCCTGGGGTGACCCAGCCCCCTCTAACAGAACCAGGTTCTTCAGGGAGGACGGGCCAGGACCCAAGCAGGAGAAAGCAGACTCCAGCAGCCCACCCTCTCCCTTATCCCGGGGCACAGGCTGCATACATCAGGTCCCACGGAAGGTTTTGTGCTACCACATCCTTCATCATTCTCTCCAGACGCCCCCGGAAGTTGCTTTCAAAGCGCACATCGTCCTCAAACACCAAGACCTGGGACAGGCCCTTGGCGACAACCTGGGAGACATGGGGGTAGAAGAGGGCTCTGCAATTTGAGCTATCTCTTCCTATCTGCCTAAAGCTGACAGACTGTGCCTGGCCTCAGCTATATTACACATGGTCAGCCCTGGCTACGTCACGCAGCTACTCTGGAGTGCTGTTTGCTGGAGCTCCCACTGCCTGGGAACTGATCTCTCTCACTCTGGAATTCACCAACCACTACCATATCCCAGGGGCCAATGCACCTTATCTCCAGGAAGGCCCAGGAAGGAAGGAGATGGATACTTGAGAGGGGTAAACGCTTATGGGGACACCAACAGGAAGTGGCAGACCCAGGATTTCAACCTGCAACTTTTGGGCTATAGGGGCCAGCTTGTCACTTCAGCCTCCTGAGTTTCCTGAAGGAAGCTGATCTGAGTGGGGTAGGAGAGACCACAGCCCCCAACATCACAAAGAAAACCTTTTTCTAACTTTGAAAAATGTGAAAAGCCCATGAAATTAGCTCAGAAGGTGTCAAACTTAAGCATGATCACTGAATTTGTTCAGGGATGGTTAAAAAAAAAAGCCAATCTAGGCCAGGCGCCAGTGGCTCACACCTGTAATCCTAGCTACTCAGGAGGCAGAGATCAGGAGGATCAAAGTTGAAAGCCAGCCCAGGCAAATAGTTCAAGAGACCCTATCTTGAAAAACCCTTCATACACAAAAAAACAGGGCTAGTGGAGTGGCTCAAGGTGTAGGCCCTTAGTTCAAGCCCAGAACCGCAAAAAAAAAAAAAAAAAACCAAGAAACTAAACATAAGCTCACATTTACATATATACACTTTGGCCATGGTTGAAAATAAAAAAACAAAACAAGGAGAGCTGGGTGTGGTGACCACACCTGTAATCAGGAGGCAGAGGCAAAAGGACCATGAGTTCAAGGTCAACATAGACTACAAAGTGAGACCCTGTTGAAAAAAAAAAGGAAAAGTAAAAAAGGAAAGGGACAGTTTCAGTGCAGTCTCCTGGAGGGAGTGCCCTTTAGGGAATTTCCCAGCACTAGTGCTCAGCCCCTGGCTGAGGCTCCCCTGGCAAGTGCTGAGTATGTGCCAAAGCCAAGGCCTCCCAGCTCTCTCCTCCTGCACACACCTTCCTGCTTTGTCCAGTTTTCCTCTGCTTGGAAGGCTCTTCTCCTGGCCCTGACCCCTGGGCAGCATTGTCAGAACTGCCTGCACCTCTCCCCTCCATTGCAGGCTTGGTTCTCTCTTGATTTCTGTGTCCCCTCTTGGTCCCTGAGACCCCAGGAGGATTCCCCCTTGCAGGAGAGACACAATTTTCTTGTCCCCATGTCCTCAGAGCAGAACATGTTCTAACTCACAGCTGGTGCTCAGTACAGACTGCAGAATGGATAAGGGCACTGCTCAATGGTGCCCAGGACAGTGTTGGACCCAGAGAAGGTGCAAAGCTGCTGACCGGGTCTCTGGGAAAGTATTCATTCACTCACTTGTTCACCTGTGTGTATCTGAACGCTGGGCACACAGCCAACCCCTGCTGTCCCTGGAGGGTGTGGCCCAGCCGGCAGGCATCCTCACCTCTTTCCAGATGGAGTAGTGGCTGAGGAAACAGCCCACCTCGCCCTTGGTCAGTGTGCGGCCTGAGTAGGGGTCCTGGTAACCAGGAAGCAGGTCTACACCGAGGTTCCTGAGAACACTGCTGTTCAGCAGCCTGCAGGATACAGGCACAAGTGGGCGACAGGTGCTGGTAGAGGCCACTTCAGAGGGGTCTCACCTGTTCATGTTTGAAATGGTCACCCTGGAGTCTGGTTTGAAGAAGGTTTCAGCCTTGTAAATCCATGTGGCACCACCTTGGGGAAGCCTTGCCTTACAGGAGTGGGGGCTTCCTGAGGAGGAAGCACCTGGGATGAACAAGCACCTTGGGCTGAAGCCCAAGCCCAGGATGGACATCCTGCAGTCAAAGAGCCAGGGGCTTGAAGCAAAGGGCAGGAGGCATATGAGCTAAGTGTCCCTGGTGGCTGCTGGAGCCTAGCCCCTGGATCCTCGGGGGAACACTGATGGACTGTGCCCACCCCACCCATGAAGGACCTAAGTCCAGCAGGCAGAAGAATCCTGAGGATGCCTAACCCTTTGGAGTGCTTGCCTGGCTAATCCTCACTGAGCTCTTAGGGAAGCCCAAGATGGCACAATTATTTGCCACTTATCCAATAAGGCTGACAAATGGAGGTGACATGCGAGAGGTCACACAGCTTAGGTAAGTGCAGTGCTGGAATTCAGTCCTGGAATTAGGCCCTGCACTGCCCTGACTCATCAGGCTGAGGGATGGCACCTTATCCTAGAACTCCCTGAGATAGTAGGATTCTGGTCCCATTGGATATCTCCTGGAACAAGAAACTCTTTCGAGCCAGGCACCGGAGGCTCACCCCTGTAATCCTAGCTAGTCAGGAGGCAGAGATCAGGAGGATTGTGGTTCGAAGCCAGCCCAGGCAAATTGTTCTCAAGGTCCTATCTCAAAAATACTCAACACAAAAAGGGCTGCAGAGTGGAGGAATGCCTGCCTAGCAAGCATGAAGCCTTGGGTTCAAACCTCAGTTCTACTGAAAAAAAAAAAAAAGCAGCTCATTGAACTCATCAGCTGTGCACACTCAGAGCTCAGAGAGGGACTCCATTATTCCCCCAGGCACCATTCCCAGAAGCCTCACCGGCCGTCCACAGCGTCTACCACCCGCCCAGAGATCTCCATCTCCCAGAGCGAGCTCAGCATGCGAGCTCGACGGTGGGGCCTGCGGGCCAGGCTGATGACAAAGACCTGCAGGAGGCAGACGGGTGATTGCAGGGGAGGCAGAGGAGTGGCCGTCCACCCCTCCACCCCATCCCACCCCATCCCACAGGCTAGAGTACTGACCTCATCAAACCCCATCTTGCTGGGCCTCTTTGGGGGCCGAGATACATGATCTGAGGCCTGCATGGGGGGCCCGTCCACTGCAAAGGGAAGCAGTTCCTGTTGACCACCCTGGACTCCTAGCCCCCCTCCTATTCCCAGCCCCTCAGCTAAACACCTGACAGGAAGGGCCAGCTAGGATCCCAGAATCTACCTGTCCCCATTGTACAGGTGGGGAGACTGAGGCTCTGCACGGAAAGGGGACTGCTCAGATCAAGGCACAAATTAGAGGAACAGCCAGCACCCCAAGCACACTTAAGTCTGGCCTAGGAAAGGAGCATGGAGGGGAGGCTGGGAACCATCCAGCAAGGGGCAGGACAGGCTCCCAGCCCTTACCTAGTGCTTCCAAGATCAGGTGAATGAAATTGACCTTCTCATCCTCCAGCCCCTGGTGGGACTTTACTGCCACGTTCATATACCCATAACGGTGTTCATTGCACACATAGACTGAGACCCCTGCAGAGAGAGACTGAGTGGATGCTGGAGTTGGGACAGGGCTCTCAAACCTGCCACAAAAGCCCAGGCCCAGCACCGCCAGTGATCTAAAGTGTGAGTCCTTTTGGACTCTGTTTTCCCTACATGTGGGAGTGGTTGCCCCAGAATCAAGGGAGTCTGTCTTCTGAGATGGTTCGTTTACTCAACAGACCTATCTAGGGGACTGCTGGATGCAGGGCTGTGTACCAAAACAGACTGGAGTCCCTGCCCTCGGGGGATCAAGGTGAAGAAGGAGCAGGCAAACTTCCGGCTGCCAGGAGCCCTGTGGCCCCGTCCCCGAGACCGCACCTGTCTGCCCATGCCTGCTGCACCACTCAGATGCCATCCTCATCACCACCACCTTTTGCTCAGACTCCTACTTTCCTCCCACACCCTCTAAGGCTCCCTCCACACCGTCTTCACCTGACAACCAGAGTGGCTTGTTCCCTCTCAGATACAATTATCCTCAGGAGCAGGCACGGAGTCTATTTAACAGCTAACCCCATGCCTAGCACAGAATGCATAGCCTTGCCCAGAGCAGGGGAGCAAAAGCTGGGTGCTAGAGCCTGAATGATGGAGATAAAACCACCCTTCCCTGAATTTCTTCCAAGTGCCTTCAAACCACCCCCCAAGGAACAATGGCTGCTACTGGAAGCCATGGTAGCAATGACCCCTGAGCTACATCTCTAGTCCTTGATAAGACTATTTTTTCAGGTCGGGTGCCAGTGGCTCACCCCTATAATCCTAACTACTCAGTAGACTGAGATCAGGAGGACTGTGGTTGGAAGCTAGCCCAGGCAAATAGTTTGTGAGACCCTATCTCAAAAAAAATCCATCACAAAAAAAGGGCTGGTGGAGTGGCTCAAGGTGTATGCCCTGAGTTTAAGCCCCAGTACCACAAAAAAAAAGACTATTTTTTTTTTTATCCTGGGCACAAAACAAAGGATTCTCCTCTCTGGCCTGGATGAACAAACTGCTTGCTCAGGTGCAAAACTTCTGGATTCAACTAACACCTTGAACTTACCCTAAACACCCGATAGTCTTCATGTCCTTGTCCTGCCCATGTCCTGTTTATATCCTCTGCAGACTTCCCCAACCCTGTAGTCTCTGATCTTGGGCTCTTCCTCAGAACTGGAATTTTCTCACCAACATCTACTTTGTAATAACTTTCATCTTCGTTTTTTTGAAACAGGACTGCAGATCAGGCTGGCCTCCAACTCATGATTCTGCCTCAATCTCCCAAGTGCTGAGATTACAGACATGCACCACGATGCCAAAATAACTTTCATCTTAAAATAAGCACCAGGCATCAGTGGCTCATGCCTGTAATCCTAGCTACTTGGGAGGCTAAAATCAGGAGGATCGAAGTTTGAGGCCAGCCTGGGCAAATGGTTTGCCCCATCTCCAAAATGACCAGAGTAAAATGGACTGGAGGTGTGGCTCAAGTGGTAGAGCACCTGCTTCACAAACATGAAGCCCTGAGTTCAAACCCCAGTCACACCAGAAGAAAAAGTAGTTCTCCTTTCTGTCACAGTTGTGATTGGTCATTGATTTGTGATGTACTTTGGTTGATGGGATTGGAGGCTCTAGTTGGGCAGAGATTGCCTGTTTTAATCACCAGTCTCCCCAGTGCTTATCACATGACAGGTGCTCCATAAATATTTGCATAATGAAGCAATAAGTGAATGTGTCACAATGGGGACAGCCAGAAGCACATCTAACCCACTAGGGCAGTGGATTTAAGAAAAGCATGACCCAATGGACAAACAGGAGTTGACAACAGGAAATGCAGAGCAGGGACGGACATGCTGAGCAAAGGGATCAGCAGGTGCAAAGGCTCAGTGGTCTCCAAAAATTCTCAAGAAGGGCTGGTCCTCACCAGCAGCCTCACAGGCATAGGCGAAGACAATGATGTCATCAAAGGGCCAGGTGTAGTTGGGATGAGGTGGGTAGAAGGCAAGCTGGGCTGTCCCCTCAGCCCATAGGGACACCAAGAAGGTGGAATGGACCATGGGGACACGGAAGCAGCCCCGGCGCTGGCGGTTCTTGGTGGGGAAGTACTCGGCTGTGCGGCGGTAGTAGCCCTGGGGAGGAGGATGCTCTGGACCAAGAGGTCACCACTGCTCTGGCCCACAGGCCCCAGAGCCTCAGGCTCTCTGCCTGCCAGCCCCTCCTCCCAGGACCTCAAGCCTTGCGAGGCTCCCCAACCCCAGCCTCACCTGGGGGGTGATCCCACACCAGAAGTTGGAGTAGTAGGTCTGGGAATCCAGCATTGGAGCCACCACGGGCAGCCCCTGCTCAATCAGAAGCCGCAGCGTCTGGTTGTTGGTCAGAATGTTGTCTGTGTCTGCAAACTTTGGTGAAGGGGGCGTGTCACAGGCTCCAGCCCTGTCTGGGCTGCAGCCCTCCAGAGTTCACTGTGTGGGAATTCCTACAAAATAGCTTCAGGCATCCAACAAGGGGTCCCTTGGAAAACCAGGTGCCGATGGCTCATGCCTGTAATCCTAGCTACTTCAGGAGGCAGAGATCAGGAGGATTGTGGTTTGTAGCCAGCCTGGGCAAATAGTTCACAAGACCCTATCTTGAAAAAAACCCACCACAAAAAAAGGGCTGGTGGAGCAGCTCGAGGGGTAGTTCAAACCGCAGTACCACAAAAGAAAAGGAAAGAAAGAAAAAGAAAAAGAAGAGTTCTCTTGGAGAAATCTATCTGATACACCTAGTAAATCTGTGTCTTCTAAGGACTCAGTCTGGGACACTGGCTCAGGTATTAGATCCAGAGGTTAGACCTGAATCTAAGAGATTAGGCTTAGAGCGTGGATGCAAAGATGTACTCTGAGCTCTGGTCTGGGGATCTAAGCTCAGTTTATACTCTAGGTACTAGCCTAGGAACTTAGGCTCAGTATATACCTTAAGATCTGTCTCAGGTATCCAGGATTAGTACCTAGTCTGAGCCCAAACATAGGGATCCAAGTTCAACAACTGATCTGAGCTCTGAAAGATCCAGCTTTCATGTGGTTCAGTCACACCAACACTGTCACAGGCAGTGACATCACCTCTCAGAAGCTCAATACTAAACTAGGTTTCCTTACCAGGATATAGTCAGCCCCCCAGTCCCTGGCAAAGGTCAGGGCTTCCTGCTTCAACTCCATTATAAACTGGTGCCTTTCTTTGGTCCAGTGCTTGGGACCCTCTTCATCTGGGTAGGACCTGAAGGGGTAAAGAGATGAGATGATCCCATGAGGTGGGTGCCTCTCCCTCTCTGCAGCCCTGGAGGCTGTGGCTCTGAGTTGCTCTTCAACTTCTAGCACTCATGTCTTCATATTACTACCTGGCTTCCCCCTCGGGCCTCCAGACCACAGCTGCATAGTCATCGCCTACAGCTGCCAGCCACTCCTGCAGCATCTCCGTGGTGTTGTCCACATTGTGGTCTGTGGCACACCTGGGGGCACAAGAGGAAAAAGGGTGAGGGGCTCAGTCAAATAAGGACTAAACTCCAAGATGGCCTTGACCCCAAAGCACCAACATTCTCAAAGCTGGCCTCTCCTGGGAGCAGTGGAGGGGAGGCAGGCTACAGTAGAGGGGCTGGAGGCAAGACAGCAAGGTCTCCATCATCATCCTGTCACTTGTATGTGATCTCAGACATGTCCCATCCTTTTCTGGGCTTCACTTTCTCCCTCTGTAACTTTAAGCTGCCCTGCCTACATCAGGCCAAGATGAAAAATGAGTGCATTGTGAAAGATGAACAGTGTCTTGCCTTCACGGGCCACACCACACCTGCCACATTCCCTGATTAACTTCCTTCCTTGCTGTGGGACCACAAGCCAGGCCCTGCCCTCTCTGAATCAGAACTAGACAAAAGAGTTGCTGCTTTTCTCTGTCCCAAGTCATAATTAGGATTGTGCCATGTTCTAAGCATCCTTGGAAATGCTGACCGGTCCTAGCTTTGTTACCATGGAACATAGTCTCCTCTTTCCTGGGGAAGGGGCTCCCTAATGGAGGTGAGGGGCTTAGCCCAGAGCATAGGTTTAGGTGATGCTGCCCCTTTAAGTCAATTCCCCAGAAATGAAGACTAACTACGTGTCAAGTCTTACAGGGGTGGGAACTAACTCCCAAACTGTGGTGATTGTGGGCGGCCTCCCCAGGCCACAGCCCCACCCCAACCCAGCTTTGGTGTTGTGAGGGGTAGTGTGTCCCCAGCCTCAGCCTGGGACTCCTCCCTGTTCTGTTTTTTATAGACAGGGGGTTGTGGCCTTGGTTCAGTGCCCTATAGGGATACCAAAGGGAAGATCCATGGAAGGGGCACTGCCCTTGGCTGACAGGACCAGCCAGCCCCTCTATCCAGAGTCACTGGCACCAGCCCAGTGAGAGGAGAATCAGTCAGACTCCCTGCACAGCATGGAGCAGGGCTGAGGACACCCCCACCTGCTCCCTAGGAACCTTCAGTCTGGCGGATCCCTGCCACGTTGGCCCCCAGGGGACTGCAGACATTCCTATCTGCTCCACTCCAAGTATAGCGGAGGACCAGAGGTTCCACTGGGGTGCAACTTGAGCTTTGAGGGTTGGGGAAAAAACAGCTGGGCCTTCTCACACCCAGAGGAGGCCCCAAGAAGAGGAATAGGGAAGGAGGGGTGGGGGAGGTCCCCGGTGGACCAATGGCCTCAGAGGTCTGTCCTTGCCCCGCTAAGAGTAGGTGCCCTGCCTGGGCTTGGTTGAGGAAGGCCTTCTGTGAGGGAGAAGCCAGTCCGGGTGGTGTCTGGGCGGGAGAGATGGGGCCGCCTGGGCGAGGGCCATCCTCGGGCTGGGGACTTGATGCCCAGAGGGTGTCCACGTCCGGCTATCTCACCAGAGGGCCAGCCTAGCCCGGGGGTAGTCCAGCCGCTCCAGCGCGCCCAGGTAGTGAGGCAAAGAGTGCTCGGCATTGCGGGCCAGGATTGCAAGGACCACGGCGGGCAGCGGCGTCTCCGCGAGGTCCACAGCCTGGAGCCCCGGCCCCAGCAGGAGCAGCAGCTGGAGCAGCGGGGCGGCGGGGATGGCGCGCATGGCAGGCGCTCAGCGGTGGCGGCCCCCCGGGTTCCCGGCGGCGGCGGGGAGGGGCGGGGCTGCCGGGGCTGGGCAGGGCCTGGAGCCGGGCGGGGCGGTGACGGGCCCGAGAGGAGGGGGCGTGCCTCTGCAGAGTGGGCCCCCTCACCCAACTAGGATGCCTGAATGCTCACGTGTCCTTTCCTCTGTCCCGACCCTGGAGGGCCGCTCCAGACACCACTCCGGAACAGTCTCTCTGGGCTGGAACCCGGAGGGACAATGGGAGGTGGGGGGAAGAGGGAGGGTCGGGGTGACGGCATCGGAGCCATCCAGGGGTGGGGGATCACTCGATCCCTCGCACCCTGAGCGTCCAGGTTCTGGAATCGCATCCCCTGATTCCTGACTTCCTGACCATAGCAGACGCGCGGACCTCAGTGGTACACCCGGATTGGCCTGCAGCCGCCTTCCCGGGGAACCCCGGCTCCCGCCCGCTCCTCCGCCCCGGGCGCCCTCTAGGGGACCCAGACCGGAACTTCGCAGACCAGCCAGACGACGCGTGGGCCGGGGAGAAAGTCCCGGGTTGGGGGGCGGAGACCAGGTCTCCCTGACCTGGACGCACCATCCCGCGGCGGTCCGCGCCTAGTGTCTCCGCGCGTCACAGCCCTCGCCTCTGGCGCTGGCACCAGCACTGATTCAGTCCTTTAAGAGAGCAAAAAAAAAAAAAGAAAGTAAACCTCACTCAGAATCAGTGTAGGACTTGGGGAGCACCACGGGGCTGAGTTGGTGACCCAGCACCCCCTTAAAAAGCAGGAGACACAGTCTCCCCGAGAGCAGACCCGGGTCTTAGGACCCTGCTGGGATGCAAGGGAACCTCCAGCCTCTTTTAGGAAACGGACAGAAAAGGGAGGGCCCTGGAGGCGCCAGAAGTGGTTCTAGCTGGGTATCTGTCACTGGACCTCAGTTCATGTTCCCTGAGTCTCAGCATCCTCAAGGGGAAAATTTGGGCTGATGACACTGCCTACAAGGGAGAGTTTGCAAAGATTCCTGGAGAATGAACACATGGACACTAGTCCAGTTTCAAAGAAAGGCCCTGTTGGTTTGCCATCCCTCTACCTAGAAGGCCTACTTTTCTCCAGCACCTTAGCTTCTCCCTTAGCCTCTTCCTTAGGGTCAGAGAGGGGAACCATAATGATGTATACTGTCTCCACTGGGACAGTGGAGCCCAACAAAGAAGGGGGCTTACCTGGCAATGAGGCAGCACATGGGTTACTGAACCCTGGACCTAATCTCCAGTCTAGGTCCAAAGCCTCCACCAGGCTCCATCAGGTCACAGCTTCCAGTTGGGTTAGTTCCAAGCCAGTGGCCCTGAAATGAAAAAGTTCCATGGGGGGTTTGGAGGGATACAGTAGTCCCCTCCCTTGCTTGGTAGCCTCTGGCAAGAAGGTACTTCCAGTCCCAGAATGGGGATTCCTTTCTAAAGCCAAGCAATGTTCCCTACCTGCCCCTTCAAAGAGCCTCTACCTATCCTATTGGTGATGGGGTGCTGTGGTCTGAATGTTTGTGACTCTCAACTTCATATGTTGAAACCTAGTCACCAATGTTATGATAAGAGATGGGGCCTGCCGGTTGGTGGTTCACGCCTGTAATTCCTAGCTACTCAGGAGGCAGAGATCAGGAGGATCCCAGTTTGAAGCCATCCTGGGCAAATAGTTTGAGAGACCCTACCTTGAAAATATCCAACACTTTATAAACGGGCTGATGGAGTGGTTCAAGTGGTAGAGCGCCTGCCTAGCAAGTGTGAGGCCCTGAGTTCAAACTTCAGTACCAAAAAAAAAAAAAAAAAAAGAAGGAAAGAAAAAAAAAAAAAAGAAAGCCTGAGGGAGGTTTGTCCTTCCTTCCACCACATGAGGACATGGCTAAAAGGCACCATCTATGAGGAACAGTCCTTCGTCAGACACCAAATATGCTGGCAGCTTGATCTTGGATTTACTGGACTCCAGAACTGTAAGCAATAAGTTCCTGTTGTTTATAAATTACCCTATCTAAGGAAATTTGTTAGAGCAGCACAAACAGACTAAGACAGGGAGCTCCAGAGTCTTCTGCCTAGGGTTCTCATCTCTCCCAGTGCACTGACCCTTCTACTCCCTCCCTTCCTTTTCTCCTTCCCCAGTGGCCCAGTCATCCAGTCCATCACTGATTCCCATGTCCCAGGGTTTTTCCATCATCCCTCCCTGGAAAAACCCTATAGCCATCTTGCCTTGGGGCAGGTTGGAGCCTAGGCAAACTCCTGATTGTCACCCTCAGTTGGACTCTAACCTAGCCTAGCAATCTTGTTTCCTGAACTACTGTCCCCTCTCTCCAGTGTCATTTCAGATCCCCCCAGGCTTCCCAAGCCTCTACTCCACCATTCCACCTCCCTCCCACCCCAAGGATCTCCCTGCTACTTTTTAAAGAAAAGACAAGCCATCACTAGTAATTCTCAATTCTAGCCCAAAAAATTTTCACACATATACTTCTGCCCCCAACACAAGCCAGCTTCTGCTCTTCTAGCCTGCTACAAGAAACATCCTCTCCTCACAAAAGAACTGCTCCAGCCTCCATACCGTGGTCTCTTTCCTGTGTCCTCAACCATCTTCTCTTCTGGATCCCTCCTTCTAAGGTCCAAAGGACTTGAATCTTCCCAATTTAAAATAGGAAAACAGCAACGTAAGATTTCTGCAAGGCCCCGGCTGCAGCCGTCTCTCTCCCTTCGAACTTCTTAAATGGAAAATCAATACCCTGCTCCTTGTGTCACTTCCCTTCACTGCTTGACCCCACGCTAAGTCTGCCCCCCGTCCAGTGTCCTCTAGCCACTCCCCCCCAGTGGATACTTACTTCCTCCTCACATGTCATCCAAGAGGGCTCAGCCTCTTTTAGCAGCTGACTGCATGCACCACTCCCTCTTTCCAGAAACCTGACCTGTCCAACTGCCTACTTGGATCCAAACTCCACCTGCCCAAAATAAAACCCCAGTCTTTCCTCCAGTCACTCTAGAGATCAGCATCTCTGCTCACCCAGTCCCTGTGGTGAAGGCCTGGCTGTCTCTTTCCCTCACCAAGTCTCACCTGGGCCTGGCTGGACAGCCCCTCCACAACTCCTGCATATTTCCTTCTGCGCTGTCTCTTGCCTAGCCCAGGGCTTCAGCGTCACACATCTGGACACTACCCTTCCCTGCACCACCGCCACCAGGCTTTCCCCAGGAAACCACTCTGCAAAAATGCCTGACATGGTACTGCCCACCACCCTCAGCTCAGTGCTCCAATCCCTCTGCGGATTCCCCAACCCTTCTGCTCTCCACTCACCCCTCATTTTCTTCCCCAGCCGAATTGGACAATTTATAATTACCAGAACACTCCAACATGCTTTTGAACTTTTTTTTTTTTTTCAGAAGTGGGGCGTGAACTCAGGGCCTATACCTTGAGCCACTCCACCAGCCCTTTTTGTGAAGGGTTTTTTCAGGATAGGGTCTTGTGAACTATTTGCCTGGGCTGGCTTTGAACCGCAGTCCTTCTGATCTCTGCCTCCTGAGTAGCTAGGATTACAGGCATGAGCCACCAGTGCCTGACCCATTTTTTTTTTAAACACAGGGAGACAGGGTCTCTCTGTGTAGCCCAGGGTGGCCTGGAACTCACTACATCCTTTTGGTAGTGGTGTTGTTTTGGTACCCCTGCATTGGTCTTCCCCTTCCTAGACAACTTGTACATTACATAGGCCTTGAAGTCTCAGCTTGACTTCCTTCCTCTGGAAAGCCATCCCTGATGTCACATCTGGCACTCATTCCATTATATGGCATCCTACATGACCCATTCACTCAGCAGATACTGAGCACATGCAATGTGCAGGTGGAACTCTAGGTCCTGAGGATACAAATGTGCACAAGCACCTTAGGATGCTGAAGAAGACAGGTAGACAGGAAACTAGTTCACCCAAAAATCGCAGATAATTTCAAGGAATGGTAAATGCTATGAACAAGTTAAACAAGTGAACAAGAATTGAGAGCAGCTGGGTGCCAGTGGCTCACACCTGTAATTCTAGCTACTTGGGAAGCTGAGATTGGGAAGATCAGGGTTCAAAGCTAGCCCAGGGAAATAGATCTTGAGACTACATCTCCAAAATAATCAGGGCAAAATGGACTGGAGTTCTTGCTCAAGCGGTAGCATGAAGTCCTGATTTCAAACTCCAGTCTCATGAAAAAAAAAAAAGTGGACTGGACTGAAGGTGTGGCTCAAACAATAGGGTGCCTACTTTGTAAACATAAAGTCCTGAGTTCAAATCCCAGTGCTACCAAAAAGAAAAGGTTAAAAAAAAAAAAAGAAGAACAAAGTAGCTGGGAGTGAGACAATGCTTAGATAGAGAGGTCAACAAAGACATTTTGGAACATAAGGAGGTGTGATTCAAGGGAAGAGCTGAAGAAAAAGTGTTCCAGATGGAGGAACAGGAAGTGCAAAGGGCTTGAGGTAGAACAGGCAAAGGAGCCAAGTGTGACTGGAGCAAAGGGAGCAGAGCAATGTGGGAAAAGAGGAAGTCAGATAGGTGAGCATGGCCAGTCACCCAGGGCCTGGAAACCAGGGCAAGATTTGAGATTTTGGTTCTTTTTGGTGCTGGTGATCAAACCCAAGGTCTCACACAGGCAGAGCACATGTTCTACCACTGAGTTACACCCCTAACACCGCTGTGCTTTTTTTGTTTTTGTGATACTAGGGTTAAACTCAGGGCCTCCCAGTTGCTAAGTAGGTACTCTACCACTTGAGCCATGCCCCCAGCTCTTTTTGCTCTAGTTATTTTTTGGATAGGTTCTTGTGTTTTTGCCCAGGTTGGCCTCCAAATGTGATCCTCCTATCTATTCCTCCCACATAGCTGGAATTATGAAAATGTACCATAATACCAAGCTTACTTTGTTGAGATGGGGTCTTGCTAATTTTTTGCTTGGGCTGGCCTTGAACGTTGATCCTTTCAATCTCTGCCTATCTGAGTGCACCAACAAGCCCCATCTCTCCTTGGTTTTTTTCTTTTTTTTTAAAGTGTAATGGATAGGAAAACATTGAGGGAGTCTGCAGAGGAATTATATGACTTGTGTTAAAAATTGCTCTGGTTGCAGTTCAGAGACAGATGTGGGGCCAAGGATGGAAGCCAGAAGACCCCAGCACAGGGAGAGATGATTCTGGTTGGCTGAGCTGAGATGGAGGCAGAGGCCACAGGCCTTGTGGGACTGGATGTGGGAGAAAAGAATGAAGAATTGGGATGGCTTTCTCAACTGGCTTGGGTGGGATTAACTAGTTATTGAACGAGGAAGACTTGAGACAAAGCAGGTGGAATGTGAAAACCAGGCCCTGTTTTGGACTTATTTTGAGTTGCCTTTTGGACCTCCAGGTGAAAAACCACATGTTAGACAAGACCCATCTGCTCTGAGTTCTGAGGCCAGGACCTTCATCCTTCCATCCTCAGCCCTAGGATGGGCTCTCCATAGAAAAAAAATGCGGTCATTGATGGAGTGGTGTACTCTCACACTTTTTCATTTTTCACCCCCTAAAATAATCATGAGACAGACATATTTTGCAAAGATAACATTGGCCAAAATCACAGAAATGCAAAGTCTTAGCCCCACCTCCACCCTATGCCTAGGGAATCAGAAACTCTCGGGGAGTGGAGATCAAGCAATCTGTTTGCTTTTATTTTATTTTGTTTTATTTATTTTGGGGCTGGGGTTCAAGCTTAGGGCTTCGCACTTGCAAAGCAGGCACTCTACCACTTGAGCCATGCCTCCAGTCCATTTTGCTCTGGTTATTTTGGAGATGGGGGTCTTGCAAACTATTTGTCTGGCCTGGCCTTGAACCACAATTTTCCCAATCTCAGTCTCTCAAGTAGCTAATTATTTTTACCATTTTTTTTTGAGATGGATATTTGTCATGTAGCCCAGGCTGGCCTTGAACTTGTGATTCTCCTGCCTTGGCCTCTTGAGTGCTGGGATTACAGGTGTGTATCGCCATGCCAAGCTCTTTAAAAACAAAACAAAACAAAAAAACAGCTAGGCGCCCATGGCTTACACCTGTAATCTTAGCTACTCAGGAGGCGGAGATCAGGAAGATTGTGGTTTGAAGCCAGCCTGGGCAAATAGTTTGTGAGACCCTATCTTGAAAAAAATCCATCACAAAAAAGGACTGGTGGAGTGGCTCAAGGGGTAGGCCCTGAGTTCAAGCTCCTATACCACAAAAGCAAGAAAA